GGTATTAAATATGATAAATGTTAGATATACATTATATATTTGACTAATTTGTTTTTCTATCAAATATATAAGGTTATCAATATTTTATGCGATATCTCTAACAATTAAATTTTTTTATCAATTAAACAATTTTACCACATTTTACTTTGTTTATAAAGTTTTTTTTCTTAATCATTTTGATCATTTTATAATATCTTTCTAAACCATTTGATATTGACAAGTAAGCAATAGCTAGCTAGATGGTAAGTCACGGTAAAATCATTCTCTAGTTTTGTTTTTTCAAATAATTAATACTCCATAAAATATTACTCCCTCCGTAGGGTTTCATAATAAGTGTCGTTTTGACAAAAAGAATCTGGCCTATTTGTTAATGTATCTGAATATATTTTGAGTCTTAATACATCCATAAACATCTAATACATTGGATAAGTCAAGAGTCAAAACGACACTTATTATAAAACGGAGGGAGTATTTTGTATTAAAAGAAGGTTGGGGTTTTGACAATAACAATTTTGACAGTTACTAATATGAATTTGTTGATTATAATATTAGCTCAAACAACACTGCATAGTATTTATGGTTTAAATTATTATGCAGTGTTGTTTGAGCATATTATAATTGATAAATTCATATTAGTAACTGTCAAAACTTTTATTGTCAGAACCTCAATCTTCTTTTCATAACTTCCAAATTTCCTTTGTAATCTTTGACGTTACTTTTTGGTGATTCCATCATGTTCATCACCAGGTTTAACACTAAAAACATAGAAGATCCTACAAACCACATAACAATAAAATAAAGAAGTTAACTTCAGAAACGTACTTTAATCAAATGGAGACAAGAAAATGAAACGTTTATCAATACATGTCATCTCACTTATTGACAAATGCAGTTCAAGACCAGGACACAGTTTATTAACCGTTAAAATTCTTGGATGCAAAATAATTATAATCTTAAACTCTAAGGTCAGCTAAAGGGTCATGGACCATGGGCTCTCACCCAATTTCAAAAAAGGCTTAAATTGCTTTTTGAAAACCATATGAATATGATTATACCCTAGTAAAATGGATCTCTAATGGAGAAAACAATGAACTTTAAAGATTTTCCATTAGAGATCCATTTTACTAGGGTGTAAACAAATTCATGTTGTTTTCAAAAAGCAATTTAAGCCTCTTTTGAAATTGGGTGAGAGCCCAAGGCACATGGCCTTTTAGCTGACCCTCAAGTTTAAGATTATAATTATCTTGCATCGAAGGATTTTAGCGGTTACTAAACTTTATCCTGGTCTTGAACTGCATTTTTAAGTAAGGGAGATGACATGTATTGATAAACGTTTCTTTTTTTTCGTCTCCATTTGATTAACGTACGTTTTTGATGTTAACTTTTTTATTTTATTTTTCTATGGTTTGTAGGTTCTTCTACACTTTTAGCGTTAAACCTGGCGATGAGCATGATGGAATCACCAAAAAGTAACATCAAAGATTACAAAGGAAATTTGGAAGTTATAAAAAAAAGGTTGGGGTTCTGACAATAAAAGTTTTGTCAGTTACTAATATGAATTTGTTGATTATAATATTAGCTCAAACAACACTGCATAGTATTTATGGTTTAAATTTAAACCATAAAACAATTAAACCATAAAATCTTTAAAGTTCATGGCTCATGGCCCTTTAGCTAAAACCTAGAGTTTAAGATTATAATTATCTTGCATTCAAAGATTTTAGCGGTTACTAAACTTTGTCCTGGTCTTCAACTGCATTTGTCAGTAAAGAAGATGTCATGTATTGATAAACGTTTTTTGTTTTTGTCTCAATTTGATTAACGTGTGTTTCTGATGTTAACTTTTTTATTTTATTTTTATGTGGTTTGTAGGTTCTTCTACGCTTTTAGCGTTAAACCTTGTGATGAGGATGATGGAATCACCAAAGAGTAACGTCAAAGATTACAAATGAAATTTGGAAGTTGTGAAAAAAAAGGTTGGGGTTCTGACAATAAAGCTTTTGCTTTTGACAGTTACTAATATGAATTTGTCAATTATAATATTAGCTCAAACAACATTGCATAGTATTTTATGGTTTAAATTTTTTATGGTTTAAAAACTATGCAGTGTTGTTTGAGCTAATATTATAATCAACAAATTCATATTAGTAACTGTCAATATTTATTGTCAGAACTCCGACCTTTCTTTTAATACAAAATAGTATTTTATGAAGTATTAATTATTTTAAAAAGAATCTAGAGAATGATTTACTATCTACATTCTAGCTATTGCTTACTTGTCAATGTCAAATGGTTTAGAAAGATATTATAAAATGATCAAAATGACTAAGAAATAAACTTTATACACAAAGTAAAATGTGGTAAATTTGTTTAATTGATCCCACAAAAAAATTGTTAGAAATATCGCAAAAAATATTGATAACAATATATATTTGATAGAAAAACAAAATTAATCAAATATATAATGTATATATAACAGTTATCGTATTAAATAACTGACGAAGTATTTTGTTTTAAGTTTGTAAAATCTAATAACAATAAAAAAATCATATTTATATTTTTCTTTTTCAGTATTTTTAAAAAGACATGAAGTAACAAAAACCCTTATATATTAAAGTACAAAAAATTGAAGTATCAATTCTAAATTTATACGAGTATAAATATATTGGAATATTATATTTTTAAGAAACCAATATATTATATATATTACAATCAAACTTACCGATTGAATGCTATTTTCATTTGAAAGCTTTAATGCAAAAAGTCAATCAATAACCCTAATTGATTTAGCTTTATGAGTGGCGATCACCTATAGAGGGTCGTTACAATCAAACTTATCGATTAAATGTCATGACTATTTGGAAGCATAAATGCAAAAAGTTCAGCAACAACCGTAGAGAAATCGTTATGTTTTTTATATTGATTTAGTTCTGGCCAGTGGCAATCAAACTTACCAATTTGTTGTTATTTTTATTTGGAAGCATAAATTCAAAAAGGTCAATCAATAACCCTAATTGATTTAGCTTTGACGAGTGGCGATACCTGTAGGGGGCCGTTACAATCAAACTTATTGATTGGATGTCCTGTTTATTTGGAAGCATAAATGCAAAAAGCTCAGCAAATAACTATAGAGAAATCGTTACATTTTTATATTGATTTAGTTGTGATGAGTGGCAATCAAACTTACCGATTGAACGTTATTTTTATTTGGAAGCATAAATGCAAAAAGGTCAATCAATAAATCGATTTAGCTTTTGACGAGTGGTGATCACCTATAGAGACGTTACAATCAAATTTATCGATTATATGTCCTGTTTATTTGGAAGCATAAATGCAAAAAAAGTCAATCAATAACCGTATTCGATTTAGCTTTGACGAGTGGCGATCACCTATAGAGCCGTTACAATCAAACTTATCGATTGAATGTTCTGTTTATTTGGAAGCATAAATGCAAAAAGTTCAGCAACAGTCGTAGAGAAATCATTATTTTTTTAATTGCTTTAATTTTGACGAGTGGCAATCAAACTTATCGATTGAATGTCCTGTTTATTTGGAAGCATAAATGCAAAAAGGTCAATCAATAATCCTATTTGATTTAGCTTTGACGAGTGGCGATCACCTATAGAGCCGTTACAATCAAACTTATCGACTCAATATCCTGTTTATTTGGAAGTATAAATACAAAAAGTTCAGTAAAGAAATTGTTAAAAAAAAATTAATGGATTTAGTTTTGACGAGTGACAATCACTTATAAAGGTCGTTACAATCAATTTTAACGATTGAATATTATGTTTATTTGGAAGCATATATACAAAAAGGTCGATCAATAACTGCAAAGAAGTCGTTAGAAATTTTATATAGATTTACCTTTGACGAGTGGCGATCACTTCTGACATATAGAGCCGCAATCTCCGACAAGTCGGCGATATATTTAAAAAAATTTAGTCATGTGGCAAAATATTAGTAAATACTTGTTTTTCAAAATAGTAAAAAAAAATATCAATGTGGAACAATTGATTTTTCAAAAGTATGATTGGCAAAATAATTAAGCTTTCGAAAAATTTAGTGTGTGAAATACCATAATATATCCAAAACTTAATTTGCCCTTTTAATGTTTGAATTCCTATATTTTTCTACTAAAGGAACTTTAATAAATAAATATTTTCCAAAATATATAAAAATAGAGAAAAATATTTATGGTGGAAAATCCATCCGTTACAAAGCATGAATAGTGAATTAATTGGGATTTTTGTAATGTATTATAAATATCATTTTGTTTCTAAAAATAATTTGCTTTGTCTTTTTTCAATGTTTGGTTTCAAATAATTTCTTCACTAAAATTACATTAATAAATATGTGTTTGTCCAAAAATATAAAGACAGAAAAGGTTGAAAACAATTAATGGTGAACGGTTAATTTGTTGCAAAATACAAATGCCAATTAATTGAGTTTCCACACAATTTAATATGTTAATTATCAAACCCATTTCAAAGAAACTTCAGGGATTCATCATTACTTTAACAACATTCATAGCAAGGCAATTTGAGTACAGTCAAGAGAATCTTAAGAGCAATATAAGGAAGAAAGTAAAGAAACTCCCAAAACTATAAAGAGCCACGACATTTTCTCTCTCTCTCTCTCTCACTAAAAAAAAACAGAGCCAATGACCTTCTCGTGGTCTTCTGTGCCATAAATATCATTATATACATTCAAACGCCAATCTGGCGCCACCTATACATACATGTATGTGTATGTATCTGCATTAACCTTCATATATACCTATCTCCTCCTCTCTCTCATTGTGTGAGTGGTTAGGTGGGTATCCCTATAAGGCTAAGCCTCGAACCATCTGCAACATTTTGACTCGTTTCTTTTGTGTTTTTCCAACATCTGTCTTTGCTTCACTAGCCCTCTCTCTTTCTTTCCAGCGATTCTCCGAACAACCTCTCTTTATCTTCCATTCCTACCTCTCTCTCTCTCGTTCTCTACCCCCGGGAAAAATGGATAACTTCTTGCCCTTTTCATATCCTAACGCTAACTTTGTCGAAGAACTCCCCATGGATCTTAACAACAATCACTCATACTTCTCAACGGTCCCTGCTTATGATCAGCTTCATTATCAAGAGCAGCCTCAACAGTTCTATCAGCCGAGTCCAAACGTTGCATGGCCGATGGAGCAGACGGCGATGATGAATCATCAGCAGCTTCAGTACCAGCCGGAGGTTTTTCCTCATCAGATCCCGATGACGCAAACCGGAAGTGAATTCGTTTCTTTGGCTTATAATCCCGCCGGTTTTAGACAAGAAAGAGGTGTGTTTCTTGATCCACACATGAAGAAGATGGCGAGGATCAACAGGAAGCAAGCGATGATAAGATCAAGAAACAACCCTGGCTCTAGCTCTACTTCAAACGAGCTGGCTGATTCAAGGAGACAATTGTCTCTTGCCATGAGAAACATTGACGAGGCTGAGGCTAGAGAAGATGTCTATCTATATTCCTCGTACGATAACAAGGTTCGGTGTTTGTAGGTCCAAATTTTAATTATATTCGATTTTTGGTTATATATAATTTCATGGTTTATTTATGTATGTTGGTGGTTGGTTGTTGATTGTAGATGCTTAGGGTTTTGTTGGTGAAGAACTTGAAGAACAGCGATGTTGGGTCACTTGGGAGGATCGTTCTACCAAAGGTTAGATTCTTTCTTTTGTAAATTGAAAATTAAATTTGTAGAGGTAAATTATCAAGATGGTGGACATAGACTGATGAAATAAGTATCGATCACGTAACTACGAAACTTGATCCAATGAAAAAGTTTAGTCTCTAGAAGTAACCACACGAAAAACAAGAGGAATATAAAAGCATGAAAACAAAATGTGGAGTGAAATAAAGTTTGTTTAATTGATATGGTCGGTTTTATTTTTCATTTCAGTTTAGCAAGAGTAGGAATAAAAAAAAATTATAGTTCAAGTTAGTGTTGCTTATAAAAGATATCTTACATTTGAAGAGTTAAAAAAACAAAAAATATAAATTTTGGTTGAACTGTATTTTGGAATTTTTTATAGAAAAAAAGTAGAGTTAATTAACTAAAAAACATGGCTTGCCTTGGCTTTGGATTGATTTTTTCTTATATGGTTAAGCTCAACTTGAACCGTTTCTGCTTATGAATAAACGCACAATATTGAATTGTGATTTTATAGAAATAAATCAAAAAAACATTTAAAATTGTTTTCTTGATCTTCCTTCGGTCTCCTTGTAAGTTGTAACTTGTAAGAAACATTTAGATTCCAAGCCCTTTAACAAAAAAAAGAAACTTTTGGATTCCATAATACCGGAGGAAAAGAACCCAATAAATGAAAAACATGAAAGTAACGCTTTTTCTCTTTATATTTAGCTAAAATGGTTTTATATTAAAAAAATAAAATGAGGTTGAGGAAAAAGAAGATTTAACTGAAGAAAATGAGAAGTCATCTATATGCCTTTCCTAATTTTTTTTTTTTTTTTTGGGCGACTGCCTTTCCTCTTAAATGGTTTACCTTGAAAATATTATGGGGTTGGGGAGGCGAACAAATCAAAAATCCATTATGGACAAGAGATTCTATATATCTTGATGTTTTAATTGAACTCTAATATAAACTATTTATAGACATATCATTTTTTACTTTATTAAATCAGTAATTAGTAGATCATGGCTTTGGAATGCAGAAAGATGCAGAAGTCAATCTTCCAGAGCTATCTGATAAAGAAGGAATGAAATTAGAGATGAGGGATGCTGACTCTGATCAGTCTTTCTCTTTTAGATACAAGTTAAGTCTCGTTTCATTTCTCTTATTTTTTAAAATACTATATCATTTCAATATAATTTGGATTAGTAGAACTAGAAGACATAAACATGTATTGCTGTGAAACATAGGTTCTGGTCCAATAACAAGAGCAGAATGTATGTCCTCGAGAACACAGGTAATTAAGAAATTCCAATATTCTTCCAAAAAGTATAGTATTCTTTAAACTAATTTTGTAACTTTCTCTTATTTTTGTGATGAAAATTAAAGGAGAATTTGTGAAGAAAAATGGAGTAGAGATGGGAGATTTTTTTACAATATACCAGGACGAAAGCAAGAAACTCGTGAGCTCTCTTATTAAACTCTCTTTTCTTATTTGATTTTTAAAAAGACAAAAAGGTTTAATGATTGATTATTAGTCCAAAATTGGAAATTTTAAAAGTGGCCAGTGAAAAGTGTTTGTTAAGCATCCAGACAAAAAAACTTCTTGTCTTTTTGACCTCTTCTTTTTCTGTCAATGGTAACTGTCCATGGAACGTATAAAAACTTCTATTCCTTATTTTTTATTAAAAAAAATTACTGACGAAAATATCTTTCTTACATTGATTTCTCCAAGTGAATTCAAATGTATATGATGTATAAATTCAACCAACTGCTAAACATCATATAAATATATTTTTGTATATGTTCTTTTTTTTTTTTTTTTTGTTTGACAAAGAATATGTTCTTATTACAGTACTTCTCCCTAAGTAAGCCGGCGGGCAGACAAAACGTAGCAAGACAAGAAGAGTTCCCTGAAGTCAACGAGGCTAACTCCTGGGAAGATATGTTCATGTGTGATGATGATTCTTTTGCAATGATCATGGGAAATCTAAACGATGACTATCCCAACCCAAACAGTGTTATGGGCGGCCTCACAGTCGATCTTGATCAGAATCATCAAGCCACCTCCTCGTTGCCACCTGTTGATCACGTGACCGTTGCCCAGCACGTGGGTTCGTACAATGATGACGTGAACTTCAACGGCTTCGCAGGATATTGATGTGGTGGAAGTTCATATAGCTGCCTCTTGAGATGATGATATAAGTGAAGAAAAGAGTTATGTTTCATCATCAGAGAGATATACAGAAAGAGACTCATATCTATATCTGTTTAATAGTCTGTCTGTTAATAAAGAAAAAGATGGTTTGTGTTCAGTTTCCATTTATAATATAAATTACATAATTTCTCATTAGACTTTTACAACGCAAAACAGAATATATGATAAACATGATGAAGATGAAAACTCAGCAACAGCGGCAGATTTGTGTGTAGTTTATAGACAAAAGATGATAATATCAAATTTCAAATCGCAACAGTGGTGCAAAAGTTATCATTTGCAAGAAGCAAAACCAATACACACTTGGACAAAAAAAACACATTATTATCAAAACTAAACTCTAACACAAACGGATAAATCTAACATATTGCAATATATTGCGCAAATTCACTATTTCTAAGTTTAAGTTATGTGAAACAATTTTTCATTTCCACTTAGTAACGTTTTGTATATCCATTATAAATTTGGTAAATGGAATATTCAACACCACACTCAACAAATATTAGTCGGATGGTAAGAAGTAAGAACCGAATCACTCCCACTCTCTAGCCATATAAAAAATGATTAATAATTGTTGGTAATATAAGTATCTTACACCGACTTATCTGCATTTTAAGATTAAACACTAATTTGGACTTGTTCCCTTGCATTCTTTCTCAACACATGATGACCAGCGCCGCTGAGAATTTTGCTAAGAGTGTGATAACTAGAGAGTGAGAACCATCTTTTTCACACACACACACACAGAAGCTATCGGACTCATTTCTCTAGTTTTGTTCTCTAACCCAAACCCAAGCTTTGTATCCTACCCTAGACTCTCTACTCCTAAGCCCAAAACTATTATCGATGCTCTGTGCCCAAAAAGAGCCCACAATCTAGTATAGCCCAAAACATTACCTATTAGTATTTCACTATTTCTCGTCCAAACCCGATCGGGTCATACGAAGTGATAATAAAGAAAAAAATCCATGCAACAATAGATTAATCTAGCGATCGTCTAGCACATTTCATAAATAAGAAAAAAGAAAAACAAAAAATGAAAGAAATTTAATACTACTTTTGTTGTTCTCCAGTATACGCTCCTGACTTTGCTCCGAAGCATTTGTTGCAGAATTTCACGTGACCTTTTTTCATAAATAGGTAGAGAGACTCAGTTCCCAAATATATTCTTTAAAAAATAAATAGTCATGGTTGTAATATGATCTAGCCTAAGAAACTAATATAAATCCAGTTGACTAATAGTTATTCGGTCATAATAGTTGACATGTAGATCTACGCATATCAAATTTATAGATATTTCTTCCAGTATAGCATTGGGAATCTGATATGATAGGATTTCTTAAATTTCGAGTCTTCAATTATCTTGCCTCGTATATATCTCTAGCCATCGCAAGGAGTGCGCTTGTTGACAATGACTTTTTTTTTTTGGTTTTAATCATAAAAGAATTTTAAAACAATTAAAGGATGATACTTCTTCTCCGACTTCCAAGTACGATAAATTCCGAATTATAAAAACACACGAAGCGTAGATATTAATTCTAACATTAAATGCGTAATGCGGTAAACTGGTAATCTACGCATATTTCATATGTGGACCATGAAACATGGACTATGTACTGAAGTTTGTATTATGTATTTACATATACAGTATATTTTTTTTAAAAATGCTTTGATTTATATATTGGAGAAATCTTATAATTAGCCACTTTTAGTGATAGTATTCTCCAACGATATAGAGAACTGAACATTAAAAACATCTTATTCTGGTAAACTTCAAGCATTCAGAAGGTGATCCGAGAATTATACTAATGATATAGATCCATTGCATGGAAATATACCACATTTCGGATCAATAAACAGAGATTTCTATATGAAAATGTTCATATACTATTCGTTAAGTCAACACGTAAAATATTCACATGCATTTCTGATTAATAAGTAAAAGATTCCATCTGCACTCTGCAGGGAGAATAAATATAGATAAATCGTAAAGCAATTTGTATGATTTGTTTTTTTTTTTGTTTCGAGCCTCAAAACACTTTTCAAGGTAAATCTTTCTTTCATTGTCTTTATTGTAGTTGTTAAAAAAGATCCAGGGAACTGTAGAGTCTCGGGTAAAGTAGTTCTTGCGTCGGTCACTAGTAAAGACAATTCTTTGGCTCCTTTTGATTGCTCATAGGAAGAGGTTTATATGATGATTGCTCGATCAGACAAAGATTCCCAATTTCATAAAATATCGTGATAGACTCTGTTCAAAAGATCTTGAGAGGCTGTATGATAAAACCTTTCCAAAATTAAAGAAATGTTCACTCAACTTCATGCAAAGGTTGTGGAACTCGGGGCTAGTCCCTCATCTCCTTCAATTCCTTATTATCTCTATCATTTTAGTTTGGTTTTGCTTTGTTTAAGTTCTTCCATCAGAATTGTATCCTTAAATTTCGATCTTAATTTTTTTTTCTCAACTATGTATCCAACTATATGATATTATGATCTACGGTGAGATCATATCTTTTTATTCTATTTGTTAGTCCAATTAACAAAAAACACTACAAAAAAAAGGGTGTGTTACATCATTTATTTTATTTATTTGTATTAGTTATAAATGATGTAAACAAAATTTACATCACTTATACGAATGACTGCAATTGCTGTGATGCAAATAATAACATCAATTTCTTAAGAACTGATGCAAAAATATATAATATTTGCATCGGTTTTTGCAATCGATTTCAGTATATATCAGTTGCAAAAAAATGATGTTAAAATTTAAATCAATTATTATAACTGATATTAATATTTGTTACGGTTATAAGAAATGATGTTAAATATTTGTATCAATTTTATTAATTGATATTATAATTGTATAACTTGAAAATAAGTAATTTTAAAATTAATATTTGTATCACAATATTTAGTTGACATTATCATATTTTCGCATCACTTTATATAATCATTAGTTATTTTTTTCACGTTTTTTTTATAAAATGGCATAAAAATATTAAAATAGAAATTAAATTATAATAACTAATCAAATCTTAAAATTATGTTAAAGAATAAAATAACTGATAAAATATATATTCATGATTTGTTTTTGTACAATATTCAAAATAAGTAAATAAATATTCTTGTTGAAGTTATGAGATGCGATTCCTTGTACATAGCTTTTTTTGTTCCTTTTCTTCTTTCCTTCAGTAGTCTTCTTCTCCAATTCTGCGTAGAAGAATTACTTAAACCCTGTCATGGACGTTATGTTACTTTCTGCAGAAATTGATTAGAGAAATGAATTACTTTAAATTTGTTTGTTTACATAACACAATTGAAAAAGAAAAATCATGTTTCTATTAGGAATTAGTATTAAGTTACCTTTCACTAATTACTGTAGACATGAAAAGTTATTGCCTTAGACAAATGGATGTTGAGATCAACGATGAATGGACTGGTAGATTTCCCTGCACACAAAAACAAAAACAAAAAAAAATAGATAAGAGTACGAGTGTACGACTTACAGTAAAAACTAAAAACTTAACAACAAGAGGGAGAGAAATAAGAACACCCATTGTTCTTAAAAAAAAAAGAAACGGTTCCATAGATAATGCTAACGTTGGGTGAGTCTTTATAGGAACTTAGTAATTTAACTGCTTTTAAAATTACATTACTATATTCACAAAATATAATTTCCTCAACATATTCGTAGAATAGTTATACTAACATCAATTATTATAACTGATGTTAAACAATTTAATTAGCATCATTTTTAATTGATGTAAAATTTATATCATTTTTTTAATTGATGTTAACAAATACATCGATTATTTAATTGATGTAATATTCTATTTTAATATCAATTTTGTTAAAGTGATACAAACTAATAAAAATTGAATCATTTTGATTGAATTGATGCCAATCTAACTAATTATAACATCAGTTATTATAATTGATGCTTAACTATGTATATTTGTTTCATTTATTAATAAGTAATGTGAAACAGTATCATTCAGCTTTGTGATATAAATTAAGTGATACAATACACACTTTTTTTTGTAGTGAAAGATTTCAAATGGGATATTTCTGGTGAACAAGTTTGTATAATAATATCACATTTGCACCAAGAAAAAAGTTTGTATACTAATATCTTATAACTACTGTAGTATATAATAGTGAAATTTATTATGGCACAAAAAGGGGCAGAGAGCCAGAGAGACTATCACTATAGTTAGCCTTAAATCTTGGAGGGAAATGTGGTGAGTTCACGAGACATATTTATTTTGAAAATAATATTTATTTGTTTATATCTTATCTATATCATACAGTAAAAGCAAAGAGAATCATTCAAACGACAACAATGATTAGTCTACTTTGTAAATGTGATGATAATATCGTCGCGTTATCGGATTTAAACAGCTAAACAATCATAGTGCATAATTGTGTTATATTCATAAGAAGACGTTAGACAAAAAAGGCATCCAAGGATAGGTTTAAAAATTGAAAGTAAAAAATAATGATCGAGTGGGTCCAAAGTTGAGTTATCATATTTCCCAGTAACACGAACATGTAACGTGACATGTCTCTTTTCGGACAAGGTAGGTGTTTCTCCTCCAATGGGAAATGGTAATAATAAAATTTACCCGTACGTGATTTGATATTGATCATGTAGAAATAGTGAGTTTTAATGAAAACATTGTGAAAAAAAAAAAGTAAGTTTTAATAATAAAATTGGTAATACTCCTTCCGTTTTTTTTTAATAAATTTTCTAAACTTTTCACACATATTTAAGAAAGTTGATTTTCAATCATTAGTATATAGATTTTTGTAATAAAACAACTTTTTATAAATTTAAACCAATAAAAATCTAACAAATACAATTATTGTTTCTTGAAAACTGAAAAAATATATCAAAAAGATATAATATTTATCTTTGTAAAACAACAAATAATGTCCAGAAAATTCATTTTTTAAAAAATGGACGGAGTAATAAATTGTCTAAGTGAATCGATGTAGACATTTTTATTTTTTAAAACAGATTGAACACAAGAAACAAGCTACACAAACGGGTAAAACGCAATACTCTCCACAAATGGTTGTATATAACAAGTTCGGATTTTTTTAGAAGCGTTGCCAAATCTTTTGTTCCACAAGGCTCTCCGATCAAAATGTTTCACTACTTGCAAAACGGAAACGTGAGAAACCCCGATTAAAACACAACCAATGCAATCTGATACTTCGAATTAAATTCCACATTAATAGAATTCAGCATGGAGACGCATATGTGGCATTTCAAACGAACTTTGAATCTTTTGATTTGGGCGCCACGTTTAGAAATTTTCTTACCCATCTGTACCACATTAACTCGACTAGTTCATTCAATTTTGTTGAGGAAGATAAAAATTCTGTTTTTACCGCATGAGTTGGCGCTTTCCACTGTTACCATTTTGCACCGGTTGAATGTATGCGGTAAAATACATACTAACAAAATTCTTACATGTATGCTTTAATACAACGTGAAAACAAATTGTCACAAATTTTCTTATAATAAATAGTTCCAACTTAGGTTTTTTTTTTTTTTTTTTTTTTTTTTTTTTTTTTTTTTAAGTTCCAGCATAACTTTACAATTACACATGCTATAAAATAATTTCTCTATATTTCGAGATTACATTAATTATGTGTTTATTAATGTTTGTTTAGATGGATCACGAGTAATTAAAAAACAGTTACATTTTCACTTGAGATTAAACAACTTAGTTTGTGTGCCTATAATTTTGGGTTATTTGACAATTTATATATTTGATAAAATACACTCAGCTTGTCAGTTGTCAAAGGCGATCTAAAATAGTGAAATCTAACATCTTAGTTTGTTTTTGTAGATATTTCTCAACAAATTATCTTAATGTTTGAAAAATCAATCGACGTGAAGTTTTACTAGATGGGCATATTTATCACTAGTAAACATTGCTTCAGCAGAAAGTTACGTATTACATTTACATCACATAGAAAACGTTAACCATTATAATGTTGTAAGAACAAACAGTGTCTTTCTTTAATTTTTAGAAGACAAGAAAGTCTTTATTTACTCTTAAGAATCACTAGTATAACAACTAGCAACAGAGATTGTAACTAATGATGGAGTAGTAATTGATTTCGATCGGTTTAAAATTTGGTTACTTTTTTTTGGGTCTTATTAATGTTAAGTAAATTTATTAATTATTTACAAAAAAAAAGTTATTTCATGACAGTCTAAGCGTGAAGCCAGAACCTTCTCTCTCCTATAAATACACCCATTTCATTATCTCAACTCATATCACTAACCAAAAAACAAAGAAAATGGGGTTTATGGGTAAGAGTGTACTGGTGAGTCTCGTAGCACTTTGGTGCTTCACCTCCTCTGCCTTCACTGAGGAAGTGAACTATGTGTCTGAAACCCCTTCCTCTGCTCCGGCGCCTGCTCCTTACCACCACGGCCACCACCACCCACACCCTCCCCATCCCCACCACCCTCATCCTCACCCTCACCCACACCCACCGGCTAAATCTCCGGTTAAGCCACCAGTTTCTCCACCAACCAAAGCTCCAGTTAAGCCCCCGGTTTACCCTCCGACCAAAGCCCCGGTTAAGCCCCCAACGAAACCCCCGGTTAAGCCACCAGTTTCTCCACCAGCCAAACCTCCGGTGAAACCCCCGGTTTACCCTCCGACCAAAGCCCCGGTCAAGCCACCAGTTAAACCCCCGGTTAAACCACCGGTTTCTCCACCAGCCAAACCTCCGGTTAAGCCCCCAGTTTACCCTCCGACCAAAGCCCCGGTCAAACCTCCGACCAAAGCCCCGGTTAAACCTCCGACCAAAGCCCCGGTTAAACCTCCTGTCTCTCCTCCAACCAAGCCACCGGTTTCACCTCCGGCAAAACCACCGGTGTTGCCGCCGGTTTACCCACCAAAGTTCAACAGGAGCCTAGTCGCCGTTCGGGGTACGGTTTTCTGCAAAAGCTGCAAATACGCTTATTCCGACACACTCACTGGCGCTAAGCCCGTCGAAGGTTAGATTTAATACACGTAAATACTACATGAGTAATCTTTGATGCATACGCATTTATTCATTAATGTATACGTATATTTGTATATCGATCCGTACTTGATACCAAATCATGACGTGAACTTCAAAAAAATAATTCAAATTTCAAAAACGTTACAAGTGGGACCATAGGTACGAAACTAGTCAATGTTTCGTAAGAAAAAAAAGAAAGTGACTATATACACTTCTGCACTCATCAGTCACTGTTTTTTACAGTCTGACTCTGTCCCATAAATTACACGACACCCCAAAACAGTATAATTAAAAAAAGCACAGAACTATTTCCATTAGTCCATCAACAAATCCAGTGGATATTAGATTTATGAGTTCATTAATTTCTTTATGGTTTGTTGTAGGTGCTGTGGTGAGACTAGGGTGCAAGGGCAGGAAGTACGTAGTCGCAGAGACAACGACGGACAAGAACGGATATTTCTTGCTGTTGGGTCCGAAGACGGTGACGAACTACGGTTTCAGAGGATGCCGTGTGTATCTGGTGAAATCAAAGGACAGCAAATGCAGCAAAGTCTCCAAGCTCTACGGTGGAGATGTCGGTGCCGTGCTCAGGCCGGAAAAAGTGCCGGGAAAATCTAAAGTGGTCGTCAACAAGGTCGTCTACGGTCTCTTTACCGTCGGTCCGTTTGCGTTCAACCCGGTTTGTCCCAAATGAAGATGAGTGGTGCTCCGGTTTACTTTCTTGATTGCGTCATGTTCAAATGAGTGAAAGAGAGAGAGTTTATGTGTGTGCGTTGAAAATTGTAATCTTAGCTAGTTTCAAGTTAAAAATGCTTTGGGTTTTATGAATGTGTCTTTAAGTGACGTTGGTTTTAACCTTTTTAAGTTTCGTTTGAATAAAATAGTAGCTTCAAGAAGTTTTTCGATTTTACCTAACGTTGTGATCCCTGAAATGAGATGGTTCCATTAAATGTGACACATTGAATGATAAAAAACAAGAAAACAAAACAAAATGTGAAGCCTTGAGTTTGTATCTATGTATCTAAATTTGTGTTTAGAAAATTAGAAGCCGTGATAAATGTGGAGGCATACATATGATTATGGTTTGTGCAAAACAACCCTCAAACTAAATTCTTTTTGCAAATCAAACCCTCAATTTAAAGTTGTGCAAATCAAACCTCTGAAGTCAAAATAACCCTGCAATATAAGACATCTCTATATTTATGACAAAATTTAAAATGATTTTATGCAAAACAACCCGCGAACTATTTTTTGTGTGCAAATATAACCCTCAACTTAAAAAATATGCAAGTCAAACCTGCAAAATCGAAAGTCACTGCTAAAATGAATTTATATGTATTTATCCTTAACTACAAATGTTCGAAGTCAAAATAACCCTGCAATATAAGACATCTCTATATTTGTGACAAAATTTAAAATGATTTTATGCAAAACAACCCGCGAACTATTTTTTGTGTGCAAATCTAACCCTCAACTTAAAAAATATGCAAGTCAAACCTGCAAAATCGAAAGTCACTGCTAAAATGAATTTATATGTATTTATCCTTAACTACAAATGTTGACTGAAAACCTCATGCCATTTATAATATTTTAACCATTTTTATTAAAAGTAAATTAAAAAAAACTTTAATCTTGAATTTCCTTTCTCTTTCTCCTCTTATTAATGAATTTATCTCGAGTAATCTCATCGCGAATAAATTGATTCTTTTCTTCATGATCTCATTAACTAATGACGACGATGAGAGAAAGATAAGAACTAATTTACTCGCAATAGAATTATTCGAGAGAGGCTCATAAAGACATAGGACTTCAGATCTTCCAAGTAATTATATTGTGAGTAAGTTGGTTCGGTTTTGATTTTCTGGATTGGTTACGGTTTAGTTTTTTGGATTTGGTTAAAAATCTAATCCTCTCCTTATTGATGGAGAAAAAAGAGAAGAAATATTGAATTATTGTTTTAAGTTTTTTAATAAAAATGTTAAAATATTATAAATGCCATGACGTTAGTCAACGTTTGTAGTTAAGGACAAATACATATAAATCCATTTTAGCAGTGACTTTCGACTTTGCAGGTTTGACTTGCATATTTTTTAAGTTGAGAGTTATTGCGGGTTGTTTTGCATAAAATCATTTTAAATTTTGTCACAAATATAGAGATGTCTTATATTGCGGGGTTATTTTGACTTCAGAGATTTGATTTGCACAATTTTAAATTGAAGGTTTGATTTGCAAAAAATATTTAGTTTGAGGGTTGTTTTGCACAAAACCCTTAAGTAAACCAGTATAGAAAGTTTTTAAAAATTGCAATGAGGTATTTCAACTTGTATTTCGGTAAATATAACCAAGCTGCGTTTTATGACTTTTATCAAATAGAAATAAAAAAATAACTAAGCTGCAGACAAGAAAATACGAGTACAATAATGTCGAAAAGGAATGGGAATCATCGAATAGGGTTTCTACTTTCTAGTGGGTTCTTGGATTCGGAGAAAAATCAGCTGTGAAACTGTCGGCCACGTGGCTGACATAATTTCCCATCACATCTCAAAGTTTAAGGGGCAAAAACAATTTAATTAAGAAAAACTAAAATAGAGTCTTTGGAGTAGAAAGATAAAATAAAGAGAGTGATTAGCAAGAAGTTAACATGGGTTGTGGCGAAACGATTTGATTCAAATCACAACGGACAATCATTTTCAGTTGCATTTCTCTCTTATATATAAATACATAATCGAAGAATTATACCAACTTCTTTCTTTTTCTTTTCGAAGTCGGTGTCGTAGATCTAGTTTGAACCATGGAATTTTGTTAAAATGCGAGTATTCTCAATTATTAGACGACCATAGATTCGGGCATTCGGCTACCATCTTTTGTTTATCTCCCTTGAAACCTAATAGTGTGATGCAAATGCAGTCGTATATTTAAATGCTTAAGACGACCATAGGTTCTTAATCTTAATTGTTTTACAATGATTTTTAAGTTAAAGTCATATTTGTTTTTAAGATTTGATAAGACTTGAACTATAATACTCTTTGTGGTCCTATCATTTTCCAATACGAGGACTTGAACTATAATACTCTTTGGCTCATGTCTTGAGCTTCTAGCATGCTCGGCAGTACATGTGGCACTTTAACTAAGGAAGTTAACCAGGTTACGCATTGGTTAGACACTTAAGACTCAGAATGTTAAATTTTTGTTCAACAGCATCAATGTGTTATGTTGGTACTTTTTAAAGTAATATATGGTGTTTACTATGTTCCCCACGCCTAGTATTGTGAGTGAAACATATGTAAGCTGCTTATAATCCAATCTGACACTTCTATTTCCATTTTCCAACCTCATTTTCTTGTTCACAAGAATTATACTATGAGATAGTAAAAATATAGGGAATGTTCCTGGGAAAATGTATATAACTAGTTTGGTGATCAAGCTCTAAAAATCTCGGTGTAAATCTTTGGCCCGACAAAAAGATTATGGCCCGAATAAAGCCCATTGAATATTTGGGCCCACTCCAGAGTCTTTTTGCTAACCGACTAGAATGCATAAAGACCGTGCACTCCAAGGACTTCCTTCTACTGATTTGATTAGGATTTTGATTATTCCTTTTTAATCTTAATCCTCGTAAAACTTAAGATGCTTTTCCTATTCTCTTTGGGAGTAACCTTCAATTTTCTTCTATATATATATATATATATATATATATATATATATATATATTTAGCTTTCCGTCAAGTGTTTTGAATTTGGCTTTTTTTCGTTTTCATCCGCAGGAGCATCATCATCCGCGTTCCAAGTAGAAGATATGACGACTCTTGAAGATTCTCTCCTCGCAGACCTTGACGAGTTATCTGACAATGAAGCATCAGAAACCGAAGACCATGTTGGAAGAGAGGATCAACAAGATATTGACATGGCAGAACTAGAAACCCTAAACTCTGAAGATCGATGGATTCGAAAGCAACTATTTCAGAAAACAGTCCTGAATACAAACTAATCGTCGATTGCAATCAGCTCTCTGTTGATATCGACAAGGAAATCGCCATCGTACACAACTTTATCCGTCACAAGTACAGACCAAAGTTCCCAGCGATTGAGTTGCTTGTGACTCACGCAATCGATTACGCACGTGTTGTCAAACAGATTGAGAGCGAGACGGATCTTACCTCCGTCGATATGGAAAGTCTTTTGCCACGAGACAGAGCTAGAGCTACTTTTATGTGTCTTTCGCTTCTAACTTCAACCACAAAAGGGAAACCTCTACCACAGTATGTCCTGCAAAAGACGATCGAAGCATGCGATCGTGCTCTCGATCTTGATTCCGCAAGAGACAAGATCCTTAGCTTTGTCAAGGCAAAGATGGGATGTCTCGCACCGAATCTTTCAGCCATTGCAACCAAGCTCTGTCTCGGTTAATTTACTTAGTCAACCCAAATGATTAGTATTATTTCTAATAAAAGATTTATTGGTTGAATGATTTTGATATATATCTAGACACGTAGATAAATCAACTTACCTTATGAGAACTCACAGTATTAATTACATTGACCAAAAGGTCGCATAATGTCCCAGTCATCTAAAATATCATTGGTTATTGAGTTCAACATTTTCCTCTCAAGAAATTAAATGATTATTTGGAAAAAAAAGTATACATCGTTGTTACGACTTAGTCGCTACCTGTATCATTTATTGCGTGACTATAACCATAGTGGAGGAACAAAACAAGAAAAAAGCTACACAAGTCCACCAATTTAAACTTTAGTCCACAAAAAGTTTATAATTCACGACGGCGCGTGAGAACATCACTCTCCACGGTCAGCGCGTGCGGAAGACCCAAGAAAAAAAAAAGACTAAAGAGCCAATAGCGCCCACTGAAAACATTTTTCTTACCGAACCCAAACAAAGCTTATTAGCAAAAACCACATTTTCTCTCTCTCTCTCTCTCTCTCTCTCTCTCTCTCTCTCTATCTCAATGGAGAATTCGCCGAGATACAGAGATGCAACAGCGAATCTGGTTCCATCGCCGAGATGCCACAACAGCAGCAGCTGCAGTATGAGCAGCAGCACTGAGAGCAACAAGCCTCCCACTACTCCGACCCGACACGTAACCACTAGATCCGAATCCGGAAACCCGTACCCGACAACCTTCGTACAAGCAGACACTTCTTCCTTCAAGCAAGTCGTCCAGATGCTAACCGGATCTTCAGAGAGACCCAAACACCACCTCTCCTCTCTTAAACCAAACCCGACCCATCAACCCGACCCGAGATCCTCTCCTTCTCAATTCTCAATCCCTCCAATCAAAGCCGTCCCCAACAAGAAACAGTCTTCTTCCTCCTCATCCGGGTTTCGTCTCTACGAGCGTCGCAATTCCATGAAGAATCTCAAAATCAACCCTTTAAACCCGGTTTTCAACCCGGTTAACTCGGCTTTCTCGCCCCGGAAAACCGAGATCCTCTCTCCGAGCATCCTCGATTTCCCGTCTCTCGTTCTCAGCCCGGTCACTCCTCTTATACCCGACCCGTTTGATCGATCCGGGTCATCCAATCAAAGCCCCAGCGAGCTCGGGTTCGCGAAATCGGGCACAGATGCGGAAGAGAAAGCGATGAAAGAAAAAGGCTTTTACTTGCATCCATCTCCGGCGACTACTCCGATGGATCCGGAGCCTCGACTTCTTCCTCTCTTCCCGGTGACTTCTCCTCGAGTCTCAGGTTCTTCTTCCGCTTCTACTTCTTGAAACCTCTAATTTTTTTTACTTCGATTTTTTTTTTATCTTTTTACCATTGCCCCTTTGTGATCTTAATTATATATATGGGAATTTGAGATGAATCCTGAATGAGAAATTATATACGAGAAATTGTAATGCTGAGATGTTTGCTATGAGCAATTGCGATTTTAAAATCATCGTTTTAATTTGTATTTACTCTCTTATGGTTTTATTGAATTTGATTGTGCTCATGCTTGGCTTCATCCTTGTCAAGTTTATTCTGCCAAATCACAATTACTAAATTTTGCTTTGAAGGGTGTTCATGGTTTAACTTAGTCTAACGAACTTTAAACAAAGTTACTGTAAATGGTAATTTATTTACTGAAATGAGAAGTTTTAATTATTGTGTCATCCAACCAGTAAACAAATGATCAAGAGATTTTGGTTTTAGAGAACCAAATTGGTCCAACCTTCTTTTGCCAAGGAGGGAAAAGGAGTGTGAAAAAAAAGAAGAGATTTTTTCTTAAAGAATACTATAATATATTTCTTCTTTTCTCCTTCTAAAAAGGAGAATGCAATTTGAAAAAGCAAGAAAGAGTAAATTGGATAGAAGGAAGAGAAAGAGTGGGGCTTAGCTGTCTAAAGAAAGAGTATTAATTAAGGGGGGTAAGGAATCTTTTGACTATTTTTTCTTCTCCTTTGTTTTCTTTGATTTCAATTTTCATGATTTGAGATATGACCCTTTTTACCTATATATCTTTAGCCTAATGATGCTGTTAATAGTTAATGGATATAGTTTCAACGTGTCATATGGTTATAAACTTATAATTAGGCTGTTGTTTTGGTTTTGGTCATTTTGGGGTACTGTATATATCTTGCGTAGGTCAAAAATCATTATGAATTTTCATTGTTAAATATAGTTTGAAGGTGGACTAAGGCATATGAGCATATGCAAAATGGCCCCATCTGGTTTTATTTTTAGTAGTTTATCATGTTCATTGAATATTTCTTGGTCAAAGGTTTTTGTTTATAAAAACAAAAAATTTAAGCTTGTTTGAAACTTTCAAGAGTTTAGGTGTTTTTAATTGGTTGCACAAATGGGACGTGTCTACAAAGAACAAATTAGTAGTAAATTGTTTATTATTGCCATTAAATGGTCTTTGATGACCAAATTAAATTAAGCTTGACTCAATCTCTCATATGGTGGACCGTATCTATCTCTTTCTCTTCTCTCTCTAAAAGGTTGAAAATTCTCATGTGAAGAGAGTTGATGTTGAGGACCCCACTTCCACTATTAGTGGTGCCACTGAGAGCGATTGCGAGTTGACCCCTTTACATTTTTTGTTTTTTCAAAAAAATATCCTAAAAACGAAAATTTTCTTCTTTTTTGTTCACTCTTTAGTGAAAACAATTTTTGTTGAGTTAATCTTACGGTCTTACCCACTAGAATCCATTCCGTTCTTGCTGATGATGGTGTACCTAAGTTTTTCTACGAATATATTCCAAAAAATGAGAGAAACAACAAAGTTGTATAGAAAGTGTGTAAATAGTACTTAAAATCTCATTTACTAGTATTGGAATTTTTTTTGGTGTGGTCTTGAAATAAAAGCAATAAAAGAAAAGTCAAAAGTAATGGAGATGTGTGGTGTGAATAGCAATAATGTTTCAAAGTTAGGTTCTCATCTCACTTCAAAGTCTTCTTTGGGCTCTTTATTTTATTTAATGATTTTTTGGGAAAGACCATACACACTGCTGAATGAAGTAGTAGTGCAGGTGGGTCTCGTGACCATGAAACTACTTCCCATTTTCCTCAGACAAAAACAAACAAAAAAAACAGCAAGCAAATGAGTCAGAACACAGGATGGGCCTGATAAGTGAAGAATATTAGACTATTTTGCTAGAGCACTTTACTGTCCGATGAACATTACACGTTTTCTAGGGTTCTAAAAGTTTCTAACTAATATTTCATATTATTTTACTCATGAACAATCCACTAACAAAAATCAAAATTAAATTTGAAGTATAACCCAGTTCGTATGTATAAATTGTAAAGGCGGTTAGTTCAACAGCTTTAAGGATTCATTCATTTTTCTACATCAGTGGAGTGGTCCATGAACCCATCTCATTATTTTATCAAAATGTTAACACAACGTTTTGGAGTTGAATTGTTAAACTATCTATGAATTGACTATTAATGCTAGCCAAATTATCTTGTCATCCATTTCAGTTTATCATTTTGTTCTTAAAAACAGGTCTTAGGTATGGAACTCTTGGGGTTTGTTAATGAATAAAATAGGATGTTTGGACTTTGGAAGAATTTTGGGAGAATTGGCAATTTACCCCATATTGAAAGTGTTTTTGTCCCTTTACACCTTCACATTTGTGTCTTGTCCCATTACCTTTTTTTTTTTGCATTTTTCTCATTTTTGCCCTTCCTTTTAATTGGATAATGTTTTGTTTTTTCGTTTTAAAATTAAAATTTTAATAAATAAATAAAATAAAAAACGAACAAGAAAGAAAGGAAAGAAAGATTTGAAAAATATTCAGTTGCAATATTTTCTCGATCTTCGCAGAAGATGAATTCTACAAAACCGTAGACGACACTAATTTTGCTAGATTGTGTACTAGAAACACGAGTACTACGGATCGTAGAAAACATGGTTTTAGTAGAACACTACTTCTGCGGGATGTAGATTAGACAAAAACACGTAGAATACGAAAACTATTTCTTGTAGATAGCAGTGTTTCGCGTAGAACGTAAAATCTACGAGTAGTAGAAGATACTTGATTGTGTAGAATATATTTGGTGCGAATTCTACAAAATGGTAGAGCCTATAAGGCTTGGTAGATATCAACTTCTACATCCGGAAGAGGTATGTATAAGTTGTAGATATTATGTTCTACGGAGGTTAGACCAACGAATATCTTGTAGAAAACGTAGTCTACTTTGTTATTTTAGATTTGTAGAACGAAACTTATAATATTTTTTTAAATATCATAAGCATTTTCAAAAATGTTCAAATATTTTACACAGTGCTGAAATCATTTTTAGGAATTATGGAATTTGTTTTCACTTGAAAAAACATTTTGTATGAGTTTATAAATAAATTGAAGGGCAATCTTGACCAAAAATGACCAAAGTCAAAATAGGTGTAAAGGGACAAGAAATCTTTCAATCTGGGGTAAATTGCCAATTCTCCCTAAATTTAACCATCTGTTAATTTGGCTGGAAAACACGATGTGATGTTATCATGATAACCAAAGCATTGGCGCATTTGATTGGAGACAAAATGCAAAAGGAAATAAAAGAAGAAAGAGATCCAAATTGGGTCTTCATTTAAAAAAAAAACACAAATGCTTAATTGTAAAGACTAAAACATCATGATGTATATAATAGAGAAACGGAACTTAATTATATGAACGAAACGAAATTTAAAAGGACAACAACAAAGGAAAAAGAAGCGATATACCAATGGATCAAAAGCTTATATGCATCATGATGATGATAAAAATAAATAAAGAAAAACAAAAATAATAATTGAAAAAAAGAAGAAGAAAGAAAGAATATAAGATCAATGAAGATCGAATGGTGTTGAATCAAATCTTCCTCTCTCTATCATTTTGTGTTCTCTCATTTAGCGTACCTATAGCAATGCGTGATCGCACTGCATCCACGCCTATAAGGATTATTCCTTTTCCTCTTCTTGCAATCGTAGTAAGATCGTCCACGTCTATTGCAAGGCACATTGTTCTTCTTGAGAGCATCATAACCAATGTAACGACGTCCTCTCGCGAGCTGACGACGGTTCGTCTCTGAATCCATCAGAGACTCGAGCTCATCGTCATCTCCGATGCAACCTTGCCCGTTGATGCAAGATTTAGTTAACGGATAGGTCGCGCTGACGGATTTAGCTACCATGGCTAAGATCAAGAGGCCGAAGATGAGTAACAACTTGACACCCATTTTGTTTATTTTTTTTTTGGTTTTTTTTTTGAGTTATTAATTATTATTACTCGTTTGTCTAGGTTTTGGTTTCTTCTACACCCTTTCCTTGTGAAAGGAGAGGGAGAAATAGAAGTCTTGAGAGATTGTGTAGAAGAACAAATGAGAGATTGGTTTTGTTGGCGATTAAAGAAGGTTAAGACAGATAGAGTGCGGTTTTTTGCTTTTTATTATTTTGTGGTCGTTAATTCTGTTACTTTGTAATTGGGGTTTTAACCTCTTTTTTAGGTCTGATTTTGTCCATTTTTCCCGCTCCGTGGTTAGATCTATATTTGTTAGGTTATTTTTGGCTCTCCTCTTTAATCGGCTAACTAACTTTTTTGATTTTGAAAAATATCAGGAATCAAATGCTCAATTTTAGCATATAAACGTTTAATCGTCATCGGTTTTTGTAACCAATTTCAAAAAGCGTAAGAGTGAGTAGCATAACGTGTGGACCTATTGGATCTTGACAGATGATGTACGGATATATAATAGGATCTAATAATATTTTGGATTTTTGTATTATCCGTAAATGCAAAACTCTGCGTCAGTTCTTCAGCTTCTCATGTCAATGCATGTAAACATGTATCTTCTAGAAATATATTTCATTTCTAACAACTTTATTCTCAACTCTATTCTCAAGTCTCATTATCACATATTTTCGATATACTTGGATCATTTGCAATATATATAAGGCAAATTATTGACCCGCACGTTCGGGTCCATATAGAGATTAGTGTGAATCTATTAATTGAATTGGATTCGAAATAGACAAGAAAATCAATGGAGCATTATAAGAGTTTCACATTTAGTTTAAAATAAAATCAATATATGAAGAATATGAACCATCTATTTACCACTAAGTGGTTTTGTAATATAAAAAATCCATAATCCAAAGTAATTTGTTGTTTTCTTTTCTGTGATTTCGCGGGATTCCAGTTCTAATACTACTTAAGAAAAATCCATATATTCATGTTATTCGTAATGACCAATATTTAACGATTTCACTATTGAGATATGTTTATTAAGAAAAACTAATATGTTACATGAATAAAACTTATTACACAAATATGATCACCAGTTGCTTTTACTTGCAAATAGTTGAAAAGACAGGGATATATACATGCAAATGATATGTACATGAATATACTAATTACAACGACATCATCTTCTCGATCGAACCAATCTAACTACTTTTTATCTCACAAGGAACCATCTGGCCACGAGTAGAACCTTCAACATTCTGGCACACCGCAGTGGCAGGACAGAACTCGCTTCGTCCATTGTAATTTAGGTTAATGTCAATTAGCTGAACATTCTTACAAGGAAAGCTCTTGCTACATTGCAGATTCACCGCCGCTTTGGTCTTTGACGTTCCGTATATGTTCTTTAACTTCACGTCTTGGATCTGAACATGAGACTCTCCCTGCAAAGTTCAAGAAAATATGTTGCTATCAGGTTTCCTAGTATGTAGACAAGAAAACAAAACAAGGTGTTGTCTTGTGTAGCAAGTTACCTTCTTTTCAATTTCACAGGGAGGATAAGGGCAATACTTTTGATCGATGTTGATCGGGTTTTTAACATCAATCATCTTGATATTCTCATAAACAAAGTCCGAAACGACAATCTCTGAAGCCGACGATTCCCATGTCTTGATCCTAATCCCGTCACTCGTGCCGTTAAAAACAATGTCCCTTACCGTTAATCTTTTCACGTCTTTTTCATTTTTGTTCCTCCCCAAGCTCCCGACACTAATCCCATGTCCGGGACCGCAAGTGACGTTGGATATATCGAGGTTAGTTGTTCCAGAGAGAATGGCGATACAATCGTCTCCCGTTCCTATGTGAGTGTTCGAAATATTCATGTTGCTTGAGGAACCTATTTTGATACCATCGGTGTTAGGGCTATGGCCAGGAGCTGTTATTGTGACGTTGGTGATGTTGAACTGATGGACGGAGAAGAAGTTGAAATGACCCATTTTGCTGTTGAGTGATGTTATTCCTTCGATACTAGAGTCGTTAACGAATGCGAACCCCATGTTCTGTAAGAAAATGATTAGTGTCAAAAAGACTATATGGCTTAGAGGGCTCCATTCACTTCGATATTGTTCCAGTTACTAGACTATATTATTAAAAAAAATGTAAAACAAAGATTCAAGAAATGGTACCATAGGAAGTTTAGGACAGTTAGTGTTTATATGGCAGTCATTGAGTGGCCAAGAGTGTTTTCCTTGACCGTCGAGTGTTCCATTACCGGAGATAGAGAGGTTGTTAATGTATCTGAAGTTGATCCATATGACCTGTTTAATGTCGTCAGGATTTGAAGGAGCCAATAAAGTTCCATCGATGATGAATTCGATCTTACTTTTACATGGTCCAATGAACTCTACACCACCGAGACAGAATGTTCCTTTTGGTACATATATTTGACTATTTCCACTTGTGGAGCATGCACTCTTCCACACATTTGTGAACGCCTATAATATTATACACGTTCAGAAAGATATAAAGATAATATATAAATACTTCCATACCAATATTTAAAAGATCTTGGCTCTAACCTTTGTTTTATAACAATATTGAGATCAGTTCTATGGAAAGTAAAACTATTGGAAAAATTAAAAGAGACATACATAGGTGTTATCAGTTTTTCCGTCGCCTTTAGCACCAAAACGTCCGACGTTGAAGACTTTAGGTCCGGCGGTTGGACGACTTGCAACAGCGCCGAACAGGAGACACAAACACAACAGCTTAAACCCAGAAACAATGCAAGTCATCTTGTTGTTTTGTTTGGGGGTATATAAAATAACAAGAAGAAGAAATGTGTTATTTACAATAAACTTTGAAGACACAATGAAAAGTGTTGGCCCAATTTATCTGCTTATATATAGAGTTCAGATATCTCAAAGATCTGTTGGATAAAATCTATGTTAACTAGATTTTTGTTAGTTATTATTGGCCAAAATTGATTTGTTTCTTGAATAATGATTTTGATTTAGTTAATCTTTTGGTATGCAATCATGGTTGTATTTTGAGTTCCTTAGAAACAGAATCGTAGTTTTGGTGAATATACCTATCAGATTTAGCAATAAAATTGCTTTGGTTAACCTTTGTTTTTCTGTCGTGTGATCGATTTTGTTATTTAATTTGAGTAGGTGTATCCGATGCATTTTGTTGTTGTTGTCTTCTTTTTTTTTTTTTTTTTTGATAGTATTACCAAAAATAAAAGAATTAATCTTAAACTACCAAAGAAGGCTTCATATAAGATAGAGATAAAGATAAAGAGTTACAAGGCAAATGAAGTTTCCAACTTATGTAATGTTTGATCTCTTGCCACTTGTTGTAGTGTTCTAGTCTGTGAGCTGCTCTTATATGAATTCTTTCCACTATATACAGTAAAGGCATTGTGTAATGTGTCTGCATGGTTTTCTGAAAAAAAAAACATCTATAGTAACTTCTTTTTTTATAATGCCACAGAACCAACTTTATTTTGAAATTGTAATACATCATTAACTCATTACCCTTTAGTCCTCATAATAAATAGTATCCATTAATATAATAGATTAAACTTTACTTAGAAAAGACATTTTTTTATAATAATAGTTAGCCTATATATTGATATAGAAACACTCTAATTTAATAATTTTATTTTTAACAGATTTATTTATATTGTTTAGAAAATTATTCATCTTTAAATGAATAAATCCCATTAAAATACTAGTAATAAATTTTACTAATTTATAATTTCATCTACATATTTTTATTCAAAATGATGTACTTTATCTAAATTATTGGATATATACAGATTAGAAACTACTAAATCCAAGATAACCGGATCAACTATCCATGTCCCGGTTTGTTAATATCTACAAATATCAAAATCTATTCCAAAATCATTGGAAAAGCTAAAATAACAAATTATAAATTGAAAAAAGATCTGACCCAAAAAAAATTACTTTTTAAAGTAAATCAACAGTAAACTATAATACTATGTTCTTATGATAACACATGGTTCATTACTAAAATTTATAATCTAACATTCCTATTAATTTGAAGATTTTATAATATTATACCCATAAAAAATAATAAATACATCTACTTTTTTGTTAAATTTAAAATATATTGGATGCACTTAATTATTTTTTATTTTCTCAAAAAAAAAAAAAAAAAATTGAACACCCGGACATTATATATCCGATTAGTTACAAATTGGAAAAATGTTGACCGGAACTGGAGCGGATCACATATACTATCATAATATCCGCTCCTTTATCACAAAAGGTGCATTGAATTTGTTAGAAAACTAATTTCAAGTAAAATAAAATAATTGTGTGTCTAGAAAAATAAATGAGATTCTTTGAAAAATACCCTACTTATGTTTAAAATTTTGAAAAATACCGTAGGTTTTTTCTATTTTGAAAAATATATATTTTGAATCTAAAAAGTCTGTTTTGACCTGATTTAAACAAAGCATTAATAAATAATTAAAAACTAAATTCAAAAATAATAAAATTAATAAGATTTTGTTTTCCAGATAAATACAGTATATGTTAAATTGAAACAAATTTTACTATTTTTGAATCTCCATATAATGAACTTAATCTCACACATTCCAGCCAAATGAAACTTTATATAAATTTAAACTTTATAAATTATTAAAAAAATTAAAGGGGAGAAATATATCTTTCATTTTTAATGTTTATCTTGAAACAAATTTTAATATTTTTGAAACTTTATATAAACAACCTTAATCTCACCCTCATTTAAACTTTATATAAACAATCTTATATTTTTATTAATTTAAAAAAAAAATCTAAACAGATAATTAGGATGGTCTAGTATTTTAAAATGAAACAAAATTATATTTTTTTGAACAAGAAACAAAATTATTATCAAATCTTAATATTTAATACTTCTAATTTGAATTTCGTTTTTATTAAATTAGTTCAAAACTTCAAATTAGGATAATTCAATTATTTCACATATAAAAAAGTTTATTTTCCAAAAAAAAAAATAAGGGTAATTTTCAAATTAAAAACTCATCAAAGAATATATTTCCAAAATTTCTCAAAATAATAACGCAACAGTATCTATCCTCCAATATCGACATCAATGATGAAAGATATTTCCTCTCTTAATTTATTTAAAAATAAAAAATACGAAGAGCATTTTGCTGGTAAATTTCCATTCAGTTACGTGCATAGTTTGTCTTTGTTTTTAATGCGAATGGGTCCATCTATAACCAAAAATACAGGTCACTCTAGGTGATGTCAAATGACAACAAGTATTGTAAGCCAAGCTGTGATTTGTGGAATATCAACATTAAAATTAAGATTTAGGTGAAGATCGTGGAAAATATCATCTTTTAATCTCTAATAGTTTACGTTATCATACATGAGCATAGCAACAAACAAACCAAAAACAATTGGGCGTTGAAAATTGGAAATATGACCAGAAAATACATGCAATTTCCACAAGCCTCCAATCGTAATAGTTTTATATGGGACATTATATACAACGTGTATGAGATTGAACGAAAGACTATTTAGTGAAGAGTTTGTTTATGTCGATTGCATTATTGTTTATAGTATTAATAACTAAAGAAACGGTAACAATTAACAGTATCAAAAAGAGTTTTTTTTTTTGTATCGATATAAGGTTATAAAGACATTATATTTCTTATAGTGATTACTGATTATCACTCTTATTCGTTAATCACTTACCGTCTTGTGTGATTAATCGGATCTCTTATGTCATAGTTATTAACTTTGAAAGTTGGAAAGCGATGGTGCATGAATAAAATGTAATTAATTTATCTCAAAAGAGAATAAGACAATTATTTTTCTAGAATAAGATAATTTCATGAATTTATCAAAACAGAATAAGACAATTTATGGATTTTATAACAAGGTCGAATGTCTTTATTATGGGCTCCGTTATATACTTTTGTTCTGTTTTATTATTATTAGAAATCAATATAAGAGACAGAAATTATTATCAGGGCAGAATTCTTTTTCCCTTTTCCAGTCGTGATGATAAATATCCAAATTCCAGTCCGACAAAAGTAAAACAACCATTAACCACATTTGGGTTATCATCACCTGACCTGACCAAGGTCGTCCACATGTGATTCATTTGAAAAGCTCATAGTGAAGCTGAATTATGAATTTATGACTAATGGGATTTTTCAGAAAAATATATTTCGAGTGATATCTTAACAGAGTTCCTTCATTTTTCTTCCAATAAACTTGAAATCAAAATACTTTTTTTTTTTTGATTTTAAATCAAATACCCTAAATTTATAGCCTTTTATATTTATTATTCAAAATCCCACATAGTATTACTTATGTTGCATGGAAACTCCGTCCGAGTTATGTTTCCCGTTTCGGAAACGTTTCCAAAACGGAAACTTTCGGAAACTTGTCGAAAACTCGTTTTCCCATGTTTCCTAAAATTTGCAATTTGGAAACTTGTTGTAAACTCGCGTTTCCCAAATTGAGGAAAATTTACTGCTTATTTTTTAAATACAATAATTAAATAATTATATAACAAATAATAATATTAATGAATTGTTTTAATTATTTAAGATAAATAATTAATTAATTCGATTCATTAGATGAAAATTAGTCTTATTATTATATACTGAATTTGATTATTTACAATCTTCTGATGAAGATAGTTTTGATTGATGAAGTATATAATAATAATAGTAATAATAGACATTATAATACTTATCTTTAGTTAAACTATTTAATATTTAATATAATATATATATATTATTTATTTATATATATACGTTTCCAAAACGTTTCCAAACTTATATTTTTCAAAATATACATTTCCCGTTTCGGAAACGTTTTACTTCTGCATTTCCATTTCCGTTTCCATGTAACACATATAGTAGTACTAGCTTTAGAAATGTGTATAATTGTATTAGAGTTTATTTCAATAAAATGTGACTGTAAAAACATATAAAATCTTAGTGGTCCTAATCATTTACTTAGTCCACTTGTCCTTTGAGCCGTTTATGTTCTTAGCTAAAGTAATGACATACAATTAAAATATCGTAAGGTTTGGCTTAAAGGTCAAGGAATATGTAAAAGTGGTAACTTTGGTTTTCCTCATGAACTTTTGTTAGATCAAATTAATTTTTACCTTGATTAGTTTATTAAACAATCATTGAAGAATTTAAGGAGAAACAAAGAAAAGTCTTTGGCAAGTCAGAGAAACAAAATCAATTGTTTGGCACTTAGAAGAAAGAAGTGGAATTATAGATTAGATATGTATCCACCTCTGCATCTCCATCATCTTCAATTCAGCATATCATCATTATCATTATCAGCTACCTCTCTTCTTTGTCTGTTTCACAACTGAGCAATCTATTTGTCAAAACTCTCTCTCTCTCTCTTCCTCTCTCTTTCTCTCTTCCATGTGATACTCTCTGCTTGGCTTCTTCTGCGTTTAGTTGTTCCCATCCAAACGTCCGTACGTCAAGGTTTCTTCTGGTAAAGTCTTCTTCGTCTTTTCGTTTTCCCATCTAAAGAATTCAACCAGTCTCTCTTCTCCGATTTTCTTCTTCCCTTCTCTGCTCTGCTTCTCTGACTGTGATATATATCTTAAGCTGATCTGTTGTGTCTTCTTCTTTCTTTTTTCTTTTCTTGAGCTTTCATCTTCTGGGTTTCATTAATTTCACCCAAAGCTTGAGACTTTGAGCTTACTTAGAAAGTTTTCTTGTAGACGACCAAGCACTCTTGAGTTTGTTGTGATGGAAGCTTCTACAGAAAAATTACAAAAGAGTAGTTCCGATTCATCTGATCAGAAACAGAACACTGATTTTCTTGTAGAGGTAAACCTACTTTTGCCTTAAAGAATCTTTACTATTTGTTAATTACACACAATTAATGATGTTTTTTTCTTCTCTCTCAGGTAAACAACATTGAGAAACAGCTATGGACATTAATCCATTCAAAGGGCATATTACATCCCCAAGTTTCAGAACTATACTCAAAAGCTGGCTTTACATACGAGCAAATCTTTAAAAGCAATCTCCAACTCCAAGAGCTTCAAGAAGTAGAGTTCCGTCTCTGGAAACTTCACTATAAGCACATCGATGAGTTTCGTAAAGGCCTAAAAAAAGATGATTCTGTCAAGCCAGGCACTCATGTGAAAGCCTTCAAGTTGTTTCTGTTGAGAGCAGCAGAGTTTTACCAGAATCTGATTTCTAAAGTCAGAGGATATTATCACAGCAGAATCTCTGATGAGAGCAGTTCACAGAAAAGCAGATTCTTGTGCCATCGTTTCTATATTTGTCTTGGAGATCTTGAAAGGTATAAAGAACAGTATATGAAGACAGATGAACATCCTAATTGGTCAACTGCAGCTACTTACTATCTTGAAGCTGCAAAGTCTTGGCCTGATAGTGGAAATCCTCATAACCAGGTAAACAATTCTTCTTCCATTATTACTCTTTTGTTTGTTTGTTTTTTTGTCATTTCTGAGTGATTTTCTTTACATCTGTGTAGCTAGCTGTATTGGCGACTTATGTTGGCGATGAGTTTTTGGCTTTGTACCACTGTGTGAGAAGCTTAGCTGTGAAAGAACCTTTTCCTGGTGCTGAAAACAATCTTCTCTTGTTGTTTGAGAAGGTGATTCATTCACTGATCCTTTCTCTATTGTCGGAGATTCGATTGTGTTTGCTTTACATTGCTGAAAATGCTGGTTTTTCACTACTGCAGAACAGGTCTTCTCCTTTGCAGTCTCTGTCTGCTGATGCACAGTTTAACTTCTTAAATCCATCGGAGAGAAATGTTCCTGTGAAGGACCGAGATTTCTCACAAGCAATGGCTGGAGATGATTTATGGCCACTGGTTGTTCGAACAATTAGCTTCTTCTTCCTTAAATCCAGGTCAGTTTGGATCATGAGTACCATTTATATGAAGCACAACATCTTCGGTTCTTTTATCTCAAGTTCTTGATGAACCTTTCTCCAAAACTGTTCTTCTCTTGAACTTTTCTCTGTTTGTTTCAGTTTTGATGAGTTTGGCTGCACATTTGCATCAACTATGAGAGAGTTGGATGCAGCTTTTGCAGCAGATGACAGAAATCTAGCAGCTATGATGGAGTCATATCAAGTTATGGACACGGCAAGAAAGGGACCTTACAGAATCCTCCAACTTGTTGCGGTTTTCGTCTTCATCTTCCACAACTTAGCTGAGTTTAATGAGCCAGACAAAGCGAAAGAGGAAGAAGTAAAGCCAAGAAATTTAGCGTTAACAATGGTATTCACCGTCATGGGGAGAGTTGTTGAGAGATGTTTGAAGACGAGTCCCTTGGATTCCTGCCCTCTCTTACCTGCTCTACTTGTATTTCTAGACTACTTACCGATTCTGCTACACAAGGCAGAGGAAGAAGAAGAAGAATGCAAGTTCGATGAGAAGAGCGAGGCTGCGATATCTTACTTCTTTGACAAACTCGCTGATTTCTTGAACCGGTTAAAGTTGAGAGGCGAAAACTGCTCTGCGGAAATGATGGTAGCTCTTTGGGAGGATCATGAACTGAGGTCCTTGGCTCCTCTGGCTCGTGTGCAAGTACTTTTGGATTTCTCAAGTCACATGGATCTAAGAGAGAGTTTTGATAGAGGGAAGGAGCTTCGTCTTCAACGGATTGTTAATTCCGCTATCAAGATCACAAGTAGACAACAGAAGAAGGGTTCTCAAAAGTGGTTATTCTTTGACAAACAAGGGACTCGTTTCTACACAAGTTCAGGTGAAAAACTATGCGAAGAAGAGCTGTTTCATGGAAATGGAGAAGGAAGTAACAGAGAATGTGTTACTTTAGGAACGGCAGAGATCATTCCTAGTGAGAATGAAAAATCTGTGCCTGCAGAAGAGGAAGAAGTCATTCTTTTCAAGCCGCTCGTACGGTGTCAATCTGCTCCAATCTATTCTTCTGGCATTGCAATGAAACCACTCAGCTCCGATACCACAACTTCAGGAAATCAGAAAACTTCATCCGATGAAAGCCTAAGACGTACCTCATCACTCATTGTGAACCATAGCCCACAGAATACTCTCTCTGAAAGTTTCAGCTTCATGCAAGGTCTCAAGGACACGGATGAGAAGCATTTGAATATAGAAGAAGGCACTGTCTCAGGAAGACCTCCATCTCTGAGCGCCTGGGTGGTTGACAAGAATAAAGAGAATGGAAGATTTGGTTTAAGTAAGCAAAACGGGTTGAGTCCTATTGATGAAACAGGTCCAATCACATCCTTTGATAGTCTCTCCATCAGTAGCAGCGCTGAGGATCCTGCTTCTTCGTATTCACCTCCTACTCCGTCAGCTCCATTACTACCTGAAGACGCTTCTTGGTTTCATAACGGCGGCAGTACTAACAAAGCAGAGAGCTTCTATGACCAGACAAGATTCATGAAGCCATACACAAACCCGCCGTTACTTGGGATTTCTTCTTCTGAATGGTTACGACGATACAGAGAAAGCCGGAATCTTGGACCAGCCTATTCCTATCAAGCTCAGGGGACAAACAATCTGAAGAACTTCTTAGCTAAGGGGTCTTCCAAGTTCAGTCTCTTAGCTAAGTACGGGACACCAAATGATCAGTCGATGGTCTCTTCTGAGAACACAACGTTTTACCCTCAGAGATACATGGAAGACCAACAAAGCACAACAAACGGTTATGACTTGAGTGACGATCCCGGACCGTTTCTTCGATACCTGAGAGAGAAAGAGTGGCTGAATGAGAATGGTCAGAGGCTAAGAGGAGCTTCTCCTGCACATATGAACAGCTAAAGATGTTTACAAGAATCTGCCTCAAGTTGTAACAAACCTAAAGTAATCGTCTTGTCTCCTTGCGTTTGTTGCTCAAATTTTCCAAGCGAGTGAAAAAAAACCCAAATTAAGAAAAGGTTCTGGTTGTACAAAGAAGATAAGTTTCCAAAGTATTTATATCAGTCAAGTTCTTTTGTTTTCTTTAGGAATGAATTTGAGTGAGATAGATTAGCGTTGAAACTATTTAAACAAAAGGATACTATGAGTATAAACAAAGTCTAAAAAAAATCATGTTCATACATGGGTGAAAAAGTAGTCAGAAACAAACAAAAAAAAGGAGCTAACGTTGGGGAAGTTAGCAAATCAAACCCTGATCAAAGATGAAGTTTTTGTCTCAGTTCCTTTAATGTTTACTCAAGCTCATAGAAAGAAAATAACACAAGAAGAGGGAACCAAAGAAAGAGTTTGAGAAAGCAAAAACCGATGTTCTTGTTGCACCAGTCCAATCATCCTTTTTTGCTGCATCTCTCTATTCTTGAATGCTCTGTTACTTTGTGTGACTAAAAAATCAACCTGTGGTTGATCATTCGCTTTTATCAGAAGGTGCCAAGTTCAGCTCCTGCATTTGTGTCTCCACTGGTACTAAGCCTGTCTGATCAAGAAACCTGCACAACAAAGGCATTGTAACAAATAAGCAAACTTAGTGATGGTTTTTATAAGCTCCTCAAGATGCTAAAAGACTCCATCTTTTCTAGAAAGAGTCAACGCTTAGAATCTCATAAACCTTAGAGAACAAACGAGTCGCAGTATTAGTTTCCAAAGATATACAAAACTAGAAAACTGAGAAACCTCAAGTGATATCTAACTCAATTTCACAAGTAGTAGTTGATAAGAGCAATGCAGAGAAATAGGTTTAAATCCTTGAATCAAGCAACTCATGGACTGATCAGCGACTTGAAAACACTGGAGAAAGTTTTGTATCAGATCTAACAAGGGATTACATAAATTACTCAGATAAACCAGACCCTAGAAAGCATCAAAATTTTCAACAAAAAAATTGAGAAATGAGAAGGGAATTTGAGAATACCAATTGAGGAGGATAAAGAGAGTAGAGGCGATTACGATGAGAAAGCCAACATGGACAAGCAACATGGATTGGCCACTGGTGAAAGCTACGGAGAGCATGAAAGCGAGACAGAGACCCAGCAGAAGAAACGCGAATTTCAGAGTGTTCCATGTTGGAGCCTGTAAAATTCCGATTCAATTTAACCAAAAAGAAACAGCATCCACAAAGGAACGGGTAAGAAGAGAGAGAGAGAGAGAGAGAGAGTTGTTACGGACATTGACGCCTGGAGCTAGAGCTCCAAGAAGAACAGCTTCCGTTGACGAAATCTCTGATTTCTTCTCCTTCTTCTCCATCGTTTCTTCACAGAGAGATTTCTGAGGAAATCAATCTGGGTTGGTTTTCGAGGAAATAGAATGATAACCGATCATGTTAAACCGACTTGGTTTGTACCGGTATTATTCCGGTTTCTGACAAGCGATTTTGTTGTGGTTTAGCTGTGGACATACACCGACAATCAATTTTGTTACTTGGACACACACACACACACACACACAATCAATCCTTTTTTTTAACGCATTCTGTATTTTCATATTTTCTTAAGCATTTCGTTTTTGTCATGGAAAATTTCAATATAGATTGGAGCGGTCTTAATTACTCACATAAAAAAAGGAATTATATGCAGTTAGACAAAAGTTAAGGTACAAAACAAAAAACACAAAAAGACAAAAGAAACAAAAAGATATTAAGTGTTGGAAGTTTGAATATGAAAACATTTACAAATAAATCACTATCAAAATTTTAAGGTAACAGAAAAAAAAAAAACATTTTTTTTTAAAGATGCATGATAAAGTTCTTTCACTTTGGCTATGTTTTAACAACGATGGGCACGCCAAAGCTACGTCCTATGTGGAACCATTGCTTTAGCTGTGAGTCGGTGACCCCTCTCTCATCAAATGGAGGCCTCTAAGATTATGCCAAATGTCTTAATCAACCGATGCATTTAGTATTTCTTATTCGTATAGTTGACTTTTGCTTAATCAGTTTTCTTCTCCATGCCAAACATGGGATGAATGATGAATCCATCAAATGTCTCTTATGATGAAGGCCCCTATCGTTGGCTTTGTATAATTTGGATTTATGTAGTGTGATACAAGTTCTGTATATACAACTAAAAAGAACAAGAGAGATACAAAATAGCTACAGTAGATTAATTAAACGGGTGTTTTATGTGCTAATTGAACTTTTTTTTTTCACTTTTTTGTTACCTTTATAGTTACAAGTTTAGTAGTAGTATTATTCCATTCATAGACCCAGTAAACGTCTAAATGAAAATGTATAGTGATAGAGTGTTACTTGAAAAAGAATTGTGGAGTATGTACTTATTATAAATGGAACGGATGTTTTACACCAAAAATTAATAAAAAATAATAAAAAGGGGACGGACTAGTATAAAAATTAGAGCGACATATGAGACTAATAATGACAGGATTCATGAATGGCTGCTAGGTAGTGATTACATTAATGTTACATTAATTTTAAATCTTAGTTGTCACAAACTCTATAATGATGCTAGCGTTTTAATTCTCGATAATTTAGTTAGATGTTAAAGTTTCCACGCCCAGCAGTAACAAATCGCCATGTGTCCTTTATAATCGTTGAAGATAAGTTATCTTTAATTTCACAGAAAGACAGAGATTTTTTTTATTTATATACAATCAAATTCGTACGTACATATTGTAAAAAATAATCAACGTGCTTCAATTTTTCGTAGAATTGTAAATCAGTAATGGACACATCACTAATCATCATATCAAAACGTTCAGTTTCTTCGACTTATACTATAATACTCCAACTAGGGTTTGACCCGCGCCCTGCACGGGGTGATGGTTTCTGAATTTGTTTTTTTTATTAGAAAATGTTATTTAAATATCTCAAAATTTTATGCCACGGATTTTTAACTTTTGTTAGATTATTGTCTTCGTTTATTCGTTTATAGTATGGAAATTAAGCATTTTAAACTATTTTTAAAAATATAAATAAATTAAAGTTTTGATCGTAGCCATATATTAAATATGATAGATTTAAAAAAGATACATAAAATTCAAATGACTACAAATATAATAAGATAGTTTAAAGAACAAAAAACTGAAAATAAAACATTATTCTTTTAGAATATTTATACATGTATTTCATAAGATAAGAAGTATACATGTATTTTATAAGATAAGAAGTTTTAGTTGAGTGTACCTGGATAAAACTAATTTTTGTTTTTTTCTTTCAAAACTAAAACATGCTTTGTTATAGTTTCAAAACAATCCACCCAATAAGAAAACAATCTGCATAATCCAAGTTGTCAAAAAAAAAAATATATATATATATAATTAACTTTATATTTAAAGTTGAAACAGATTGAGTAATATTCAAAATTTTAATCAAAATAAAATATTTAGAAAAATAACCTTTTTAATATATTTGATTATAGAATTTAATTAAAAACCATATTAAATGGAATAAAAATAATAATTTACTTTTGGATACCTACTAAATGAGGTTATGTACTAAACAATTTATATTATTTTGTTTTTAAAAATTCAAATCATAGCATGTATAGAAAAAGTTTTAGATTTTCTTTATTAAATCTTGTATATTGTGATTCAAATTATTTTATAAAAAAAAGTTAAATGAATATAATAGGAGATATATGGTGATTTTAAAAGAAATTATTATGATAGAATTAAATTGAATTCATATCTTCCTTATTTACCAATTTTCGTAGTTGTCAATTAAGAAAGAGAAGAGAATGATAATATTTAATAACATATATATGACTCTCTAACCAAAAATATGAATGACAATGTTTGTAATTATTCTAGTAAGCTAATCCTTATTTCATAACTAACCTAAGAAGCTCTCTAGTGATGACACATCAGCATGACATTCTTGTTAATAATACATCAACTAAATGTTACTTTTAAAGTGTTTTCTCTTTTAATATATTAGGGATTTTTATTCACGTACAGACTATCTTCCTTTTTTTTAACAGACAACAATGTTTATAGTGGATTTAATTAAGGCTCTAATGGATTTAATTAAGGCTTAAATGTATAAAACTTTTAAAACATAATTAGAGATGGACAAAAATTGGATAGAAGAAGATTTAACAATTTGCCTTTTTGTTCACGCGGAATTATGAACTTCTTTTTTGGAGGGTATTTATTTCTTCGTCAATTTTGACAGTATTTTTCATTTGTTTGTATGTGTGGGAGTGACTCTTGGCCTTGTTTTTGCTTCAGAGATTCCCTGATTTGAATTTTCCTGTGGAATTAAAACCCTATCTGCCAATCACAAACCCTAGATTTTGTCCTCCATTTTTGATTTCTTCCTCCGAATTTCTCTTGATCTGTGTCTCCTTCGTTCTGATTCTCCTTCTAAATCGTTCCACAGCTTTATCTGTTTGAGCTGAAATTTTGTAGATCAGATTGCAGATTGGAGACCCAGAATCGAATTGGGTTAACTTGAACAAAAATTGTTCAGCAATCGTGGTGTTGAGCTTAAACTCGTGATCTGAAATTGAGTGAAACATCGAATTGAGTTTTTGGTTGCTTTTCGGGAGATTCGATGGAGTGATTTAGAGGAGAAAAAAGGGAACGATGACTGGATTGGGCGTTCGATCCAGTAGCTATGGTTGCTTGGAGAAGACGGGACTTAACGGCGTCGTTTTGCCAATCCAGACGACTACGACGACGCGTACCAAACCATCTAAGATGCAGAAAGAGAGGGAAGGTATTGTACATTGGATCTTCAAATTCGCGGGTCGTAAGAAGGTCGGCATGTTGCTTCTCTTCTTAATCTCCGCCGTTGTCTTCGTTCGCGTCCTTTTCGTCGGAAAAGGTATTTGCTTCTATCAGATCGTTTTTTCAATGATTTTTTTTCGATCATGTTATGGTAACTTGAGGTTTTAGCTTGTGGATTTAGTTTCTAATTGGAGTAAGTTTGATTCGGCTGAATAATCTTAGAGAAAAAGAAGAGTGTCCTTTGTGTGATGGGTTTGTTTTGGCTTAGAAAAGGAGCATTGTGTGTGCTTAAGATTGTGTAGAGTGGTGATTGGTTTGAGAATCTAGTTAGAGCTAGAGAACATTACTGGTGGGATTTTGGATTCAGTGTTATGAACAATGGACTTGAAACCATTGTGAGAAGTCTTGTTTACTTTGGTAAATCAGGTGAAGATGGTCAGGAAGTTCAAGTTCCTCCGAGTCTTCATTTTAATGGCAGTTCAGTTGTAAATCATTCCAACATGTTACCAACAAATGAAGATCAAACCATCAGTATTCGGAATATTTCTTTTATGGGAACAAATGTTATAATGTCACCTCCTCCTCCTATGCATTTTCTTGGCTACACGCTTCCTCAAGGACATCCTTGTCACAGTTTCACTTTACCTCCCCCTCCTGCCGACAGAAAAAGAACAGGACCACGCCGTAAGATATTAACTCTTGAATTCCAGTCTCTTTCTTTGGTTTCTCTTTTCTGCAAGATTGTTGCTGTGACGTTTTTGTAAGCAGTATTTTGGTTTGTTCTGCCTGGTTTTGATTTCAGCATGCCCGGTATGTTACCTTCCAGTAGAAGAAGCAATTGCCTTGATGCCAAGTGCCCCGTCATTCTCCCCTGTTCTTAAAAACTTAACGTACATATATGAAGAGCCACTAATCAGAGAAACAGAGTTTGGAGGGTCAGATTTTGGTGGTTATCCTACTTTGAAACATAGGAATGATTCTTTTGACATTCAAGAAACAATGAGCGTACATTGTGGGTTAGTACCTTTGTGGTCTTTTTGACTTTTGTTTGATCTAATCTTAGTAATGTTTTTAATGTTTTTCTATCAATGATTTTTCAATCAGGTTTGTCAAAGGACCTCAACCTGGTCGAAATACAGGATTTGACATTGATGAGGCTGATCTTCTTGAAATGAAGCAGTGCCGTGGGATAGTTGTTGCATCAGCTGTATTTGGTAGTGCTTTGCATGATACTTTTCTGTTACTTTCATATAATCCATCTTTGTGTGTTTCTAATGAAGGATGATCTCTCTCTCTCTCTCTTTTTTCAGATGCTTTTGATGATGTAAAAGCCCCCAAAAATATCAGTAAATATTCCGAGGAAACAGTTTGCTTCTACATGTTTGTTGATGAAGAAACTGAAACAATTTTGAAGAGAGAACGAGGCCTTAATGAAAATAAGAAAGTAGGGATATGGAGAGTTGTTGTTGTTCATAATCTCCCTTATTCAGATGGAAGACGCAATGGAAAGGTAAATACACCACCTCTCTTATCTTTCGAATAAGAAATTTCATGGACACAAATTATGCATTAAGTTACTTGAATCTAAAATATGAGCTTAATGTCATGCTTAGATATTTCCCCTTAGATTTACAATCTTTCTCCAAATGTATTTTATCCACATTTCTGTAACAACAGCCTTTTTTTGCTTTAGATCAGGCTTGATGTTGTTTACTACTAAAGGGAGAGCAAACAATTCCCTAAGAAACCTAAGAAAATCATCTTTGAGTTTACAATAGTATCTCACTGCAGAGGGCTGATTCCAAAATGAACAGATTAGAGAGAGATTATATAGGTCACTGATATGTTGATACCTCCTTCTCTTGTAGGTGCCAAAGCTTCTTGTCCATAGGATGTTTCCAAATGCTCGCTATTCTTTATGGATTGACGGAAAGCTTGAGCTTGTCGTCGATCCATATCAAATTCTTGAAAGGTAAGGCCTATCATACTTTTTTATCTTTTAAGATCAGTCTGAGGATATTATCGCTAGTGATATGATGTATGCAGTGATTCTGTTTCTGAGCTGCAGCAATCTTTAACTGACACTCTGTTTTCACCAGATTCTTGTGGAGGAAAAATGCAACTTTTGCGATCTCTATACATTACAGACGATTTGATGTCTTAGTGGAAGCCGAAGCAAATAAAGCTGCTGGTAAATATGATAACTCCTCCATCGACTTTCAAGTTGACTTCTACAAGAATGAAGGGTTAACACCTTATTCTGTTGCAAAGCTCCCAATCAAAAGCGGTATGCGTCATCTCTCTTTTGCTTACTCTTTGGATGATTACAAAGCCCTCTTATATACACAACTGTCTGTGGTGGGGGATATGCAGACGTACCAGAGGGCTGCGTCATATTAAGAGAGCATGTTCCCATTAGCAACCTCTTTACTTGCCTTTGGTTCAACGAAGTAGACCGATTCACTTCCAGAGATCAAATCAGTTTCTCAACGGTAAGAGACAAGATTGCAGCGAAAACAAACTGGACAGTAAGCATGTTCCTTGACTGCGAACGACGCAACTTTGTAGTTCAGGTGATTTCTTCTTTTCATGCCTGACTTAGCCTTACAGTAAAAGAAAAATCCTGATTTTGATCATAACCGGTTTTATGGAACACTGAAATGCAGAGATATCATCGAGCAGAACAAGAGAGATTCGCAAGGCAAAAACCGCCGGTGCCTGATTTTTCTCCTCCACCGCCTTCGCTGCCTCCACCGGTTTTAATCAGCAGCGATTTGCCTAGAAAAGCTTCAAGTGGAAAAGCGGTTAGCACAACGCTGCCTAGAAGGCGTGGAAGAGACAGACGGTCCGGTCCAAGGGGTCACAGGAAAACTAATTTGCCTGTAAGATTACCAGATTCAGCTTAATACTTGGTGCTCTTCTTCTTCATGGTCAAATCTCATCACCAACCAACCCGCACATTCCAATTTTACCACACAGTAATGTTCTTTGTTTTTTTTGTTTGGTCTCTATTTGATTCTAAGGATTCAAAAATCAATTTTTTAATGTATATATACACACGAACATTTTGTACTTGGATAATAAATTATAGTTTCGAATTTTTGAAGAAAGTTAAATAGCTGTCTAAGAGACCATCTGAGTTTGGTTTTGAATGTTATCTGAATCTTTCGAGACATTGATACAGTAATTCTTCTAAGTCTTTTTTTTTTCTTTGTTGGTCATAAGAATGTAAAGATCCATATTGGCTATTTCATATGTAGCTCACTGTTCAATGTACACAAATTTGAAGAAAAGAGATATAACTGCATATTCCGGATATTAAAAGGTAAAGATATAATGTACTGTAATAATTTGAAGTTTTTAGCTATAATTAATTGTCTTAATAGTGGAGAGCAATATCCACCGTCTACAATATCATGTGCTAGGTGAGTCTAGTCTCACTCTCATAAATATATGGAGGGAGATTCTCGACTGCGACAAGGTTTCAACATATTAGTTGGAGCATGACATGCATGAATGAAAATATCAGCGCAAACGTCGACTCTTCATTTTAATGGTCAAATGATCCAAATAATTATTGTATAGTAAAAAAATTTAAATTTTAAACTCTTAGAATTTATACAAGACTGTCTACTGAATGTAGGGTCTATGCAAATTTTACATCAAAACGTATACTTATGTTATTAACTCATAATTGTTTAGCAAAATATAAAATATTCAAAATTTTCTCTAAAGAAATTAATTTAACTTTATGGTCGTGTGTTTTTGCACCAATCTTGAATTTATGGCTATTACAACTATGTCAATTCATTATAATTAATTGAACTTTTATTTCTGGGCCATGATTAAAGGTTCTATCATAAAGAGAAGCCAACCTCTTGGTACGTAATCAAATAATGACCAAGTTTTTCTTATTTTCGTTATATAATTCTATAATGTTTACGAACACATGACATGCATGTGACACACAGTATGACAGTACATACATAGGGTCAAAATCATTAGCGTTATTGTTTTCAAGTCTGGAATAAAGTGAGCGTAGAATTCTCATCAAATTTGGAGTCGAAAAATGTTATTTCAGTCAGAGTAATCGTTTATTCATAAGTCGACTTTTATTTGGCTTTTTATGAACGACCACCACCAATTTTGACTTAGTCTTCAAGCTATAAAATATAATACTGACAACTCCCATCAAAATGTAAGATAAAACCGTAACAAAGTTTGATTAGAGACTTGAAGATGATGCACCAATAATCAGAGTGGATTCGAAATTCAAAATTGTGAAAGTGAGAAGATGTTCTATAATCATTAACAATAAAGTGGAAAAAGAAAGAAAATAAACAGAACAAAGTTACAATCTGGTGTCAACTACTTCCATTTCAGACCAACAATTTCTTACAACGAAACCAACAACTAAAATTTGTACCCTCTTATATATACTCTACTTGGTGAATGGTGTGTGTGACAAGGCTCAGGTCAGTCCTTTTAAGAAAACAAACATCTAAGGTTTAACAGCCAAAGATTATGAGTTTGTGTGTACGTTATTGGTTATCTAATACCTAGCTTTCGTTTCATGTTTAAAATACAATCAGAAAACGGGTAAAACAAGCCCTAAACAATAAAATTGGTTTTGAAAAAATAGCATAGGGTTAAACTTAAAATCAAAATAGCATAAAAAATCGGTTATTAGTGTAGTGAGTTTTTATTGTATTTGTTAAGTCAATTTGTGACGACATTACAATTAAAAGTGATTGAGACACAAGTCCAAATTAATGAAATCTTCGTTTTACTTCTATCCAAACTTTTCGGACCACTAGGAGAGTGACTCATACGTTTACTTTCGTGCCTGTGGTTATAAGATTTGAATGATTTATCACTGAATATAACAACTTCGTTTTTGATCAAAAGAAAAACACAAAATCTGTTTTTTTTTTTTTTTTAATTTCATTTTTGCCTTGTGCTTTCCACTTTGTGAGAATCAAACTGACCACTATTGTGAGAAAATCCAAAAAGATGTTCAAAACACTAAAACAAAAACAAAATCTCCTTTTCCAATCCAACGACTACTTGGTTTAACAATGGAGCTACAGAAAATTTAGCTAGTTGCAAATATCAAAATCAAGTCTAGAAACAAAATAGCTTAAAAGTCAGCAATTCGTATTTTATTTAAGCATCTTATTCGAAATTAAAAAAAAAAATGGATCTTTTGTGGACTGAGTTATTTTAGTCCAATCTTCACTAGGGCTTTCTTCAAACTTCCAATTACCTTTTGTGGACTGAATCATTATCCTAAATCTAAATGAGTAAAAATGAGTAAAAATGAGTCAGTTTGTTCCATTAAATCCGTCCATGAGGCTCGCTCTTTCCTAGACCAACGGTTTACGTGTAATTATCCGTCAATTATTGATTGATGCCAAAAATGTTTCTAATCAAGCTTACTCTCTATACAAATATGAAATACGAACTAGTCAAAGATATATCTCTTTAATCACGTCCGTCTTTTCTTGATTTATAATCTCTTCTAGAAGTAATAAAAAATATTTGTCTATTTTCAAAACTCTGTTTTGTCATACTTAATGTGTGTAGTGTTGTGTAGATGAAGAAGAACACGTCTCTTATTTATAACGATACAAAGGACTATATTACAACGTTTTTGTAATCGCAGACGCGCCGCTTCGTGATAATGTATCACACAAATCAAAACCACAAACAAACAAAACACATATAATGGCTCTTTGACCGTCTTGAGCTGATGAGAGAAGAATCACCTTAAAGCCAAAACAGAGGAAAACAAAAAACATCAAACAGCAAGAAGAAGAAGAAGAAGAAGAAGAAGAAGAAGAAGATGAAGCATGGTCTCATAATCCTAAACTGCATTATCCTCGCCATAGGAACATGTGGAGGTCCTTTGTTAACTCGTCTCTACTACACCAATGGAGGAAAACGAATCTGGTTGATGAGCTTTATATCAACCGCTGGTTGTCCGATCATCCTCATCCCTCTCTTCTTCTCCTTCCTCAGCCGCCGCCGCAACAGCAACCGCAACAACGAAGAAAACACACAAGAAAAACCAAAGATCTTCCTCATAGAAACTCCTTTGTTCATCGCATCCATCGTCATAGGGTTGCTCATAGGACTTGACAACTACTTATACGCATACGGGTTAGCTTATCTTCCGGTTTCCACATCATCTCTCATAATCGGGACTCAGTTAGCTTTCAATGCTCTCTTCGCTTTCTTCATGGTCAAGCAGAAGTTCACTCCATTCTCTATAAACGCCGTCGTTTTGTTGACGGTGGGAACCGGAATCTTGGCCTTGAACAGCAACGGAGACAAGCCGGCTAACGTGAGCCATAAAGAGTATGTTATTGGGTTTCTAATGACTCTGGTTGCAGCTGTTCTCTACGCTTTCATTTTGCCGCTCGTTGAGCTCACTTACAAGAAAGCTCGACAAGAAATCACTTTCCCACTCGTGCTCGAGATGCAGATGGTCATGTGCTTTGCTGCTACTGCCTTCTGCTTAGTTGGGATGATCGTCGTTGGCGATTTCAAGGTAAGCATTAAATATCGGATCTTTAATGGTTTTTTGTTGGCATAAGGGTATCTTCGGATGGATCTTAATTTAGTAAAGATCTAAGGATCAGAATATTTTGATGGAAGCCCTAATGACTGAGTTTTTGGCTCTCCTATTTAATTTAAATTTCTTTTTTTACAGTATACTAGATTTTATGATATAGTATGAAAAAACTTACTTTTTCTCTTTTTGTTCATATTAGTTGTCGTTCTAGAATGTATTTAAATAGAAATACATTCAGATACATTCCTAGAATGACAACTACTCCTAACTATTATAAAACGAAAAGAGTAATACGGATATCCAAAACATTAGGAATTACCATGATTAACTTTTGTTCTTTTGTGTGTTTTAAAGGAAAAGATCTCTAGAAAAAATTAAAAATATTCGATGTATTTCAAACTCATTGATGGAAGAAACATCAATAAAGTTTTATTGGTATGCGTAGTCCATTGGATTTTATCTTATTTTATTGGTATGTATATTTAAAATTATTTTATACTATCAGTTTGATGTTTTTGTATTTAAAAAAAATATATACAGTACATATAGGTACGTGTATTTAATTATAACACATGGTTGTTGACAAAAAAAAAAAAAAAAAAAAAAATTATAACACATGGTTTTAACAAACTCCAATCAATACAATAAAGCCCCTAAACTTTAACTTGTATTTGAAACTCACCAACCGAGTTAACACATAATTATGATTAAACTTCAAGATCATGGACCATGGTCCGATATAACATGTTTGACATATTTGTAGGTGATAGCAAGAGAAGCAAGAGAGTTCAAGATCGGAGGTTCTGCGTTTTATTACACGTTAATTGTGATCACAGGGATAATCTGGCAAGGATTCTTCTTAGGAGCTATAGGGATTGTATTCTGCGCATCGTCTCTAGCCTCTGGTGTTCTCATAAGTCTTCTTCTTCCGGTGACAGAGGTTTTGGCCGTTATTTGTTTCCGGGAGAAGTTTCAGGCGGGGAAAGGTGTGGCTCTCCTTCTATCTCTCTGGGGATTCGTCTCTTACTTCTATGGCGAGTTCAAATCCGGCAAGAAAGTTGTTGATAAACCTCAGTCGCCGGAGACAGAACTGCCTATTCTCCCAGCTGGTGATTCTGTTGCTTGAAAGCTCTCTTGCTTTTCTATAAACAGAGCATTACGGTTATATTTTGTTATGTGTGATTAAGTATTTTTGTAGTGAATTTTACAGTTGTTATTCTGTATATGTTGGGTACATATAGAATTTTTTTTTGATAAATATTATAATTTAATACATCTGTAGTAAGATGGAACTCTGAGTTATTAAAAAAACATAAATAATAAGTTTTTTTGGTGGGACAAAATCTAAATAGTGTAGTACTGTCCTTGTGTTTCAGTTTTCAAATAGCTAGAAGTGCATCACCATTAAGGGATTCTCAGAGGGTATTTCATGAATAGAAAAATGAAACAAATAATAATAGAGATGGTGAATTGAGGTTCAAATACAGTTATACAGAAGAGAACCCCAAGTAACACTTTTCACTTTTTCATACTTCAGATCTTTTTATAAAATTAAAATTTAATTATAAAATGTAATTCAATTGAACTAATTGTATTGTTTCTGTTTGAGAGGTATCTCACCAGTGGATATGATGAATAAAAAAGGGATTGTGATACATCTATGTTATTTTGAAAGATGAATAAGTCATAAGTCACTTTTTTATGAACTAATTAACACGACCAATTATTCACTTGGTCTTAAAGTTATAATTGATTACATGTACTTCAGCGTTTAAAACATGGCAACTCCCATCAAATTGTAAGAGATGGTCTATAAACATAACAACGTTCAATCCTGGTCTCAACTCTCAAGTACTTACATTTCAGACCAAAATTTAATTTTCAACGAACCAACAACAAAATTTTGTTTCCTCCTTCACATACTCGACATGATGAATGACTAGGCTGAGGTCACTCGCTCCTTTTAAACACAAATTTAAAAAAAATTAGAGGTAAAACGATTATTAGTATTTTATGTTTTATTTTATAACTTTCTTTTGAACAACTTTTCATTTAAAAAAAATAAGTGGTTACAAGCAGTCGAAAAGACAGAAATTTAGTTCACATGCAGCCGATTTTGCAAGCACATCGGCTTCCAATTTCTCGGAACAAATCAAAAGGAAATTGAGGTAAATAACTTTGCTAGAGATTGAATATCAAAAAGGAGACCATAGATTTCCTTGATTTTCTCTTGCGATGTTAGGGCTCGGATTAGATCCTTAGCGTCTGATTTTACTTGTAGGTGGAGGAAATTCTTCTCCAAAGCTTGGACTAAGGCGGATCTGATAGCAATGGCTTCAGCCTTGAGTGGAGATGAAGCGAATGGTTCAGCCAAGCTTCCGGAGTCGAGTTTGATACCCTCTCTCTTGGTGAAAATCCATCCCGCTCCAGCGATCGCTGTTTCCTGTTTCCAAGCTCCGTCAGTGAAGCAGACCACCGTGTTAGGGTGTAGACTCCGATGATTGGTTGGCCGGGGTCTGGCTTGGTGGGGTTTCTTCTCCAATACTTGTGCCTCTTGCCATTCACGGGCATCTTGGATTGCTTTGAGGTTAGTGTCTTCTGGTGTAAATGATCTGTCCTCAAAGATGTGATAGTTTCGGGCTGACCAAATGGTCCAACAGATCCAGATCCAGGGAAACAGAGGTCCATAGCTGATTCCAGAGGGTGGGAGGCAGACGAGGCGTTTCAAGACGTTGATGGAGGCTTTGAAGTGGATCAATGATAGGTCGAGAGTCTTTCCAAACGGGGCTAGGGACCAGACTTTCTGAGCATAGTCACAGCAGAAGAAAAGATGGTCAGTTGTTTCAAGCTCCCTGCAATAAATGCATCAGGCATTGTCAAAAAGGCCTATGATCAGAAGATTCTCCCAAGTAGGTCAAGCTTTTTGAATGATCTTCCATAGAAACAACTTGATTTTTAAGGAGAAAAGTCCTAGCCATATGTCTACATTCCAGTTGATTGATGATTGTTGTGTTTCTGCAGGCGTTTCTTTCAGAGCTCTGGAGATATGATAGCCTGTTTTTGCTGTATATTCACCTGATTTTGATGGCAGCGAGATGTATGCGTCTTGTGCTCCTCTTCGACGAGGTCGAATGTTCATAATCATTGGTAAGTGATGTGGTAACAGCTCTTCAATCTTTCCTCTGTCCCATTATGTGCCGTTGATTAACGAAGTACCCGAGTTAAGAGGCATGTTGGGTTGGTCAGGATTCACCAGCTGAGCTTAGCTAGGAGTGCATCAAAACTTTGGATGTCACAGAAACCTAGACCTCCTGAGCTTTTAGACTTTGTCATCTTTGTCCATGAGGTCCAGCTCATTTTCTGCGTACCAGGCGTTTGGTCCCACCAGAAGCGCGTAAGGGCAGATTGTATGCGTTTGCAGAGGCTAACCGGGATCTTAAAGCATGACATAGAGTATGTAGGTATAGCTGAGAGAACACTTTTGATAAGTGTTAGTTTGCCTGCCGTTGTTAGTCGTTGTGAGGAGTAGTTCACTGCTCGCTGGCGTATGCGATCAACAATTAAGGAGAAAAGATCCTTCTTCTTCCGTCCAAAGCTCTTAGGTAATTCCAAGTACTTCCCTTGACCTCCCTCGTTCTCTATGCCAAGTGTCTGCTTAGCTCTATCTTTTATGTCTTGGGGTGTTTACGAGGAGAAGGAGATGGATGACTTCTTGTTATTGATTTGTTGCCTTGATGCTTCCTCATACTTCTGCAGGATTGAAGCAGAAAAACATCATATCATTTGCGAACAACATGTGATTTATTTTATTTTATAACTAACTTTCCTTTACTTACTTAATTTTTATATGTTCTAAATTCAATTGGAAAACAATACGAAAAAAAACCCATAAATAGCTTGGTTTTTCAAAAGATCACATAGAACCCCGAAACCGATAAAACCCAATGTGATTGTAGAGAAGAGGGTTGACAAACCTAGTTTACATAGTGCTGACACTCACAAGTGACAAGTCACAACTAAATGTTACTAGCTAAGATCTAGTTAAGATCAATCTAAGTGGACAAATCTTTTGGAATATAACATTATTGAGTTGTGATCACAACAACCTACATATATATATATAAAGTGATACTATATATAATATATTATCAGAATTGTTAACACTCACATAATAGAATTGTTTTTTAGTATGAATCGATATCAAACACACAACAATAAGCCAAAGTGGAAACTAATATTCTTCTGCACGTGTTTCATTCGGTCAACAGAAATCTAGATAACGTCTCGCTCCCAAATTCTTTCCAACATAAAGATAACAACAATTCTCTTTAACTAATCACGTACGTCCGCCGATCTTGTGGTCTTGCTTTTCATACACAATTTTCCATAATAAATTAAAAAAATAGCATAACACCTAGAGAAAAGCTCTTCTCTATTTCAACTCTCGTCTTTTTGTACTTAATGTGTGTTGATCAAAACAACTTTTTTATTTGTCAACGATCAAGATGTGTTAATTTACACGTCTCTTCGTTTCAGTCTAAGAGGACCATACAGCGTTTTGATGTCGCAAATGCATCGCTACGTACGTAATAATGCATCACACGATTCAAAAACACAAAGACACATGTAATGGCTCTTTCACTCTTTTAAGCTGATGAGAAATAACCAAAAATGCCAGACAATATTAGGAAAAGGCAAATTATATTTTAATAATAAGCTAGTTTTCCTATTGGCTGTAGGAAGCTCTATGTGGAAAAATTACCCATCTTTTTTTCAATCTTTTAAATACACATGTTAATGTACAATTAGTCTATGTAGTCATATTGGACACTCACGTTTGTATTTGTATGTATTGTGTGTTAAAAATGTCAAATTGCTTATATATTTTACAATATAAAGAATACCATAGTAATTTTCTTGTTTAGGTTCTATGATTAATTATAGTTTTTTCCTCGGTTACTAAATTCAATTTCCCATAAAGCAAGCCGTTACAATAACTTTTTCAGAAACAAAAAAAAACATCAAGAAGATGAAGAACGGTCGGCTAATCCTAATGTGCATTAGCCTGGCTATAGGAACCTGTGGAGGTCCTTTGTTAGCTCGTCTCTACTACAACAATGGCGGAAGCAGAATTTGGCTCACTAGCTTTCTGGCAACCGCAGGTTGTCCAATCATCCTCATCCCTCTCTCATTCCTCTTCCTCCGCCGCCGACTTAGCAACCGCAACAACGACGAAGCAAACGCAGAAAAAACAAAGATTTTCCTCATGAAGACTCCTCTGTTCATCGCATCCATCGTCATAGGGTTGCTCACCGGACTTGTCAACTACTTATACGTATACGGATTAAAGTTGTTGCCAGTTTCAACATCATCACTCATAATCGGAGCTCAGTTAGCTTTCAATGCTATCTTCGCTTACTTCATGGTCAAGCAAAAGTTCACTCATTTCTCTATAAACGCCGTCATTTTGTTGACGATTGCCACAGGAGTCCTGGCCTTACACAGCGACGCAGACAGGCCGGCTAACGTGAGCCACAGAGAGTATGTTATTGGGTTTATAATGACTCTTGTTTCAGCTGTTCTCTATGCTTTCCTATTGCCGCTCGTTGAGCTCACTTACAAGAAAGCTCGACAAGAAATCACCTTCACACTTGTACTCGAGATGCAGATGGTCATGTGCGTCGCTGCTTCTTGCTTTTGTGTCGTTGGGATGCTTGTAAATGGCGATTTCAAGGTAAACAACAAAAAAAAAACGAATCAGATTTATATATGTTCTTCTTTTTTTTTGCATGCATGAGGGTATATATATATACCCATATATTGTTTGAACAATATATATATATATATATATAATATATATATATATATGTATACCTATATATTTGTTTTTGCATGCATGAGGGTTTATATATATATATATATATATACCCATATATATGTTTCGATGATCTTGATTGAGTAAAGATTTCACAACCAGAAATTTAGTTATGTTCAGTGCAGATTTTGATGCAAACCCTAATTATAAACTTAGTTTTTTTCAAAATTTATTTCTTTGGATTTTTATCTACATCAAAATTTTGGTATGGATTTTCAAATAAAAATACTAAACTAGATTTAGGTCTCGTGCATATGCAAGTTTTATAATTTAATATAACTTGTTCAAAAAATAAAGTAGCTATTCATTTTGTCACATGCTTCCAAATATTTGTTTTTTTTTCTACGTAATTAAATTATGTTTACTTGTTAGCGAGTAGCTAGCTATAAGCTATATATATCTATGTTTTCAAATCCTTACAAATTTCTTCTTATAATTCTATATTTGTAACTTCTAATTAAAAGTCATCGATGGAAAATAATACACACACAAAATATGATTAAACTACTCAAACCATCATCTTGTATATTATTTTTGATATGTTGGTAGGTTATACCGAGAGAAGCAAGAGAGTTCAAGATCGGAGGAGCTATGTTTTACTACACGTTGATTGTGATCACAGGGATAATCTGGCAAGCAGCATTCTTGGGACACATGGGGGTTGTGTTCTGTTCGTCGGCTCTAGCTTCCGGTGTCCTTATCAGTGTTCTGCTTCCGGTGACAGAGGTTTTGGCCGTCGTTTGTTTCCGGGAGAAGTTTCAGGTTGAGAAAGGTGTATCTCTCCTTCTCTCTCTCTGGGGATTCGTCTCTTACTTCTACGGCGAGTTTAAATCCGGCAAAAGAATTCTCGGTAGTTCTCAGCCTCTTCTTGAGACAGAATTGCCTCCTCTTCCAGTTACTGATTCAGTTGGTTAAAGCTCTCTTGCTTTCGTATAAGTATAAATATAAATATATATATTATTTGTTGTAATTGTGAATCTGTGATTGTGTATTTTACTACTACTTTTGTTCTCTAATAAGTGGTCTTTTAGAGTTTTTTTCATAAATAAGTGACTTTCTCACAAATCAACGAAAAAAATAATGTACTTTTGTTATTTTGACTGTTTAAATTCTGCATATTGATTTTTTATTGGTTGAATTGTATTGAAAGGGAAGCTTATGACTTTTATTAGCAAGACAATTAGGACAAGAATGTTGCTTTTGGGTAGAAGAAAGTAAAGAAAATAGTTTGCAAAATAGAAGAAGGGTTTCTCAATCGTTAACGATTTCCACTTCAGACTTCCAACAATAAAATTTGGTTTCCTCTTTTACGTACTCCACCTGATGAATGATGACGGAGGCTCAGAAGTTAACTCACTCCTTTTAAACATCATTCTAACTTTTAATTTAGTGGGTGATTGTATGATGTATGTTTTACCAGATTTAGTGGGTGATTGTATGATGTCTGTTTTACCAGATTTGAGGCAATTTGGTTTGATCGGTCTGATTATGTCTAATCTACTTGTGTTGCTGGATGATTTCTCCTTTATGGAGCTAGTCTCCCTCCCAAATCCTCCACTTGGTTTGAGTGGTGTTATTGCAGGGAGTTGGAGTCCGCATGTTTCAACTACTTTGGTCTGTGTAGGCTCGTTAGCTCGGTGCTTTGTCACTAGAGAGTTCAATGCCGTTTGCTCGATTGTTAAACTTGCACTTGTTGCGTTTTCAATCCCGGGTGTAGGATTACGAAAATTATCCTATTTTGCCCAAGGCTCCATTTCACTTCTTCCTATTGTGGTCGTGGTCTCTACAGGACATCTCTTTGATTATGGTGGTTTAAGTCTTATGTTAGCTCCTATCCTTGTTGTCTATGCTTTCAATCCCGCTTTGTTTAATGCGGTGTCTTTAGCCGGTTTGGCATTGTTGTCCTTTGCTTGGAACAATTTCTCCTTTAATGGAGAATAATCATCTATAAAAAGCTTTAGTTCGTCCAAAAAACAAAAAGAGTCAAAACTTTTAAGAGTACATTATTTTATGGTAGGTTCAAAATCAATCCAATTGGAAAATGGTAACGCCGAACGCGTAAATAAATTTGGTTTTGAAAAATCATTTAGAACCCCAAAACCGAGAGAACCGTATGATTATACAGAATAGGGCCAGTTGATAAATCAAATTTATATGAAAATTGAAAATCCAAAAAAAAAAAAACAAAACCAAGTTTACATATTGCTGACGCTCACACAAGTCACAACTCAAGTTTACTCTCTACAGCAATATGACATAGCTAAGATCAGTCTAATTATTATTATTTTATGATTAGGAGGTTTCGGACCGGAAGGCCCCCATACATCCACCAGGAGCGATACCCACAGTGTGTAATATAACCTCTCATTTGGAGATTAGACCTTCAAAATCCATACGTTTTCGGTAACCAAGAATTTTAATTACTAAGATCAATCTAACTGGTACACATACTTTAGAGTTTAGAATATAATGTTATTGAGTTGTCAACACAATATCTATATATAGATATGTATGAAAAGTGATATCGTTAACATATTGTTAACACCCGGATAATATAAAATTTTATAACAATAAGTCAAAAATGGAAACTAATCATTAACATATTGTTAACACCCGGATAATATAAAATTTTATAACAATAAGTCAAAAATGAAAACTAATACTCAGAGATGTAGAAATATTCTCCTGCTCGTGTTTCACACAGTTTATAGAAATCAGGATAACGTCCTGAGCTCCCAAATTATTTCCAATATAAATATAAAATATTTCTATTTAATTAATCATGTCCACCTTTGCTAATAATTTTGTTTGTTTGTTAACTAGGTGAGGTTCGGACCAAAGACTTAACTCCTGCTGAGTATACTGAGTAAGTTCAGAGCATTTGCTAATACTGTTACAAGACAATTCTACCACGGAAAATTCTACCGCCTTCAAAGCCTCTAACGTAAAACATCTCTACCAAGGAACTAAAAGCACGACACGACTAACTTCTGCCCTTAAACCATTAGTCCAAGCCATCCAGTTCATATTTTTTTTTTCTTACTTTACATACACACTCTTCCAAAATAAAATAAAATTAACATGATCAGAGAGAAAATAATTTTCTATTTCAATTGTCTGCTTTTTTTATATATAAGATTGTGTGTTGATTTATCTCTTTTTGTCAACGATCAAGATGTGTTAACACGTTTCTTCTTAGTCATTGTCAGGATAAAAGGACAATACAGCGTTTTGAAGTCGCAAACGCGCCGCTACGTAGCAATGCATCACACGATTTAAAAACCATAACACAACGAAATGGCTCTTTGACTCTTCTAAACTGATGAGAAATCACCAAAATGGCCAAAACCGCCAAAACCGAGGACAATATTAGTCAGGAGAAAAGGCAAATAGTATTGTAACAATAAGCTACTTTTCCTATTGTCAACCTATTGTTAATGCACATATGAATAAAGCAAGCCATTACAATCATTTTCAGACATACAGAAGAAAAGAAAAAACACACCATAAGATGAAGAACGGTCTCTTAATTATAATGAGCATTAGCCTGGCTATAGGAATCTGTGGAGGTCCTTTGTTAGCTCGTCTCTACTACATCAATGGCGGAAACAGAATCTGGTTCACGAGCTTTCTAACAACCGCAGGTTGTCCAATTATCCTCATCCCTCTCTTCTTCTCCTTCCTCCGCCGCCGACGCAGCAACCGCAACAAGAACCAAGTAAACGCAGAAAAAACAAAGATTGTCCTCATGAAAACTCCTCTGTTCATCGCATCCATCGTCATAGGGCTTCTCACAGGAGTTGACAACTACTTATACGCATACGGGTTAAAGTTTCTGCCAGTTTCAACATCATCACTCATAATCGGAGCTCAATTAGCTTTCAATGCTATCTTCGCTTACTTCATGGTCAAGCAAAAGTTCACTCCTTTCTCGATAAACGCCGTCGTTTTGTTGACGGTTGCCACGGGAGTCCTGGCCTTACACGGCGACGGAGACAGGCCGGCTAACGTGACCTACAGAGAGTATGTGGTTGGGTTCCTCTTGACTGTGGTTGCAGCTGTTCTCTACGCTTTTATTTTGCCGCTCGTTGAGCTCACTTACAAGAAAGCTCGACAAGAAATCACTTTCACAATTGTACTGGAGATTCAGATGGTTATGTGCGTCGCTGCTTCTTGCTTCTGTCTTGCCGGGATGCTTGTAAATGGCGACTTCAAGGTAAACAAAAACAAAAATTAAAAGGATCAGAATCTTTTATATATGCATATATGGTCTTTTTTCTTGCATATCTTTGGATGGATCTTGATTGAGCAAATATCTAATACATTACTTTTTTTATATGTGATATTCTGCTTTGTTTGCATATCTTTGGATGGATCTTGATTGAGCATAAAAATCATATTTGAATCGAAAAAATTAAGAGAAATTTGAAGAAATACACATTTTGGGTGTCAATTTTCAAACTACATCTCTAGTGTCACAGTTTTCAAAACTACAAATTTTCTAATTTTAATATATAAGTTTGGGTTCACTAATCTTTAACTAGGGTTTAAATTTTGTTGTTTATGGTTTAACTTTAAAAGTTCAATGTTAGATTTTAGCGTTTAGGGTTATTTCACTCGATGAAAAAGTGTAGTTTTGAAAATAAACATCTTAGAGTTGTAGTTTTGAAAATTGACAAACAAAAATATGTAGTTTTGAAAAGGGGAAATTTCAAAACTACACCTCGTGAGGTGCCAATTTTCAAAAATACACCTCTATGGTGTCCATTTTCGAAACTACACTTTTTTCATTGAGTAAAAGAATTTTAAACCCTAAAATATAAACCCAAACCCTAAAATCTAACATTGAACCCTTAAATCTAAACCCTAAACCTCAAAATCTAAACCCTAATCTAGGATTAGTGAACCCAAACATAGATATTAAAATTAGGAAAAAGTGTATTTTTGAAAATTTTCAGGTGTAGTTTTGAAAATATGTAGTGAAATTATGCATATATTTCCCATGCCTTGTTTTTTCTCTATAAACAACAAGCAACACCATATTGTATGGCCAAAAAAAAACACCATACTGATGTACAATTTAATTTGAGGTTTGAAGGAACTCCGTATGTTCTTCAAATTATTTTACCATGCAAGAACACAATCTTTTCAATATATAAATAAACTTATCTCATGCACTGTAGAGAACCTCACCTAATTATATAACACATGAATTGAACTGACTGAATAACACAAAATTCTAATTAGGATGTCCAGTCAGTCCAATTATCCCCCTTAAATTTCAACTTCTATTTAAAAGTCATCAATGGAAAATAATACACACACAAAATATGATTAAACTACTCAAACCATCATCTTGTATATTATTTTTGATATGTTGGTAGGTTATACCGAGAGAAGCAAGAGAGTTCAAGATCGGAGGAGCTATGTTTTACTACACGTTGATTGTAATCACAGGGATAATCTGGCAAGCAGCATTCTTGGAATCCATCGGGGTTGTGTTCTGTGCGTCGGCTCTAGCTTCCGGTGTTCTCATCAGTGTTCTGCTTCCGGTGACGGAGGTTTTGGCCGTCGTTTGTTTCCGGGAGAAGTTTCAGGCGGAGAAAGGTGTCTCTCTCCTTCTCTCTATCTGGGGATTCGTCTCTTACTTCTACGGCGAGTTCAAATCCGGCAAAAGAATCATCGATAATTCTCAGCCTCTTCTTGAGACAGAGTTGCCTCCACTTCCAGTTACTGATTCAGTTGGTTAAAGCTCTTTCGCTTTTGTATAAGTATATATATAAACAAAGCATTAAAATTATATATATTTATATATACTTATACAAAAGCGAAAGAGCTTTAACCAACTGAATCAGTAACTGGAAGTGGAGGCAACTCTGTCTCAAGAAGAGGCTGAGAATTATCGATGATTCTTTTGCCGGATTTGAACTCGCCGTAGAAGTAAGAGACGAATCCCCAGATAGAGAGAAGGAGAGAGACACCTTTCTCCTTGTGTGAATATATATTTATATATACTTTTTGTAATTTTCTTTAATTTTATGTGTGAATATGTGATTGTGTATGTTTTGTAAATTTTTGTATTGTTCTTATGTATTTTTCTTTCAACTTTCGTTCTTGTGCATAAACAAATTTTTGGGAAAATCGCATAAGAAACCTTCAACATCTATTTTTAGTATACACATGGGCATGTCCTGACCTAAAGCACATAAATCATTGTTATAAGCGCCAAAAGACTAAAAATTTAGGGGTGCCACAATTGTAAAAGTTAGTATTAGCATAGTTGTTATATTCTCTTCATTAGTGTCTCTGCAAAGCAATTTGAATCGCCTCTTATGTAGAACCTATTGATTTTCTTTAAATAAATTTTTAAATGGAAAAAACAAAAATTGCTTTAGGCGCCAAAACGAATCGGGCCGGCACTCAGTATACAGTAAAATTTCTGCCAGTTTCAACATCATCTCTCACAATCGGAGCTCAGTTAGTTTTTATTGCTATCTTCGCTTTCTTCATGGTCAATCAAAAATTCACTCAATTCTCTATAAACGTAGTTATTTTGTTGACAGTTTGGAACCCGTATTTGGACAAATGGCTTAAGCTAGTGTCGGGTGACTTTTCCGCACAACTCTTTTGTAGGAATGACTAGATTTTAGAATCATTGGATTTTTTGGTGGGAGCATTATGAGACAATGTATTTATATATCAAAAATAGTGTTTTGTTTGAATGAGAAATGAAGGTACAAAGTGGATTACTTGTAAAGTTTAAGAATGTAACATTTGTAAAATATCACATATTGAAAGTATTACAGTAAAACCTCTATAAAGTAATAATGTTGGGACTTTGAAAATTTATTATCTTATAGAGGTATTACTTTATGAATAAATTCAATATTCATGTATTCTCATAATCTTCGAAAATTATTCTCGATATGATAATATATTAAGAAATGAAAATAATTTATTCATTAATATGACATATATAAACTTGAAATTATTATCAAATCTTTTGGATATCATAATAAAACATATATTATTAGTTTCTATAAATATTTATTTATATAAAATTTGATACATAATAAATGTTAAAATTTTATAAATAATTATAGCTACTAATGAAGTTGAAAATGATATGTTTAGAACATATTTAACAATTTTACATGCATATAAAAATTGCATTATGAGTTTTTTATATAAGAAAAAGTTAAAGATAAACTTCAATTCATAATTTAATAATTGGTTTAGGCATATACAATGTATAATTTTATATAATTATTACTTTAACTTATAATTGGGACCATATTTTTACATAGAGTTTCAAAAATATTATTATCTTATCATCTTATCGCATTTTGCTTATTTTTACATTGGCCCGAATTGGGACCGGAGAAATTTATTATCTTATAGTGATTATTACTTTATCGAGTATTACTTTATAGAGGTTCTACTGTAGTTAATATCCTCTTGTGTATATTATGGAAAGTTCAAAATTCTTACTTAGCCAAATTTATTTTGACTTATTTTAAAATAATTTAGTCAACACAATTATCTTTATGTTTGATTTCCATAACTGACGAAATATTTTGATAGTAATCCTATTAGATTAATTACAAATCAAAAAAATAATCATGGGAGCAATATACGTTTTTCGTTGACTGTGAGCATATAGCTCTTGTCCTCCTCCCATGATAGCAAACGAAAGAAGACAAACAATCCTTCATCCTTCTTGATTTTTATGTATGAATCTTTGATAATTCTCAACATACATATATCAGTAATGTAAAATAAACTTTTGTGATCGATAAATAAAAGAACCAACTGCTTGACGTCAGAAATAGTCAAAGAAATCTTTCAGTTAACAAATCTTCCAATTATAGAGAGAATGATTCTTAATGTCATTCGCTTTCAACAGCTTGTCGCTGAAAATGTAAATAAAATCAGGGTGCCACGGGATAATTACAACATTTTGATACGTAATATAACTGATGGCTAAAATTATGGAAACAGAATAGCAAAAAATCATGTTGTAACCATCATCGGAGGCTTAATTAGGTCAAAAAAACAAAGATCGTATCATAGGATCAAAAAGGACAGAATCAAATCTTAAGCAAAAGACTGTTAAGTACTTGTCTTCTTTGATAACTAAACTCCTGCAGAAAAGTTTCACATTACCAAACAGAATTCAGAAGCATCCATATCGTTTAGGAGGACAAGAAATGGTGAGGGCTCTTGTGATCATAAACTGCATAATCTTAGCCATAGGAAACTGTGGAGGTCCTCTGATCATGCGTCTCTACTTCAACAACGGTGGCAAGAGCATTTGGTTCTCAACATTTCTTGAAACCGCAGGCTTTCCAGTCATCTTCATCCCTCTGCTCGTCTCCTACATCAACCGGCGAAGCAAAAACACCAACGGAAGCGAGAACACAAGTTTCTTCCTCATAAAGCCGCGTCTCCTTATCTCGGCTGCTCTCATAGGCATTCTCTCAGGGTTTGATAACTACTTATACGCATACGGCATAGCTTATCTTCCGGTTTCAACAGCTGCTTTAATCATTGCTTCGCAGTTAGCTTTCATAGCCATCTTCTCGTATTTCATGGTCAGCCACAAGTTCACTCCTTTTACCATCAATGCTGTTGTGCTGTTGACTGTTGGCGCTGCGGTTTTGGGAATGCATACCGAAACTGATAAGCCCCTTCATGAGACTCACAGGCAATACATCATTGGGTTCTTGATGACTGTAGCAGCAGCTGTTATGTATGCTTTTATCTTGCCGCTAGTGGAGCTTTCTTACCAGAAAGCTAAACAACCCATGAGCTATACACTCGTGCTCGAGGTCCAGATGGTTTTGTGTCTTCTTGCTTCTATAGTCAGCCTCGTCGGTATGATCATAGCTGGTGATTTCAAGGTAATTAGGTCTGTCTTTTGAAGCTTAGTGCAAGAGAGTTTTAAACACATGTGACTGATCAGTATTTGCTTCTGTTTTTTTTGCAGGCACTACCAAAGGAAGCAAGAGAGTTTAAGCTTGGAGAGCCACTGTTCTATGTGGTGGTTGTGTTTTCAGCTGTAATATGGCAAGGATTCTTCTTGGGAGCCATTGGATTGATCTTCTGTGCGTCTTCTCTCGTCTCTGGTATTATGATATCGGTCCTTTTGCCCATCACGGAGGTTTTAGCTGTTATCTTCTACCATGAGAAGTTTCAGGCAGAGAAAGGTCTTTCTCTTGCTCTCTCTCTTTGGGGTTTTGTCTCTTACTTTTATGGTGAGATCAAATCTGATAAGGATAAGAGGATTCAGCAGGAGACTGAACTGCCTTCTGCGTCCAGAACCATAAGCGAGTGTTAAAAACAAAACAAAGCTTTAGTTAGATTAGATTAGAGGATGTTTAAACAACTTTGGAACTATGCCAAAAACAGAGCTCTGAGAAGTTTTCTTTTCATTTCTTTGTTTATTAATTATTATCCACATCAAATGAGTTTGTGACTGATAAAATATGAGGCCAAATCATGAACCCTCCTTCTGTTATGCTGTTATTGTTCTACCAGCAATAGATGAAACTAGTCTTTATCTTGTCTTCTGCTGAATGCTTTTAGCTTTCCATCTCTTTCATCCCATTAACTTGTTCAACAATATCGCCAGCAGCACCATTATCGAGAAATCGCGTACCAACTGAGGACCAGTCCAATTCCACCTGTAAGTTCAACCAGTAGAGAGCGTCTGGTAAAGCCTGTTTGGTTCATTTTCATGATTCTTCATTACAATGAGGAACAAAATCACCAGTAAATAGGAGATAACATCCAGTTGAATCACTATGTAAAGGCAAAATCTTTTAGCTTTTTTCTAACATGTATATCTTTACACTGCTTCCCCTAGAGATTCTACACTAAATGAATAAAAAACAGGTCTATACCATTAGATGCATGCTTGATAAGAAAAGCTATTTATCTACATATACTACTCTCATTTCCAAACAGGCCTAGATAATCCACTATTAACATATAAGCCATCACTAAATCTTCTACTGTAATCAACTACATTCCTGTAAGCTAAATTAGATTTACTCAGACTATAAAGGTATGTACTCACCAGCTTCCGTCAGCAGAATCACTCAATTCACTGTTGATTTCTTCCTTTGCAAACTCTTCCAGTATAGCGCGCTGACGTCCGCTAACTTCACTAGAGAATACAGAAAAATAAATACACAGCATCAGCAAAGTAATCTGTTCCAACACCAGAATGACAATGCCACCGGATATCAAGAAGCTGATCAATTCAACATTAGTTTCTAGAATCAGATTTAAAGGAGAAAGGATTCCATGAGCAGATGCAAAGTAACAAACTGATAATTGACAAAAGCCTCAATAAAGTGTCTTGTCTGTTCTAGATAACAACAGAGATTTTAGCATAGCAGAATATGTTTATCTCCAACAAATTGAACTCAAGTAGAAGAAATCTTACGTAGGAATCTTTACACGGAATCGCACATACTGATCTCCATGATCTACAAAAAATCCTTCTTTCGGTAGTCCTGCAGGAACTCGCATCTTAGAAACAAGTACAAGCAAAAAACAAAGAAGATTAACATTTAACGATATAGGCTGATAGTTAGGTGTACCTTTGCCTCTTAAAACACGAAGTTGGCCAGGCTGAACGCCCTTTGGTATCTGCAAATAATGAGAACAAGTCTCAGTTACAAATGGTAGATGCCAAATCATATACATTTGTACACAAGATAATGAAATATACTATAGATCTCATTGGGAGACGAATCTTACATCTAGCTCTATCTTGCCTGATAGTGTTGGCACCACAACTTTGCCTCCCAAAATGGCCTGTCAAATAAGTTTTTTGAGACATGTCCAGTATGGCTCAGATATAGTAGAAATAACGTTAACAATCTAGAAGACATTAAAGGATGCTGTCACGTTGGACTAATTTAGGTAGTGTAAAAAGCAATTTGCAATGAATGCTGCAGCCGAGGTTCTATGACTAGGTGACAAAAATACAGCAATATCATGCACTTGAATTTTATGACTGGATGCCATCAAATTAAGTTGGAGCTGATATGCCACTTAATCTAGTAATAGGACAAGCGCGTCACATAGTTAATGATAAAGATGCTACTAGCTAGTATTATCATACTTGGTAGTTAGTAATCTTACTGGTAAAACAGAACAAAACTCATTAATTTGCAGCTAGACTGCAGACAAGTTTGATCTAATAGATGTCCTCTTGAGGTTTTCTTTTATCCGCTGGCAATTAAGACTTTTGACCACATGTCTCACCATGCAGGAAAAACATTAGTTTAGAAGGAATCACCAGTGTGCTTACTTGTGTAAAGCTAATATTAGCATCCACATAAATATCTGAGCCATCCCTAGAGAAAGTCGAATCATTAGCAACCTGTGAGCAGAAAAAAGATTAGACACTTGTCATAAAGGGAAGATACAGTATGCAGTAAGACCCTAAAAGGCAAGAGTGATGACTGATGATAGAACTTGAGAATACTTAAGGATCTTACAAGACGCATAAACAGTCTATTTTTTGTAACAAGCCTTTATTATATGGTGAGAACCGGGGAGAAGTCCAACACAATAGAGTAGCCAACACATGTATATATGTTGACACAGTGGTGAGATTTTTCTTGGAATGAAAACATTCGAAGTCAATCTATGACTTATTAAATGACTTTGACGCTTGCATCAACTGTCTTATCTCTTAAGACTAAATTGATCATCTTGAGATGAGACTCATATGGTAGATCCACGTCAAGGGTGAGTATGATTCAAAACCTCTCTAAGCACGTCTCAGGAAAAGTATTAAAGAGACAAACTTGAAGAAAATACAGATGCTTTTAACAAACCTTAAATTTGATATACAAGTTCCCAGGTTGGCTTCTTCTTGATCTTACATGACCAGCACCTTCGATTACGACCGTAGCTTCAGACTCCACCCCTGTGGTCGAGTAAATAGACAAATTAAAGTTTTGACAGTCATGTCATCGAACCGAATTCACTATCTGGTCCGGAAAACTCATGTAAAATGATACTCGAAAATCACTATTATAGATTCTTCGTTTGTCTCTCTCGCAAATACCAAGCGCAGACAAAACACAATTTACCAGGAAATGCATCTAGCCAAGCATAATCCTAAAAAGAAGAAAAAGAAAAGCCAGCTATCAACAAGCGTGACTAATATTTCAATTGGAATAACATCTAAACCACACAAACCCTCAGAGAAAGGAACGTAACAGTGTGAATGAAATCTTGCCACTAATTTCATAGCATAAGTGAAATGTTTTAAAACCAAGATAGACAAAAGCATAAAGATTTTAGACCAACCCCCAGGGATCACAACTTCAACCGTCTTTGTGGCTTCCACGACACCGGATCCTCTACAAGACATGCAGTTCTCCTAAAGAAATAGACAATTTATATATAAATGCTTGTAACCAGTGACGGAGAGATAACTACTAAAGCATCAATAAAAGCGATCTTTTTTCGCAGACCTTAACAATGTGTCCCGACCCCTTGCATGTCTGGCATGTTGCTGTAAAAGGAGGAATAGTTACCTGTTAAAGAGACAAAAGGCACAGTACTGTAAATATAAACTGTTATCATTTATTAAACCTCCAACTAAAACAAATATTCTATTCTGTAGTGGACACTTACTCGTCCAGCGCCCCTGCATGTTGGACAAACTCTCGTGGCAGCATCCAGAGTGTGGCCAAGCCCATCTGTAAAATGATAAATGATGAGAGACTGGGAGTAATGGGGTTTGCAACAATAGTACTGTCAATTAAGTGCGTCATTCGTCCTCTCTAAGTCGGCAGAATCAGCAGAATTTTAATGACTAGAAGCCGTAAATGTTACAAGAAACCAGAACAAGAGATGCGCAAAGCTGTAACATTACATTTACATTAACATAAACTGAGTGCAGACATTTCCAGAAGACTATTCTCCTTTAGAGTTTTTTTTAGTTTTTACCATTTTGAACAAAAGCATATATATAATGAGCCAAGACGAGTTAGGACTCCTCATTCAAAGTGTCTATACTCTCAAGTGTCGTTTCACGAAACTTTGCACACCATGACTGGCTTTTCAATATTAGTAAATGCTAAAAGAGAAGATATCTGAAATTTCTAGGGCCACTCACCACACGAATCACAAAAGACATATGCATCAAAATTCAAACGCTTTGTGCACCCTTTTGCGGCTTCGTAAAAAGAAAGCGACAGTTCCACCTATTCAGTTTTGAACAATTAGAGAGATATTCAATGAAGACCTACACACCAAGAACATATGCCAACCAGCTTCCCATTGTATAAAAATAAAGAGAGAATCAGAGGAAAACTGACCCGAATATCAGGTGAAGACTGATTAGTTTCATTCTCAAATATCTAAAATCAAGTGTACCAATGTTAGAGATTTAACTAGTCACATAAACAGATGACGCAGATCCAAAGAAAAAGTAATGCACCTCAGAAAAAATCTTATGGAACGAATCCGAGAAAGTGGACTGATAGGCACGTCTAAACCTCTCTGCATCACCACCGTCGTTATTTACATCATCTGAATTCCGATAGCGCAGCTGTATTGTGTGATAACATCAAGAAACCCTATTTAGTGATCTCGCCACCAAATAAAATAACAGCAACACAAGCGTACCTTATCATATTCTTCTCTTCTTTCAGAATTTCCAAGAGTCTGCAGTTTTTCAACCAATCAGAAGTTACCTTCAATATAACACAGAAGGGCGCAGATGGAAGGACAAAAAACAAAACCTCATAGGCCTCTCTTATTTCCTGGAATTTCTTTTTGGCTGAAGGATTATTTCTATTTGTATCAGGGTGGAATTTCTTTGCAAGCTGCACAGGTGTAGAATTCAACCATAAATATGATTAGACAATACTAAGAACTGAAGAAGCATTTGTTAACAACGGGCCTAGAGAGGCTAACCTGATGGAATGACTTTTTAATCTCCTCCCGCGAAGCTTTTGGAGAAACACCGAGAACATCATAGTAGTTACGAGCACTGGAGAAGGATGTTCCTGAGAACCATTATACACAGCCAAAAGTTGAGTAAAATGAGAAAGGAACACACCGTCTCAATCAAGAAAAGGGAAAAGGCCAAGAACAAACCTGTAGCGTGAATGTAACGCTCGAACAACGGATTCTGAGACCCTGCAAAATGTCAATATTTAGTAATGTAGACACAAAGATCAATTTGGAGTTTCTCTAATGGTAGCTACCACTGTATATACATTTCAATTCTGCTAAATCAATAGTGCCCAATACTTTGATTCTCATTCCTGACAAATCCTAAAACCCCATTTCAGCTAAACTTATCACTACATTGGAATTTTAGTATACCAAATTTTCGTTGCATATACACAGAAATCAGCTTAGATAAGGCCATAGCCTGGAACAAAATCATCATCCCAACGAAACCAATAACCCTAGATAATTAAGAAGAAGAAAAACGTATCTATTACCTGGTCGCAATCCGAACGAAGAATCAAATGTTCTTCGCGCCTGTAAATTCCGCAGAACCTACGAAGAAATGGATAAGCATAGATTACAAAAATTAAGCTCTCGATTCGGAATCGAGGGATGAAGGAAGCAAACCCAATTAAATCTTCGCATGATTGTCTGGATTCAAAGCGGAGATGCAGAGGTTTTTGGTTTATGAGTTAAACCCTACGCGAATGCCGAGACACCAGAAACGTTCGCTAATTCTTTGTTTTTTTTTTTCCCCAGGTTCCTCTAAAGTCTCTAACTCGCGCAGAAGATTCGAAATTGGAGACAGACTAATGTTACATTGGCAAGGTGCATAATTGCATATAACCAAGTCTATAATGCGACCATACTTAGAAATGGTTGGGTTTCCTTTGTTAAAGTCTTCTCCCACGACTAGAGTTTTTCATTTCATTTCGTGTGTTTAGTTGACAAAATCAAACAAAAAAGATTATAATGAATCGATTAAAGAAAACTGGTATGGAGCTGTCAACAAATTGGCAGTACAATGTCACGAAAAAAATGAGTTATTTACGATTACTTGCTAGGATATAACACGAATCACGGACCCTATAGATGGTGCAAAGTGCAACACATGAGCTCGCCATCATCGGTAACACCCTTGCAATATAGATCTTTCCTCCATTCTCTCATACAATATACATGAAGAATGGTTTACACATTCTACACCCAAGTTTACATTCGTCTCTTGGCTCGCAATGCATAACCGCTTGTCAACAGGGGACCGAATGTTAAACTGGAATTCCGGAGCCTCCGGCTCTTGTTCTTCCGTTTGTTCACTTTGCTCTTAGTTTTTGGTCTTTCTATTTTCTAAGTTATCTATGTATTCTGTCTCAAATCGAAAATGTTACAATTCAGGGTAAATCCCAAACTTATGAAAGAGCCCAGACTGTGTCCATTTACGTCTTTCAAAATATAAAGATCAACAGTTTCAAAAGGAGAGCTACTAGTAACTAAGGATAACATTCCTTCATAATTTATCATTTTAGTACACAAATGAACACCACCCTCCGAAAATTCTATGGGATGGAACTTTTCGGATCTTACATGAAAACTTACACCATAATATAAAAAAAAGAGGCTCTATAATACATAGTTCCATTGAAGCAAACCCCACCTGTTCCGGTTGAGTAATGCATAAGGCAAGTTTTCGTTATTATTGTTGGAACTCGTTTTTTAGTGTAATCATATGTCAAAAATGAAGTTTTTTTGAATGAAAAATTGAGATTTAAGTGGGTTGCTTGTAAAATATAAAATGTAATATTTATGAAATGTCATATATTGAAAGTTTGAGTTGAAATCCTATTGTATATAAAATCAAAAATTTAAACAAAGTTTAAAAAACTTGTATACACTTTGATGCATTGGAGAAAAAAAAAGATATTTGGGCTGAATTTATGTTTTGAGTCTAGAAAATAGTGTATATAATTATTCAATTATTTTGGTCAAGATTCATTTTGAATTGTGTTATTAACTAAATCAACTAATATCTCCTCGAATTAAATTTTGTCAAATGACAATAAAGTTACTGATTTTACAACATTATGTTCAAAGAATCAAATATTTCTTTATGGCTATAAATCTTGGTATACGTTGAAGGCATCGGGCTTTATAAAGTCATCTCCCCTTCTCTTGTGAATATGATTATAGACATCGTCATTCACACAAAAAAAAACAATTTTTCACTTCTCTTTTTTTCTTTTTGCTATACAAGTATAATAAAAAAAATGTTCGCGAACTTATAATTTGAGTTTTGCAAACATAAGAATTATACAATTTTATTATAGGATTCGGAACGCCATACAACAATACATTACGAGGCGTTTACAGAATTAAGGAAAGAAATTATCTCTCGATTTTGCAAATCCAGTTTTTCTTAATTCTTGTCTTTGTATCATTTTAATATAAATATAATATTAAAATGATACAAAAAACAATAATTAAGGAAAAAAGTTTGCAGAGTCGAGAGATAATCTCTTTTCTTAATTATGTAAACGCTCGTGGTATGACGGTTGCATGACGTTCTAAATCTCAGGATAAAACTGCATACTTCTTATATATACAACACCCAAATCATAAATTTGCAAACTTTTTTATGTGTTGTACTCTCATTGAGCTCAAGAATCATAGAGAATATGATAATCAACGAACAATATGATCGGAACGTGCCAATCTTTGTATGTTATTTGATAACTACAGACGAGAAGAATAGACCCGTCAGGATTCTATTGAGCAAACGAAAAAAAATGAATCCCTTACATAATTATAAGAAGGTGGGAAGATGTGGTGGCCATGCAGAGGACTGAGATTCGAACGAGTTGGTAAGACTTATAAGTGTGGTTAAAGAAGACCAGAGCTTTGATACCCATCAAAATCACTTATGAGATTTCGCATAAGCGATTTCGCAGGAAACCTTAGAGAGTATAGCTTCAAGGTTTGATCAAAAGGTATATGGTACTGGTCTAGTGTGTTGAGAAACCTGAGATGTGTCATCATCATTATCATGTGTTGCCTTTTGAATCTCTCCTGACTCTTCCTCCTCTTCTTCATTCATTTTTTTTTTTGGTCGAATCCTCTTCTTCTTTCCGAGAGCTCAAAATACTTTTGTTGACAAAAACCTCAAATTCTTTGTTGCCTTTATTATACCTTTGTCTTTTTCAAACTAGAACTCTAAATCTTACCACCTACGTATATCATGCTCTAACTATAGATGTCAAAAATTAAAATAACAATAACATAAGTTTCCATTAAATAATCAATATTTTGAGTATTTAATATTTAGAAGTTATTGAATGAATGAATAAGGGAAGATTATGACTTGACAAATATTTTAAAATCAGTTCCACCAAAAAAAAAAAAAAAAAAACAGTAATCTACTAAGTAGAGATTTTAGTTTAAATTTGTAACTAAATCCATTAAAATTCATGAACCAATAAATCTCTAAGATTAGATTAATAATTAGTTATTTTAATTTGTGACATTTTAGTTAAAAAAATGTTATTGTTATTTTTATTTTCTTTTGCCCAATATTAAATTATAAATTGAACTGGGGATTGTATATCATACAGAAACTAAGAAGAAGAAGAAGAATCGCGGAGAAAAACAACAAATCAAATCATGAGTGCGCAGGAGAATCACGATGGCCGGATCTCTACTCCCGCTCCGTCGGAGCCCAAAGCTCCTCACTCCTCTGACTACGCTCCTTACCCTAAGCTCGACCCTAACGAAGTCACTCCTCCTCCCCCTTCTCATCCCATCTCCGGCGATGCCGCAACCACCATGCCGCCGGAGTACAATCCTTACGTTTCTCCCTCTCCTGCCCCTAAGAGTAAGCTATCGTTCTCCATCCGATTTCGCATCCCATCGAATTTCTCTGTTTCGATTGGTTGATTGATCGAATCTCGCAGATACGATGGACTCTGTGAAGGACACGCTTGGGAAATGGCAGAAGATGGCATCGGAGGCCACCAAGAAGGCAGAGGATCTCGCCGGAAACGTTTGGCAACACTGTAAGCTCCCCTCCCTTACTCTCCTCTTTCTTCTTCTTCGCCGATCACAATTGCGAATTAATGATAAATCTCTGATTTCTCTCTCTCTCTCTCTCTCGAAGAGAGATAGATAGATAATCTTCAATTATGTCCTCTCGTAAAGTTAGCTGATGATCCAACAACAATTGTGCTATTGTGCTATTGATGATCTTCCTTTTGAGCCAAAAACACTGGGGAAATGCTGAAAGATCGATTCCATTTATAAGTTTTAGTGCCTCTTGACTCTTGAATCTTCTCTAGTATAGGTTGTTTGATCGGAATTAGTGAGTCTTGAACTGAAGATGTGATGATACAATTGGATTTGAATTGATGAGAGTGTAATACGTTTTGATATCTTTCCTTTGTTTGTTTTCTCAGTGAAAACAGGCCCGAGTGTAGCGGATGCTGCTGTTTCTCGAATTGCTCAGGGGACGAAAATACTCGCAGAAGGTGGATATGAGAAGGTGTTCAAGCAAACGTTTGATTGCCTTCCCGATGAGCAGCTTCGCAAGAACTATGCTTGCTACTTGTCTACCTCTGCTGGTCCTGTCATGGGAGTTATGTATCTCTCGACTCACAAGCTCGCCTTCTGCAGTGACACTCCTCTCACCTATAAAGAAGGTGACCAGACCAAGTGGAGCTATTACAAGGTATCTGTTTACATTCAAGAACGCAATTTGAGAACAAAGATTCAAAAACCGCAGTCATTTGATGATTTTATGTTGGAAGGCTTTGGCGATTCTAATCATTTCAATGAATTTATATACATAGATATATAAGATAATACTTCATCTTCATATATTCATAACAAACTCTTCATTTCTACTTATCGGCATATAGAACATAGTGTGTGGTACGCATAAGAGAGCAAGCTAAATCTTATGGCATACCTTGGTAAACTTGAGAAACCATCGAATAGTTGTTGGCTTGATAGTTGAAGCACAACAGATCGTGAGACTTAGAGTGGTTCCTTGAGAGAACGTTAAACTCTATTCTCTGTCATGTTTCTTTGTACAGTCTATGACTGTGAGTGATGATTTTGATCTGATGATCTTATATATGAACAGGTGGTACTTCCGGTGAACCAGCTGAAGGCAGTGAACCCATCAACAAGCAGAGTGAACACGTCTGAGAAATACATACAAGTGATCTCCGTCGACAACCACGAGTTCTGGTTTATGGGTTTTGTGACTTATGAAAGCGCTGTGAAGAGCCTTCAAGAAGCTGTTCAGTCACATGGTCCATGATTGTGCATTAAAATATGGAACAGTGTGTTTCAGTGTATTTGTTGATACCGTTTCAATGTGTTGTAGATTTTGTACTCCTGGGATTTTAAACATTACTTTTGTTCATTTGCGTTCGTATGATTAAATGATTATTTGTCTATTTGCAAATAATCTTCTTGAATCTTATCTAGTTACTTTTCGATCCAGAGGTATTTGTTCCACCATTAGCCTTTGATGGTTCTTGATATTATCAATGACCAGTTTGTGCAGTACTCTCTCGTAAACAAGAGAACCTCATTGTCTTAATATTGCTAGATAATCCAAATATAACATTGCCTTTTAAGATGGACCATTTTGTGTGAATTAAATTTTACGGGATAAAATGCTTGAAGTATATAAAGGTTAGAGGACGTCTGTGTAATATATCAATACTTTCTAGAGACGAGTTAGGTCTTTTATAAAAGCCGCCGCTTCAAGAGCAGAGAGCATCATCAACCAATCCGCCGATTACGTTTTCTGAGAAATTAGGGTTCTCCACTTTCGATCCATATTCTTGTTTCCGATTTATGTGTTTGGTTTTTGTTAATTATGCTCAGAAAGTTCCCAATGATCGAATAACCATTATATTTAGTTTCAGCCTTGTCTGAATATTATCAATGTTGAAAAAAATTCAATTTTTTCTGAGGGAACTGATATTTCGTATAGCTTTGTTACATTTTTTGAGATTTGAGTCGCACAATTTTGTTTTGGTTTCTTTTGTTTTGGTTTTGATTTCCGATGATGATTCGAGAAAATCTCTATAATAAGTTTCAGCCTTGTCTGAGATTAATCAGTGTTGATAAGTTCTTCGATTCTGAGGGAATCTTATTATTGTATTTGTCCATCTTGTTCTTTGGCTTAGATCCTCAGATGTATTTTATACACACAGAGAATATAAAACAAATCCGAGGATATAAATCATCTTTGAGAAACACCTAAACGCCATGATGATGATGATGATTTGTTTAACTTGATAAAAGTCGTGTGTTATTCAATTTTAAGTGATGATTTAAGTTTTAAACAATGAAATTTGGATCAGACGCAATCTCTCAAACCTCTCTTATCGATCCTCTTATTTACTTGTTTTTTTCTGTTTCTGTACATCAGTTATGACATTGGAAGTAGTATTGCTCGTCTTAAATTCGAATGAAAAATGATTAAACGGATCGGAGCAGATGATGAGATTTTTGCATTTACAATGGTGCGCACCTATTAATTATGCGGATTATATAATCGAGCTTTTTAAAACTGATGCTCCGATTCTTCAATTTTATTTGAATTTTATCAAAAAAGAAATTTGGATTAGTTAGAGTTTTTATTCTTTCCGTTGACTAAAAGATTAGGCTAGAAATTGTGCCAGAATGGCAGATAGAGTAGCAAAGGAAGCTCTCTCTTTTGAGAATGATGCTCCTAAGTTGTACACTATAGTGCCAGAATAGAATGGGTTAAAGACATCGTCAATGTGAACAATCCATTGTATTAAGCTTTAAGGTTAATAAAGAGTTGAAGTTGAGCCAAAAAAAAAAAAAAAGATTAGGCTAGAAATATAAACATTGTAATTGTTTTGGTAAAATGGTGTGAATTAATCAAGAGTTTCACTTAAAACTTCCATCATTTGTTCAGTGTATTTGGAATTTTAATTAAAGAAGTCTGGTAAAAAATTTGGACGATATATATACACTGAATACTTGGAAACAAATCCAAAATGGTTGATTACTTGCATTTGTTGTATCTGAATGATAAGTGTATCTTAATTTTCTCTTGATTGTATTATTCTTACGAATAGACCAACTTTAGAAGTTAGTGATTGGTTGTTTGGATTTCTTATTAAAATTGTTTAACATATAAAGTTATAAACTATGAGTCCAAGACTAGTGTGCCTACCAAATTTTAAGATTTAGCATTTGGACTGTTCTTCTGTGTTAAATGAACTTCGTCAGTCAGTCTTGCAACATCAAGATATTTTATGGGTTATCCATCTCCATCTAGTTATTTGGTTTGAAGTGTTTTTAAAAAAATATCCAAAATATGTAATTTGAAAAATCATAAATTCTCGAACGTCTAAATACTTTAATTTCCAAACATGTAATCATGCAACATATTTCAGTATAAAATATATAAGCTCCAAAATTTGATCCATAGACTTTCATAACATGATGATTATAATTTTTTGGATATCATATCAATTCAAAATTCAAACACTTTATATTTCTAAAATAGTAGTCTTGAAAAATAAATTTGAATTAGTTAATGTTTGAGTACATGTGTAAGCTTGAGCAATTTTAAGTAACAACAAAAAAAGTTAACATGAAAAATCCACGATTTTTTCTAATACTATTAGTCCCAGGCCTACTATCGCCGATGTACTTTTGTGTAGAAGTTAATTACACCTGGACTTGAGTATCAGTGTATCACTCACTACTCTTAAGTCTTAAACCTGAAACGAAAACTTGGTGAGAATGTCAGTTTAACATACTTTTGTGGAGTGATCACACTTTTCACCAGGCAAAACACAACCAATTGATAATGTTATCCGTAGAAGATGGATAATTTTGCTAGTGACCAAAGATGTAAATTCAGTAAAAACCGATATCCGGTTTCTACATTTGATTAACGCTAACCAAAGTGTACAAAATAATGAAATTCACCACTATTAGTATTCTACTATTCTTACAAAAGTTCATTTATTTTTAATCATTACTATTCTTAGAAAAGTTGATTATATAAAATTTTAATCGAGGAAAGCATGCAATTCAAAAAGAGGCTGTAAAGGAAAAGAAAGGAAGGCGGGAGGGGCAATTCAAAACAAAATTAGACAGACATGGGAAGAAGCGAGTCAAAGTAAGGCAACACATATTACGTACACTACTAATTGATGTGGTCAAAGTTTTATCTTTTTAAGACACGAAACGAGAGGTGGCTACTTCTCTAAACGAGTCACAACTTAGACGGAAACACTTTAGAATATAGAAAGTTTAGAAAACTTGATTACCTATTTATCAAGATATAACTCTAAATAGTTAAGGTGGATTGAACAAAAGATCAAATGTATGATATATGAAGACTACTTGTATGTAGATCTTTGATAATATAGTATAACAAAAATGAAAAATTAGTTGAACAATGTTGGATCCGAGATAGCACTCGTCAAGACGGGCTATCTAAGATGTGAGTTTAGGAAACTGGAACGCTTAATTCGACTCTTAGATTATCAAGAAGATTACAAGAGAGCAATCTCGCTAACAAGCCTAGCGAGATTATGTGATGAACAAGAGGATAGAGTAAAAGCTAATGTGAAAGCCTAGTGATTCTAGATGATTTCGGATCCCTTCCCCAATGGGGGGTCTTCAATATATAGGTTGATAAGTCGGCCGAATGATGAATATTCTCCTTCAGGCGAGATGGAAAACTTCCTCTTTTGCGATATGGAAAATTCCCTCTTGTTTTTGGATCTTTTCCATTCTTTAAGTCGGCATGAAGATTTATTTACATTTCTCCATGGATTGTGCCTTTCTCTTCAAGTCTTGCCTTTTTCTTGAAGATGTTAGGCCTAAAATCGGATTGGGCTTTGTACTTTACTAATGATGACGGGCTCAGGGAAATGTGCTAATTTCTCCTCTAACAATAAGTCCCCCCGCCAGCTCGGCAGGTCAAATGTAGTTTGATCTCGGCGAGCTTCATGAATAGAGGACGAGCTTGAGAATCATTAGTAAAATACATCACTTCAATCGGATCTTAGTGCCTAGGTGCATGCTGAATGTAGATTCGTGCCGCCTCATTAAAACCTTGGTACGGAAAAACCCAATTGGGACAAAAACCATAAAAAGGAAAAAGAGTACGTTGACGTCATCTAATTCATGAGTAATGCTTCGAATGATTTTTGCCGCGACCAAAAATGCTTTCTTGGTTCGAATGTTATGACGGGTTCGGTTTTCAGCTGTGACTGGGCGATTTTGCCACGTCACTGCCCAGGCGGACTGTTTGCAATTGCGTGGGCTGAGTCCGATAGTCGATTAAATCGCGCGGAGGCCCAAGCCCATTAGTGCTTTTCCATTGAGCGGGAAAGAAATGAATAAAAAATTCATAAGGGCAGTTGTGTCCCTTGGAAGTCGCGCGATCTCTATTAAGAGACCGTTCGAATTTCCTTTATTCATTTTTGCTTCTTTTCTTCTTCTCACTCAACCGTCCCGACGAATCAAAGGTAACTTCCGCAATCCGACTTCAAATCTTGCCTCGATTGATTTCTCGAATCGATTCTTCCGGGATTTAGGACTAGGGAATTACGAATTGCTCGGATCTAGTTAGGTTGTGCTCCGATTTCGTCTTCTCATCCGCCGATTCGGGTTTTAGGGTTTTCGATTCGTCAAATATTTCGTCTCGGTCGTCGAGTTTTTCCGATCCTTCATTCAATTGAGATGAATCCAAAAGACAGAAAGGGAAAGGGCATCGCCATGGATGACGGCGATGAGACGATTGCTTCGATTGCGCGTCGGACGCGATCCTCCGCTCGTCCGGAGAGGCTTCTTGGTGGAGCCATCCAAGCGGATGCGGCGGAGCGTCGCAGGAAGACGGCGGTGGATGAAGCGACGGCCGCTGCTGAGGCCGAGAAGGTGGTCGAGTGGCTGAGATGGAGGAAGCGGCGAGAGTCGCCGCCGAAGCCGAGCGTCGGGAAGAGACTGAGAGACAGAGGGAGGGGGAAGAGCATGATTCCTGGTGACGAAACCGACTCTGATGAAGACGAAGAAGCGGGGCCGTCAGCCAAGCGAGACTCGAGGGCATCCCGGATGTAATCAAGATGCCGAGTCGTACGCCGCCTACGGGCCTAATCCACGATGGGAGGTCGTGGATGACGGAGGAGATCCTTCGAGACCTCATAGCGGAGGCTGAGTTCCCTGACTCCGTGGAGTTTCGTATCCCTGGCCATCTTGAAAGGCCCTACGATGCTCCGGCTGGGTGGATGTGCGTTTACGAGTGTATGTTCACCGAATTTGGGATGAACTTCCCTCTGTCTCCTCTATTTTTGCAATTTGCGGCTGATCGTGGCGTCCTACGAGTCAACTGACCCACGGCGTGGTTCGCCACATCGTTTTTACCGAGGCCCTGGCTAGAGCCGCCGGAGTTGTATTCGACCGTCTCTTATTTGAGCACGTTACTGATCTCCGGGCTTCGTCGCGAGAGGGAAACTTCAAGCGGTTTCATACCACGATGAAGTATGATATTGTTTTCGGGGATTACCGAAACAAGATTCATTGGTGGAAGAAATATTTCTTCTTTGTGAAGATAAACCGAGCCTCAGTCGGGAAGATCAAAGCTGATCAGATTAGGACAATGGGTTAAATCACCGGGTAGAATTCTTGATTAGAATTGCTATCTATGCTGCTGAGTTTGCGTTTTCTGATGTTGTTTGTTATCTTCGCAGGACCGTCCAGGCGAGCGAGACCGAACGGCGAACTCAAGGAGAAGTTCAGGCTGCTGAAGGAGCTTAGCCATCGATTGTGGCCTGAGGTAGTGGCGGCGCTTGAGAAGAAAAGCAAGAGAGGAAAGATAAGAGGGAGGGAAAAACAAATCTGCCATCCCTGCGACTCCGATATCTAGTAAGCGTTTGCTTCTTTCTCTTTTTTTTTGCTTGGTTCTCTCTTCGGGTATCTTAACGTTTTGCTTTGTTTTGCAGCAGCGAAGCCATCCCGTTCTAAGAAGAAATCGATGGGTCTTAGGAAGAGAGCGGCCGTGCCTATTGACGACGTTGTCGTTGCTTCCGAGCCGGCGCCTAAAAAGAAAAGGGTCGAGTCCCCCAGACTGAGGGATTCTCCTCCTTCTCCCCTTCGGAGCTCTTCCATTGCGTCGCGTACGAGGTAAGTCGCCTATTGATGGATTCTTCAGGAGATAGGAATTCCGATGTTAATCGTAGACGTTCTTTGCAGGGCTTCGACGAGGAAAGCCTCGACTTCTGTTCCTGAGGGCGTTCCGGAGCAAGTGATCGAGCTTGACTCTCCTCCTTCCTCGGATCATGACGAGTCTTCCCATCACGATGAGAGTGCTTCTCATCACGATGATTTGAGGATGGTTTGAGGACCCCTGGCGGCGTTCCCTCCTCTGACCGGCGTGATCGTGGTGGTTTCGAAGGAGGGGAATCATCTCGGCGTCCAGGTGAGAATGATGAGGCGGTGTCTCGTCACTCGGAGGCGGGTGGTTTTGCTCCTGGCTCGAACCTCGGTGCTGAGGGTGACGCCGGAATTCCAAAGGATGGTCCTGAGGGCTATAATCCTCACGCGTTCAAGACGTGGTGGAATGGCGGGAGTCCTCTTATGGAGGACCAGGATGCTTGCGGAGGGGCGACTTGGATGTCTAAAGTTCATCCCGGCTTGGGGATTCCGCGTGAGGAGCTCACCTTTAGGACCGATTTCGACGAAGCTGCTCAACATCATATTATGTCTGGCGGGAAGTTCACCGCGTTGGTCCAGAAGTACGAGACGGCGCTTCGGGCAGCTAAGGACGAAGCCTTTGTGTTGCGGCGGAGCAGGAGATGGCCAAGATGTCGATACGATGGTGGCTGATTTGCAGCAGGATAAACTGGCGCTTGAGTCGAAGGTCGCGGCGCTGAACAGGGAGATAGTGAAGACTCTCGGACTCCAGGTAGCAGACAAGCTGAGGGCTCAAGTGAGTGATCTGGAGGAGAAGGCGCGTCGGGATGCAGAGGCTTCTGCTGCTGAGATGGAGCGTCTCCGACGGTCTCGTCGAGAATCGGTCGAGGCGGCTGTGACTCAGGTCTTCGACTCGGTGAATGACTGGTATGCTCCTCGTCTCCATCGCTTGTCGGAGTTCGTCGCGCAGCGGGACATGGTTGAAGCCGCTGTGGGGAGGAGGCAAGTCGACGAAGCTCTCCTCAACTTCGTGAAGAAGATTCGGGGAGTGGATCTGAACTTCGACGCGGTGGAGGAGAAGCTCGCGGCTAAGCTGGCGAAGAGCATCGCGGATGGGGATGCGATTGACGAAGTTGTTATCGATGATGATGACTTCGCTCCGCCTAACAGGTGAGATTTTTGCTTCTTCTTTTTGTTATGTCGTGCTTTGCGTAGCGTTATATTTGCTTATGCGTTTGCTTGCTTTTGTAGCCTTAAACGGCTGGTGCTGCCGGGATCTCCTTCTCGTCGAGATGGTGATGGTGCGGATCCGGGTGCGGGACCCTCTACTTCTGGGGCCAAGTCTGCTTAGGCCCCATTTTCATTTGTTTTAAGACTTTTTGGCTGCGGCCTTTTTGTTGTAATAACATTGCCTGGGAAGGTTTTTATCCGTATGCTTTAGGATTTGTGCTTCAGATTTATGTAGATACTCAAGATGTTTAAGTATTGATTTTTTCTTTTTTGCTTGCGTGCTTGCGTGGTGATGCGGTCACGGCTTTTAGACATAATTGATTAGTTCGCAGCGCAACGAAAGTAATCCGGCTTTTGGTTATGTCTTTTAATAAAGGACGATGGTGTCGTCAACCGCATAAAATGAATTAAGTACTTGGTCGTCACCGAGTAGGAAATTCGATTATCGGGATGACTCGTTACCTTTAAGTGTATCACGACATGGTGCGCGTGATGGTGCTAGTGCGTCATGACTAGACGCGATGCTTTCGGGTTTCGTCATGACTTCTCATTCGAGACACCGACCGGCGCGTATTAGGTCTGTGTGCTTAGGATGTTAAACCTACTTTCAGCGACGAGCTCTAGAAACTCGATTTATGCTTCCGACTTCAAAGCTTCGTGCGGGTGACGAGGTAGCGGTTTTTCGCTCGTCCGACGAACTGAGAGCCGTGCGAGGTGCGTGCTCTCGGCTTAATGAATGGGTGATCAGTCCATGTTTTTAGGGTGCAAAGTGCAAGTGCTTATTGAGTTTGCCTCAATAACTTGGTTTGACGTCAAACGGGTGCGTGCTGGGTGTCGACAAGTTTCAGCTTATGCCAGAATGAGGCGCGCTTGTCGAGAGAAAAGGTTTTAATAAAATTAAAATTTTATTAAGTATTATAGCTGCGCCCTTGGTGAGAAAGGCTGCCTACGTACCCGTGCCGGGATCAAGCCATTCGTAGTTCGTTACAAATGTTCATGCCGTGGACATGTCTTTTTTTTTTGCTAGCGCGGTGCTTCGCGTCTAGTCATGGAACTTGCGCAGATCCGACGAGCTCCAGAGGCGATCGGACGTGATGCCTAGGTTGTCTTCTAGCTGATAGACTCCTGGTTTGACGACTTTCGCGATGCGGAATGGTCCTTCCCAGTCGGAGCCGAATTTGCCGAGACCATAGATCGTATCATCATCGGTTTTGCAAAAGACGAGGTCGTCTAATGCGAAACGGAGGTGTTGCTTTAGGAAAGCGGCTGCTAGATCGTCGAAGCTGTCGATGGAGTCGGCACGGAGGTTGCTGAACCATGTTAGGGCGTCGCCGCGCAAGTGTTCGGCGAGGGCTTGGCAGAAGTGCGCGCTTTGTTCTTCCGGCGATGTGTATTTCTGTCTTCTCATGGCCGTCATGAAGGATGTGATCCACTGCTTGGGATCTTCTCGGCCGTCGTAGAAGTTTAGGTGTAGTGAAGCGCGCTTCTTCAGTGGTACCTCGGATAGGCGGCTTGTCAGGGGAGTTCTTCGAATATCGGCAATGATCTCGAATATCTCCTGATCGGAGAACGAGCATTGCGGGGGTGCATGGCGATCAGTCTTCGCGCGATTCTCCATGTTTCTCCTGGTCTCGTCATCGTAGACAGGGGCGTCGTCTCGGCGAGGGAGAGATTCGTGATGGCACCTTGGTGCTTTATGCGTGGACTTCTCCGGGCGAGAGGATGATGACTTTCTCTTGTTTCTTAGCCGGAACCGAGGATCTTCGGGGTCGAACCGTAGCTGCGGGATGTCTTGCTCGAGGCGATGTAATTCTCAGCGCGAAGGAAGGCGTCCTTCAAAGTTGGGGAGGGGCGGATGCGGATATCTTCCCAGAATCCGGATTCGTATCGAAGTCCGTTTCCGAGGGCTTGGACGAGTACCGGTTCCGCGATTGGGGGTGCTCCCGGAATGTCCCTGAGGTCGAGCAGCGCGCTCTTGAATCTGTTCAGGTAGCTTCGTAGCGGTTCGTCCTCGAGTTGCTCCATCTCGAATAGATCGGAGAGATCCTTGTGTTTAGTGCTAAAGCTGGACCTTAAGTCGGATTTCCAGGCGGGCTCGGAGTTCCTTTGCCGATGGATCGGGGGATCTGCATTCTGCGTCGTGGCGGCTCGTTTTATTGCGTTGGACTCGTTGGTCTCGTCGTCCGATACTGGCTCGGTTATCATACAGGACGACGCGGTGCGGAGCTTGCGCTCGCGAAGGAAACATGATCTCGTCACTCTTTGATCTCCACGTAAGGTGAAAATTCCAGAGGGTATCGGAAACTTCACGCATTGGTGGAACGTCGAGATGACAGCTTTCATTTCATGGAGCCATGGGGTGCCGAGGATAGCGTTATAGATGGCCGGTTTGTCCATGACGATGAACTTCAAGAGCTTTGAAATTCCGCCGACATAAACGGGGAGCCGGACTGTGCCACAGCTGTAAACATGCTCGGCGGTGAAACCGGTGAGGGGACGGGATGTAGGTTTGATAGATCCTTCCTCCACTCCCATGCGGTTCAGTGTTTCCAGAAAGATGAGGTTCACCGTGCTCCCGGTATCAACCAGGACCTTCGCGACGTCACAGTCGTGGATCTGTAGAGTGATTACGAGTGGGTCGAGGTGAGGGATGTCCAGCCCGCTCGCATCCTTATCCGTAAAGGAGATGTAGGGATCCCTTTATGGATATACGGGTAGCGTTGTGCCGTGACGGCCTTTCGTTCGTATTCCTTGATCGCCGATATGGAATCGTCGTTATCCAGGAAGCCTCCCATGATCATGCTGACTTGTCGCTTCGGTGGTGGAGGTAGGTCGTCGTGGTCGTCACGATTCCTCTTCCCAGGCAGGGCTTCCGGCTTTTCTGCATCCTTCTTCGGACGGGGTTGTCGTCCGCGCTTCTCCTGTTGNTCATCAATTGAGATGAACCAAAGACAGAAAGGGAAAGGGCATCGCCATGATGACGGCGATGAGACGATTGCTTCGATTGCGCGTCGACGCGATGCTCACTCCTCCAGGTCCGCGCAGAGGCTCTTGGTGGAGCCATCCAAGCGGATGCGGCGGAGCGTCGCAGGAAGACGGCGGTGGACGAAGCGACGGCCGCTGCTGAGGCCGAGAAGGTGGTCGAGGTGGCTGAGATGGAGGAAGCGGCGAGAGTCGCCGCCGAAGCCGAGCGTCGGGAAGAGACTGAGAGACAGAGGGAGGGGGAAGAGCATGATTCCGGCGACGAAACCGACTCTGATGAAGACGAAGAAGCGGGGCCGTCAGCCAAGCGAGACTCGAGGGCATCCCGGATGTAATCAAGATGCCGAGTCGTACGCCGCCTACGGGCCTAATCCACGATGGGAGGTCGTGGATGACGGAGGAGATCCTTCGAGACCTCATAGCGGAGGCCGAGTTTCCTGACTCCGTGGAGTTTCGTATCCCTGGCCATCTTGAAAGGCCCTACGACGCTCCGGCTGGGTGGATGTGCGTTTATGAGTGTATGTTCACCGAATTTGGGATGAACTTCCCTCTGTCTCCTCTGTTTTTGCAATTTGCGGCTGATCGTGGCGTCCCTACGAGTCAACTGACCCACGGCGTGGTTCGCCACATCGTTTTTACCGAGGCCCTGGCTAGAGCCGCCGGAGTTGTATTCGACCGTCTCTTATTTGAGCACGTTACTGATCTCCGGGCTTCGTCGCGAGAGGGAAACTTCAAGCGGTTTCATACCACGATGAAGTATGATATTGTTTTCGGGGATTACCGAAACAAGATTCATTGGTGGAAGAAATATTTCTTCTTTGTGAAGATAAACCGAGCCTCAGTCGGGAAGATCAAAGCTGATCAGATTAGGACAGAGTGGGTTAAATCACCGGGTAGAATTCTTGATTAGAATTGCTATCTATGCTCACTGAGTTTGCGTTTTCTGATGTTGTTTGTTGTCTTCGCAGGACCGTCCAGGCGAGCGAGACCGAACGGCGAACTCAAGGAGAAGTTTAGGCTGCTGAAGGAGCTCAGCCATCGATTGTGGCCTGAGGTAGTGGCGGCGCTTGAGAAGAAAAAGCAAGAGAGGAAAGATAAGAGGGAGGGGAAAAACAAATCTGCCATCCCTGCGACTCCGATATCTAGTAAGCGTTTCGCTTCTTCTCTTTTTTTTTACTTGGTTCTATCTTCGGGTATCTTAACGTTTTGCTTTGTTTTGTAGCAGCGAAGCCATCCCGTTCTAAGAAGAAATCGATGGGTCTTAGGAAGAGAGCGGCCGTGCCTATTGACGACGTTGTCGTTGCTTCCGAGCCGGCGCCCAAAAAGAAACGGGTCGAGTCCCCCAGACTGAGGGATTCTCCTCCTTCTCCCCTTCGGAGCTCTTCCATTGCGTCGCGTACGAGGTAAGTCGCCTATTGATGGATCTTCAGGAGATAGGAATTCCGATGTTAATCGTAGACGTTCTTTGCAGGGCTTCGACGAGGAAAGCCTCGACTTCTGTTCCTGAGGGCGTTCCGGAGCAAGTGATCGAGCTTGACTCTCCTCCTTCCTCGGACCATGACGAGTCTTCCCATCACGATGAGAGTGCTTCTCATCACGATGATGGTTTGAGGACTCCGGCGCGTGGTGGTGGTTCGAAGGAGGGGAATCATCTCGGCGTCCAGGTGAGAATGATGAGGCGGTGTCTCGTCACTCGGAGGCGGGTGGTTTTGCTCCTGGCTCGAACCTCGGTGCTGAGGGTGGCGCCGGAATCCAAAGGATGGTCCTGAGGGCTATAATCCTCACGCGTTCAAGACGTGGTGGAATGGCGGGAGTCCTCTTATGGAGGACCAGGATGCTTGCGGAGGGGCGACTTGGATGTCTAAAGTTCATCCCGGCTTGGGGATTCCGCGTGAGGAGCTCACCTTTAGGACCGATTTCGACGAAGCTGCTCAACATCATATTATGTCTGGCGGGAAGTTCACCGCGTTGGTCCAGAAGTACGAGACGGCGCTTCGGGCAGCTAAGGACGAAGCCTTTGTGTTGCGGCGGAGCAGGAGATGGCCAAGATGTCGATACGATGGTGGCTGATTTGCAGCAGGATAAACTGGTGCTTGAGTCGAAGGTCGCGGCGCTGAACAGGGAGATAGTGAAGACTCTCGGACTCCAGGAGGTAGCAGACAAGCTGAGGGCTCAAGTGAGTGATCTGGAGGAGAAAGCGCGTCGGGATGCAGAGGCTTCTGCTGCTGAGATGGAGCGTCTCCGACGGTCTCGTCGAGAATCGGTCGAGGCGGCTGTGACTCAGGTCTTCGACTCGGTGAATGACTGGTATGCTCCTCGCCTCCATCGCTTGTCGGAGTTCGTCGCGCAGCGGGACATGGTTGAAGCCGCTGTGGGGAGGAGGCAAGTCGACGAAGCTCTCCTCAACTTTCGTGAAGAAGATTCGGGGAGTGGATCTGAACTTCGACGCGATGGAGGAGAAGCTCGCGGCTAAGCTGGCGAAGAGTATCGCGGATGGGGATGCGATTGACGAAGTTGTTATCGATGATGATGACTTCGCTCCGCCTAACAGGTGAGATTTTTGCTTCTTCTTTTTCGTTATGTTGTGCTTTGCGTACGTTATATTTGCTTATGTGTTTGCTTGCTTTTGTAGCCTTAAACGGCTGGTGCTGCCGGGATCTCCTTCTCGTCGAGATGGTGGTGGTGCGGATCCGGGTGCGGGACCCTCTACTTCTGGGGCCAAGTCTGCTTAGGCCCCATTTTCATTTGTTTTAAGACTTTTCTGGCTGCGGCCTTTTTGTTGTAATAACATTGCCTGGGAAGGTTTTTATCCGTATGCTTTAGGATTTGTGCTTCAGATTTATGCTAGATACTCAAGATGTTTAAGTATTGATTTTTTCTTTTTTGCTTGCGTGCTTGCGTGGTGATGCGGTCACGGCTTTTAGACATAATTGATTAGTTCGCAGCGCAACGAAAGTAATCCGGCTTTTGGTTATGTCTTTTAATAAAGGACGATGGTGTCGTCAACCGTATAAAATGAATTAAGTACTTGGTCGTCACCGAGTAGGAAATTCGATTATCGGGATGACTCGTTACCTTTAAGTGTATCACGACATGGTGCGCGTGATGGTGCTAGTGCGTCATGACTGGACGCGATGCTTTCGGGTTTCGTCATGACTTCTCATTCGAGACACCGACCGGCGCGTATTAGGTCTGTGTGCTTAGGATGTTAAACCTACTTTCAGCGACGAGCTCTAGAAACTCGATTTATGCTTCCGACTTCAAAGCTTCGTGCGGGTGACGAGGTAGCGGTTTTTCGCTCGTCCGACGAACTGAGAGCCGTGCGAGGTGCGTGCTCTCGGCTTAATGAATGGGTGATCAGTCCATGTTTTTAGGGTGCAAAGTGCAAGTGCTTATTGAGTTTGCCTCAATAACTTGGTTTGACGTCAAACGGGTGCGTGCTGGGTGTCGACAAGTTTCAGCTTATGCCAGAATGAGGCGCGCTTGTCGAGAGAAAAGGTTTTAATAAAATTAAAATTTTATTAAGTATTATAGCTGCGCCCTTGGTGAGAAAGGCTGCCTACGTACCCGTGCCGGGATCAAGCCATTCGTAGTTCGTTACAAATGTTCATGCCGTGGACATGTCTTTTTTTTTTGGCTAGCGCGGTGCTTCGCGTCTAGTCATGGAACTTGCGCAGATCCGACGAGCTCCAGAGGCGATCGGACGTGGTGCCGAGGTTGTCTTCTAGCTGATAGACTCCTGGTTTGACGACTTTCGCGATGCGGAATGGTCCTTCCCAGTCGGAAGCCGAATTTGCCGAGACCATAGATCGTATCATCATCGGTTTTGCAAAAGACGAGGTCGTCTAATGCGAAACGGAGGTGTTGCTTTAGGAAAGCGGCTGCTAGATCGTCGAAGCTGTCGATGGAGTCGGCACAGAGGTTGCTGAACCATGTTAGGGCGTCGCCGCGCAAGTGTTCGGCGAGGGCTTGGCAGAAGTGCGCGCTTTGTTCTTCCGGCGATGTGTATTTCTGTCTTCTCATGGCCGTCATGAAGGATGTGATCCACTGCTTGGGATCTTCTCGGCCGTCGTAGAAGTTTAGGTGTAGTGAAGCGCGCTTCTTCAGTGGTACCTCGGATAGGCGGCTTGTCAGGGGAGTTCTTCGAATATCGGCAATGATCTCGAATATCTCCTGATCGGAGAACGAGCATTGCGGGGGTGCATGGCGATCAGTCTTCGCGCGATTCTCCATGTTTCTCCTGGTCTCGTCATCGTAGACAGGGTGTCGTCTCGGCGAGGGAGAGATTCGTGATGGCACCTTGGTGCTTTATGCGTGGACTTCTCCGGGCGAGAGGATGATGACTTTCTCTTGTTTCTTAGCCGGAACCGAGGATCTTCGGGGTCGAACCGTAGCTGCGGGATGTCTTGCTCGAGGCGAATGTAATTCTCAGCGCGAAGGAAGGCGTCCTTCAAAGTTGGGGAGGGGCGGATGCGGATATCTTCCCAGAATCCGGATTCGTATCGAAGTCCGTTTCCGAGGGCTTGGACGAGTACCGGTTCCGCGATTGGGGGTGCTCCCGGAATGTCCCTGAGGTCGAGCAGCGCACTCTTGAATCTGTTCAGGTAGCTTCGTAGCGGTTCGTCCTCGAGTTGCTCCATCTCGAATAGATCGGAGAGATCCTTGTGTTTAGTGCTAAAGCTGGACCTTAAGTCGGATTTCCAGGCGGGCTCGGAGTTCCTTTGCCGATGGATCGGGGGATCTGCATTCTGCGTCGTGGCGGCTCGTTTTATTGCGTTGGACTCGTTGGTCTCGTCGTCGATACTGGCTCGGTTATCATACAGGACGACGCGGTGCGGAGCTTGCGCTCGCGAAGGAAACATGATCTCGTCACTCTTTGATCTCCACGTAAGGTGAAAATTCCAGAGGGTATCGGAAACTTCACGCATTGGTGGAACGTCGAGATGACAGCTTTCATTTCATGGAGCCATGGGGTGCCGAGGATCGCGTTATAGATGGCCGGTTTGTCCATGACGATGAACTTCAAGAGCTTTGAAATTCCGCCGACATAAACGGGGAGCCGGACTGTGCCACAGCTGTAAACATGCTCGGCGGTGAAACCGGTGAGGGGACGGGATGTAGGTTTGATAGATCCTTCCTCCACTCCCATGCGGTTCAGTGTTTCCAGAAAGATGAGGTTCACCGTGCTCCCGGTGTCAACCAGGACCTTCGCGACGTCGCAAGTCGTGGATCTGTAGAGTGATTACGAGTGGGTCGAGGTGAGGGATGTCCAGCCCGCTCGCATCCTTATCCGTAAAGGAGATGGTAGGGATCCCTTTATGGATATACGGGTAGCGTTGTGCCGCGACGGCCTTTCGTTCGTATTCCTTGATCGCCGATATGGAATCGTCGTTATCCAGGAGGCCTCCCATGATCATGCTGACTTGTCGCTTCGGTGGTGGAGGTAGGTCGTCGTGGTCATCACGATTCCTTTTCCCAAGCGGGCTTCCGCCTTTTCTGCATCCTTCCTCGGACGGGGTTGTCGTCCGCGCTTCTCCTGCTGCCCAGATTTTGGTGGTTTCGGCGGGAAGACCTATTCCTGGCGGGATTTCTCCTCGATGGTACATGCGCATGAGGTTGCTCATTAGGTGTTTGCAGTTTTCAGTGGCGTGGCCAGTTCTCCCGTGGAACTTGCAGAAAGCTTTGGTATCGTTGTCATCTCCGAGCGAGTTGATGTCTTGTGGCATCGAAACGGCCGCTGCGTGTTCTTGCTCGGAACTCGTCGTCGGCTGCTGCGAACGCTGTGAGGAGAGACCTCTTCGGATCGTGTCTTCTTCGCGCCTCCATGGGTTCCTCTCTGGGTTTCGACGAGGTTGCCCTCCTATCTCCATGTTTCTCGGCGTAGAAGCGCTGGTCTTCCTCGAGGAAGATGTAGTTCCGAGAGCGGTGGAACGCGTCCTCCAGAGTCGCAGGGGGTTTTAGTGACAAATCCTCCTTAAACTTGGAGTCGTACCAGAGGCCGTTGCGGAGTGCTTCCAGCGGGACGCTATCGGGCATGTCGCCAGTATCGCGAGCTGCTTGTTTGAACCTTTCCATAAAGCTGCGCAATGGTTCGCCTTGGGTTTGCGTTGTGGTGAACATGTTCCGAGTGATTCGGGTCATGTGCATGGAGTAATGCTTCAGAAAAGCATTGGTTAGGTCGTCGAAGTTATCGATCGACTCGGCGGGGAGGTTAGAGAACCAGGTCAAGGCATCTTTCGCCATGTGCTCGACGAATACTTGACAGTAGTTGGCCTCCCTTTCATCGTAAGATTTGTATTTCTCCCTCCTCATGGCGAGGTTGAACGCGGTTAGCCACTTCTTGGGGTCTTCTTCGCCGGTGTAAGAGTCGATTTTGAGTCGAACTCTTTCGTGTAGTTCAATCTGGCGGAGCCTGCGGGTGAGCGGGCTTCTTCGGGTATCGGCGAGTGCTTTCGTCAATTCCGGAGCTGAGCTGGTGGCGCGATGAACTTTCGAATCGACCTCGTCGAGGCGACGATTCATCCGTTCGAGTTCTTGGGTGGTAAGTCGCCTGAAGTGCGCGGGACGGGGTTGTTCCGTCGGGGGACTTGACGGATCTTCATCGTCTTCTCGTGCTAGGGCTTCCACCTGTTCCTGAGTCTTTTTCTGCTGTGCTCGCATTGACTCGAAACCGTCGGCGAGCGGCTTGACGAGATTCTCCATGAGTTTGAGGATCTTCTCGCTCGAGGAGGATTTCTTCGAGCTGCGGGGTTTGTCGCTCGAGGAAGATTTTCTCGAGCGGCGTGGTGCGGACGGAGGGGGCTCTCGTCCTTTCTTGGCGGAGGGGATCGTTGCGGCGAAGTAGATCTTCGATCTTCGCGGCGAGACGGATCTCTGTGGCGAGACAGATGGGTTTCTTGTAGGGAGCAGGCTTGTCCCTGCCTTCAGCGGGTAGCGACTTGTCTATCGTGCGTGGTAGACTGTCGCTTAAGTTTTCTTCTGAGGGAGACGGGCTCCCGGTGGGAGTGTTCTCTTTCGAGTTACCATCGTTGCTAGTTCGTGAAAATCTAGATATCTTCGAGATGAATAGCGAGAAGCGTTTCCAGCCCCACGGTGGGCGCCAATTGTTGAATCCGAGATAGCACTCGTCAAGACGGGCTATCTAAGATGTGAGTTTAGGAAACTGGAACGCTTAATTCGACTCTTAGATTATCAAGAAGTTACAAGAGAGCAATCTCGCTAACAAGCCTAGCGAGATTATGTGATGAACAAGAGGATAGAGTAAAAGCTAATGTGAAAGCCTAGTGATTCTAGATGATTTCGGATCCCTTCCCCAATGGGGGGTCTTCAATATATAGGTTGATAAGTCGGCCGAATGATGAATATTCTCCTTCAGGCGAGATGGAAAACTTCCTCTTTTGCGATATGGAAAATTCCCTCTTGTTTTTGGATCTTTTCCATTCTTTAAGTCGGCATGAAGATTTATTTACATTTCTCCATGGATTGTGCCTTTCTCTTCAAGTCTTGCCTTTTTCTTGAAGATGTTAGGCCTAAAATCGGATTGGGCTTTGTGACTTTACTAATGATGACGGGCTCAGGGAAATGTGCTAATTTCTCCTCTAACAAACAACAAAAGATAAGAATTATTATATGATAAACCCTCGATGATAGTAACTGGATTCAGAACCGTTATTGAAGAAAGAAAAAAAAAGAAGAGTAGTAGTATAAAGTTATCGGGAATGTGTGGTTATTAAATAGTCAAGAAAACATAACATAATGTCATAATCCATTACTAAAGTTGAAATACCTTAAAACCAAATTGAAATGTCTAAAAAGAACACTCGATACTTGCTTTTCCACCGGTCTAAGTCTTCTTTCTCTCTCAATTCATTCTATATATTTGTATCATAGAGTTCAAAACACACAACGCCGCCACGCACGCACGTTGAACATAGTCATACGATCATAATCATTAAACTAATCGCTTCTCAGTCACACTTAACACCACAACTTGGACTAAACCTAGTCCATATATATATACCTAACTATAAACTATTAATTAAAACTTGGATGTCTTTTAACATTGAGGGAATTGAAAACATAATTCATTATATTTATTTATTTAACTCACATTTTTCAGGCACAATAGTCCATTAATTTAACATATGGTATATTGGTATATCGCATCTATTTTAATATTCTCTATATTTTACCAAAAACAATATATTTTCTGTATAAACGTAAGTCCCTAATGTAATAGTGTATATATATACAAAGCAAAACTTGGCCACATTTGTTCGCACTGAAACTACAAAAATCCTCTCTCTCTCCCCTCCGCAGCAATTTCTTGATGACCTTCTTCTTCTAGCAAAGAACCCTAAATCTCAAAACCAAACCCGAATCAAGAAACTATAAAATGGGCCATGATAATATTGCCAAGCTCGCGAGTCTACTCGTAAAGCTACACAGAGCTCCATCAGGTTGGCTCTGTCTCCATCCCCGGCTTGACCGATCAAGCAGCAGAGGAGGAGGAGGAAACCAACGACGGATCAAGCTCGTGAGATCCGACGGCGTTTCAGAAGTGTACGACCGTCCCGTGGTGGTCTCAGAGCTAACAAGAGACTTCCCAAAGCACAAAATCTGCAGATCGGACTTGCTCTACATCGGACAGAAGACCCCTGTTCTGTCGGAAACCGACACGCTTAAGCTCGGACTCAATTACTTCCTCCTCCCGTCGGATTTCTTCAGCAACGATCTCTCGTTCCTCACCATCGCCGCGTTGAAGTCTAGTCAAAACGGACGCGTTCCGGTGAGGACATCCCATCAGCAGCCTTTTCTTATACAAAAGGGAGAGAAAGGAGAGCGTTTGCGGATTCGAGTGTCGGAAGATTTCATGTCGGAGTTGATGATGGACGCAAGAAAAACCAGAGGAGAGGAGAAGGAAGAGGAAGAGGAAGCAGAGAGCGAAGGGAGAGTTTGTACGACGGTGAAACTGAAGAAGGATTATGTTCAATTGGTTGGTCTGCGTAAATGGAAGCCAAAGCTGGAGACGATAACGGAGACCAAGGCGATGAAAGCGACGGTGGAGAAGAAGATGAAGAGAAAGAAGTTTCCTGTGATGAAGAAGAGATCATCCAAAGAGTCTCAGACTGATTCTTGTGCCAAGCGTAAGCTTCAATCCAAATTCAAGTCCTCCAAAACTAAAAAAACTATTCCGAGAAAATAGCATCGATTTTTGTTCTTTTTAGTTAGAAGATTAATTGTGTGTTCAACTGTTGATACATAGAAATTATTCAAATTATTATGATTAAAAAAAAACACATTTAACTGAAGGGTATATAAATTGTTTCCAAAAATGTTGGATTCTGCTGCTTGTGTTTATTGAATCAACTTGCTAAACATTAAACAATCTGTTTTCTTTACAACTTATTATTGTTGAATTCCAAATACTATTTTAAAAAGTTATTTTTTGAATGAAACATTTGAGTTGCTTTCGTTCGGCCAGAGACAAAAAAAGATGACTTCGTACACAAATGTTGGAACTTTTTCCGAATAATGTTGAAAAACCATTCAAATTCACTAGTTTGAACAACCAATGGATAAAATTTCTGAATCATGTTTTGTCAGAATAAGGAGTTTTCTTTTTCTATTTATGTTGGCTACATATTTTATTGAGTTTACCAAATAGGAGGAATCAATTATGTTGGTATTTTATGCAAGTGAAAACAAATAATGAAAATCGAAAATAAAAGAAGCTAAACAGGTAAAAACGTGGTCGTAATTACTGTTTGTGATAAATCTTTGAATGAAAATATAGGGAAGAGGGAGAGATTTAGAAGCACGTGTTTGTAGTCAGTCTCGTTTTGATTTTATGAACAAATAAAGTGTCGAAATAGAGACAAAAGAGGAGTCAAAGAAAGTCATCCAAAGACATGTCTCTTTTTCTAGCTCATACAGTAAAAATGTAAGAGATGTAGCCTTCAAATTAAGACGACGATGATGAGAACCCCAACACATTTAAAATAATTAGGCACTATTCTAATAAAAAAAACTTAGTCAAGATATGAATAGGATATACCAATTATCTTCTAGAAAATGCGAGAGTGATGGGTGAGGTTTAAGACGCATTGACTCCATGATCCTGCCTATCTTCATGGAGACCTTTTTTTTGGGAATTCTAAAAATTGCGATCTCTTTTATTTTTGTTTGTTTCTATAAGATACCAGCCACTATATGTAATGCAACACTCATTTCTTTTGTGTTACTTCTTCGTTACTGTAAATTTGTAATAATAGTTTCTCTTTATTCACTGCAAATCAAACAAATCCTTTAAGTAAAATCGAGAGTACATTCTCAATTTGAAGTAACTAACTTTGCAATCTACATAACTAATAAGGCTTGGACAATCTCCAGCCTTTGACACGTGGCACTCTCTTTTTTTTTTTTTTTTTTTTCCGCCTAACACCAAAACGACGTCGTTTTGGGCTTTATTTTTTTTTATTTTTTTTTTCGTCTTACACCAAAACGACGTCGTTTTGCGCTTTATCTTTTTTTTTTCGTCTTACACCAAAACGACGTCGTTTTCGTATTAAAAAAAAAAAATCTAAATCAAAATTATGTGTAATGCTGTTCGTTTTGATGGCTTGATTATTTATCGGACCTCTTCGTTTCCATGGTAGCTTTAAATGGGCTTACTGGCTAATTAGCTCATTTCATTTCCTTTTAAAAAATTGCAATTATTATTATCTATGAGTCTGTAGGATAATAATCAATCTATAATGATTGTTAGTATAAGGAAAATTAGAAGAACTCAACTCCAGTCGATAAATTATTGTATAAAAGAACAAAAAACATATGAAACTATTCACTATGAGTCTATATAAGATTTCACGTAAATAACAACTAAATTTTAAAACTATATGAAAAAAAACAAAATGCAAAACTTACAGAATCTAATATATTCGAGTAAAAAACAAATGATATATTCGAATCTAATGTTCTGAATAATTAAATTAAAAATATTTGGTTTAATAAATCCGCGCATTGCGCAAATTCTCTCATAGTCTTTACAAATTTGCATAAGCCTAAACTTTTTCACATGCAATAAAGTTTGTGTTAGTACATTTTTAACAGGCTCTACATATGGGCTTCCGCTAATGGGCCTAGTAATTTGGAGCCTTTTTACTTTTCCATGGGGAGTTGAATTATTAATTTTGTTATAAATATGGGAGAGGGACAAAATCTCGCGGCTTAAACAGAGCTTTTCTTAACCCTTGACATCGTGAAATCTCCAAAATCGATGAAGCGATCGTTCGTTGATACTGCGACGACGACGAAGACGGCACTCGATTCCTCCATTGTTAACAAGCCCGTCTTCCTCACCAAAGTTCACAGAGAAGAATTAGCCCTAAAACACCGCCAGGACGAAATCGCGAATCAGCGTCGCCGGCTCGCTCAGACCACTCGCTCCGATCTCGAGACTGATGATAATCGCGACGGAAACCGAAATCGAGGCCGCGACAGTGACAAATCTCGAGATCGTGACCGTGAATCTCGTGAGCAGGAGCGGCGGAATCGCGATCGAGAGCGGGAGGAGAAATCAGCGAAGCTAGAGCGCGAGAAGGAGCTTAACGCCATGAAAGAGCAATACCTAGGAGGATCCACGAAGCCTAAGAAGAGAGTCATAAGACCGAGCGAGAAGTTCCGTTTCTCTTTCGATTGGGAGATCACTGAAGACACTTCTCAGGGAGGAAATACGAATTACGAAGCTCAGCTTCTCTTCGGGAGAGGCTTTCGCGCCGGAATCGATCGCCGCGAGCAGAAAAAACTCTCGGCCAAGCACGAGAGCGCGACGCGTGGCAACGAGAATCGCCGGAAAAACACGAGCGTCGATGATAAGCATTGGAGCGAGAATGTGAAGCTTGAGAAGATGACTGAAAGAGATTGGCGAATTTTCAAGGAAGATTTCAACATATCATACAAAGGATCCAAAATTCCTCCTCCGATGAGGAATTGGGAAGAGAGCAAGCTCAGTCCCGAGCTGCTAAAAGCCGTTGAAAGAGCTGATTACAAGAAACCAAGACCGATTCAAATGGCGGCGATACCATTAGGTCTCCAACAGCGAGACGTGATCGGAATCGCAGAGACCGGCACCGGCAAAACCGCCGCTTTCGTTCTCCCAATGTTAGCTTACATATCGAAACTCCCAAAGATGAGCGAAGAGACTCAAACGGAAGGTCCTTACGCTCTGGTCATGGCTCCACGAGAGAGCTCGCGAAGCAGATTGAACAAGAGACTGTCAAGCTTGCGCTTTATTCGGATTTAAAGGTCACCTCTGTTATAGGTGGTGGGAGTGAGACAGTCGAGGAGCAAGGCTTTACGCTTTCGAAAGGGTGCGAGATTGTGATCGCAACGCCAGGGAGGTTGCTGGATTTGCTGGAGAGAAGGTACGTTGTGTTGAACCAGTGCAACTACGTGGTTCTTGATGAAGCTGATCGGATGATTGACTTGGGTTTTGAGCCGCAGGTTGCAGCGGTGCTTGAAGCTATCCCGTCGAGTAATTTAAAACCGGAGAAGGAAGACGAGGAGCTTGACGAGAAGAAGGTTTACAGGACGACGTATATGTTCAGCGCCACGATGCCTTACCGTGTTAAGAAGCTCGCTAAGAAGTTCTTGAGGAATCCGGTTGAGGTCACGGTTAGTAAAAGCCAAGATTTGATCTCTCAGAAGGTGATGATGGTGAGAGAATCAGAAAAGTTTTGGAATTTGAAGAAACTGATCGGTGAGCTCGGCGGTGATGAGACAGCGATGGTGTTTGTGAGCACGCAGAAGAAGGTTGAATCCATTGTCAAGAATCTTGAGAAGCTGGGGACGTGCCGCGTGGCGACGTTGCACGGAGGGAAGTCGCAAGAACAGAGAGATACCAGCTTGGGAGGGTTCAAGAGCAAGAGGTTCAACGTTCTCGTCGCGACGGATATTGCGTCACGTGGGATTGATGCAGAGGTTGCACACGTGATCAACTACGATATGGCTAAGGACATAGAGACGTATACGCATCGGATTGGACGAACGGGACGTGCGGGGAAGACGGGTGTTGCGACGACGTTCCTGACTCTTGAGGATAAGAATGTGTTTTACGATCTGAAACGGAAGCTCGTCGAATGTAACTCTCCGGTCCCGCCTCAACTTGCGAGACACGAAGCCTCTAAGGTTAAACCAGGAACCTTCAAGTCACAGTGGTAACAGTGAACAACGTCTTTATTTATCGATTAAGTTTTGTTTTTAGCTCTTTATTAGTTTACTTATGACTTTTTTTTAACCATACGATAGAGAACATCAAAGCAGTCTCAAATGAAATTATAACTCACATTTTCAAATCGGAAGCTCGGAATTTCTCCTGGAGGATCATGTCGATTCTCTTCTCCATTTCAGGAGTGAGATGATTTGAGTCACCAACTTCTCCTTTACGGAAAAAGTTCTTGTGATCAACACCTCTTGCTGTTTTTCCATTCTTGTTGATCTCTAGATTCTTCAGGTTACGCAACGAGCAAAGCTCCAAGAACTCTGCAAGTTTCTTGACTTGAACGGAAGGCTCTGTTTTCAGCTCCTCGTACCTCAAGAAAAGCACATTCTTGGGATCTTCCAAGCTTCCTCTCCAGTAGCTCAAGACTTGTTCCCAGAATGGTCCGTAATAGCTGACTCCTCTGCAGAACGACTCGAACATTGACCCCAACAAGCTTCTGTCTTCTTCTATCTTTAGATTTGCGCACTCGAAGTACCAAAGGGACACCAACGCGTCTTTCACGTTCCTCCACACGTAGACGATCTTGCAAGGGGTGTTCTTGAGAGCCTCTTGAAGCGTGTGGAACGGAACGTGAGTGGAGAACAGCCTTGGGGAAGATGAGAAACTGGTCAGATCTGGTTTTGAGGTTTCGGTGTATACCCTGAGCTCGAGGACTGGTACTAGGCCATGAGGATTGTCAGACAGAAGAGTGTTTTGATCTCTCGAGGAGAGCCACCGTGAGAGCTTTGAGCCAAGTAGTGCCGGATTTGGGGAATGAAGAGATGATTATGTCAGTGTCTTGTGGCTCGAAACCTCTCTGGAAATTGAGGATTCCTTGCAGAGTTTTGTAGTTGTACCAACATCCTTGGTACTTGAACAGCTTCGTGCCATGGTGATCTATGTCTGAAGGAAGTGATGTGATCAAACTCATGGCTTCTTCGTCGTCTGTCTGCAAGTTCTTTGGGATCTCATTCTCATCCATTTCTTAGAATAATATTTTCTTGCTTTAGATCTGTGTTGACAAGTTGGCATTAATATATTGCTTGGTTGCTTTGATAATGGGCGTTTTAACGTTAGTGAAATAACTAAAACATGATTATGGCTATTTAAGTATGGTAGCTACAACGTTTTTTTTTTCAACAAACACAATAACACATTGGTAGGTGGAAAAAGTTCATTAATAAACAAAGATTTGAAGTTTAGTGGTTTGTCCTATTGTTGTGTCACCATCTAGATCCTAATCCGCATAATGCATTGTTGACAAAAATAGATAAACAAGTTCTTCATCAGTAACTGATAAGGATCTATTCATCTTTGAAGTGATCACGGCAATGTCCTAGCAGTGTCAACTGTAGGCGGAAAGACAAATTAATAAAGGAGCAAGATGAACTTTCAGAGAAATTTAAAACCAAAAAAAAAAAAAAAAAAAAACTGTCAGAGAAACATAGTCACTTTCAGTGAGAGATATCTCTCTTTCTCTCATTATACACTCCATAATAAAGGCGAAAAGGATTTGGAAAAACGAAAGGAAATATTTAAAAAGTATGTCACAAACTTGGACAACTCACTATTGTTATTGGTAGAAGAATGTAGAGGATGAAGAATTAAACCCTTCTGTTCCACTCTGACCAAGACTGTTCTGATCCACAAAGCCATCGAGCTCAAAGGCTAACGTATCGATGCTTGAATGCCCCACGTCCCAATAGCTATCGGTCTCAGGAATCCTTAGCTCAGCTCCAAAACAAGTACTTGGAGGTAGTGGTGGAAGCTCATGGTCACAATGCTCATTATTACTGTTTATAGATTGATAACCACATTCATGAGCCTCCTGAGGCCACCCATTGTATGAGAATTCTATAGAGTTTTGATTTTGGTTGTTGGTGGATGAGTAGAGATTGTTGTTGTTAAGAGCTTCTAGTTGGCTTGGAGGGTTGAATAACTCGGAAATGAAACGTTGGGATTCATCAGGAGAGATGAAGGAAGTTACTGAGGAGCCACGAGGCATATCAGAGTAGACAAAGTTGGTTCGAGCAGTCAAGCCTCTTATGGACCGCGCGGCTCTATCATAGGCCAATGCAGCCTCCTCGGCTGTGTCAAAAGTACCTAGCCAATACCTCTCTTTCGTAGTCGGGTTTCTTATTTCAGCTGCATATCTTCCCCACGGTCTACGCCTCACTCCTACATACTTTATTTCTTCATTAGTTTGTTGTTGTTGTTGTGGTTGCAGCTGCGGTTGTTGCTGCTTTTGCCTAGGACTCTTTTTTGATCTAGAGGAAGAGCCGGCATTCGAACTACCATTGAAGTCCATGGCTAATTAGTATAGTCTTGCGAACACTTAAAATGTGAAATGATATGGAGATTAGGAGATAATTAGAAGTGATGTATTTGGTTATGTGAAAACAATGAAAATGTGTGTGTTTAAATAGATGAAATCACTTTTACTATGTGTATGCGGGGACCCTCTCTTTTAGTCTAAAGTTCCCTTTTAGGGGAATTTTTAATATACAAAAAAGTGGGTCACATGGAAATGTGCAAAATCAGTTGATCATCACCATCTAATCATATGATCGAAAGTGAAATGAGTTTGTAGCTTTTAGGATTGGCCCAAGTTAATCATGTAGGATCTGCAATAGATATTTTTCCTTTTTCCCATTCTTTCTAATCTTTTTTTTTGTTCTTGCAACTTCTTCTTTCTTTTATTTTCCTTTTTCCTTTAGGCATGCTATTCTTTTTGTGAACGTGAGATTCTTGGTGCCTACTTATGATCACTTGTATTTGTACCATATTGTTTTGGTTTTTCAATTATGAACTTTGACAATAGGAATTTTTTCCATTCAACTTAGTCTGAAAATTCGTCATCGCAGCATTCTGAATCATATTTATTAATTCTTCTTTTTTTTGGTTCGTCATCCTAATTAGATCGGTTGATATTTTTATTTTTTTTCAATTTCGTTTGAATACAACTTTGGCATTAATTGAGTCATTCATGCATGTCACTTGCGCTAAGAGTCTAAGACTATGTGCTTATCATACATGTGGTACATATACACATATAAAGCATATTAAGCATGTTCTTATCATTCAAATTCATGATCACCACGCATACACAACGAGTCAAAGAGTTTTACATATTCTAAAACCGTCACAGTCACAACGCCAATCAGGGCCTAAACTGTGCTTAACTTTAATACACACATTTGAGAAGGTTTATTAATTCTACTATGGTACAACATATATGGTAATGCATGCATGATATCAGTTGCTTATGTGAGTATCTAACTGATTTAGAGATTATGATTTCAGAGCGTTTACTAGATTTAACATCAGTGATCAGACATCCACATAAAATTTAACATCACTCGTCCCATAACAGTTGCATAATCCTAAAAGGCTCAAAATAATATGTGAGCTTCCTTAACTTGTTACGGATTCACTTTTTCTATTAATAGATCGAGTTGCCTTATAAATATACAATATGTGCCACTTGATCTAATGATGGTCTAATCACATGCTTTACAATACTCATGATTACAAGCCCTGCAATCTCCCGGATCCACAATGATTCTTTTCATTTCTTTTCATCATGATTTATCCGATATTACATTATTATTTACAAGATTTCACAAGGACTAAAACGGAAGGACTAATATATATCAATATCATTAAAACTTTGCTTTAAAAAACTATTTGTTCTTGTTTTCTTAATTAATATTTGTGGCGTTTTCATATGACTATTCCAATGCTTTTATGATTAGTCGCATGAACTTGAACATGTTCATTATCCATACAGATACATCGTATGACATTATTGTGTATAAGTAATTTATACGCACAATCAGTTTTACAATAGAGATGAGTTTATGAGTGTTAGTGAACGTAACTAATAAGTTTAATTAGTATACAGAAATTATGTACCGACTTATATATAATTTATACACATTGGTTTATCTATTAGAATTTTTTAAGGTTTCTTAAATTTATATTGAGAAAGACTGATATGTGTTTTTTACATGTGTCATTTTTTAATTCAACATTTATTCTTCTTTATTTAATATTTTAAAGTTTTTTCAGTCATATTCTCTAAGAGGCTGACATGTTTATTTTCAAATTGTTGATATGCGTCATCCTTTTAAAATAACATTTATTTTTTTATTCAACATTTATAAAATCCCCATTTGCAATTATAAAAAAATGTTACATTTAAATGCTCATAATTTTTTCTAAGCAATTATATGGGGCTCTCAATGATTTTTAAAAGAAATGTTATATTAGCAAAACATAATAAAATTGTCATATAGGGCCTGATTGGTTGTGGTTGTGGCTTTAGATTTTTGGCTGTAGAGTTTAGGCTGTAGGTTTTAGTGCTGTGGCTTTAGTTTTTACTTTTTAGTGCTGTAAGATTTATTTTTTTGTAGATTGTGTATTAAATGAAATATTAAAAAAAAAAGAAGATATAAAAATAAGATATTAAAAAAAGAATATAGACAAAATAATAAGGAAAGAGAAGAGAGAGAATTTAGAGAGCACTAAATTTAATGCTCTAGAAAAATTGCTTTCCACAGCTACGGAACTTCCATAAATAAATAAAATTGCTCTATGTTTCAAAAATGGAAAGAGATTAAAGGAGAACATGATTGGTAATTTTGGAGTGCTGTAGAGAGATATAGAGCTGTGGAGAGCAACCACAGCTCCTACCAATCATCCCCATAGTATATATTTATTATATTTTACTTATAATTTGTCTATATTTTGTTTATAAGTTGCTTATGTTATACTTATTTTGTAAAGCAACTCTCTTCTTTTTATGTATAAATTACTTATTTATTTCTAAATAACAATTAATTTTTGTGGAGTTAAGCCACAAATTTCCATCAAGAAGTTTTACAACAGTAAATTCTGCTGCTTCCTCTTCATTTGAGATTACTTTGTGTCCCTTCCAACACACTCTTTTACTAGTATCGGATCTGGGGCCTCTATTGTCATATTCCCTGTAGTAAAGAGTGGAAAAACCAATCTCGCTGCTGTTTCACGGAATCCAACCCAGCGGATCAATAACATCATCAATGAATGATTACATAATTACCACTGCTGAAAATGCTTCCCACGGACGTACGAGAGATATCTTCATAGTTTTCTTGATCATGACGAGATCAGAACTTGCTATGATATTACACTTATGGAATGATAACCCGAATTTTGGTTTTCGTGACTGATATGTGAAAATGTTGCTCTGTCCTTCCATCGGTTTTCGCACCTTAATTTGACCCTACTAAAATACCATTGATGCATGTCCAAAGATGAAATTGATTATCCATGTGATGTAATGTGACAACGATATAATGTGTGAGTGATATCAAACATATGAACCTCTCAACAGCATCTCGATCATTAAAAGTAGAAGGTCCATCCTTTTTTCCGGTTCTCAATCTCATTGAAGTAGACAATCTATATATTATAATAACTTAAGGTTTTCTTCGGTTATATTTTTTAAGAGGCTGACATGTATTTTTCAAATTGTTCACATGTGTCATCTTTTTAATTTAAAATTTATTCTCCTTTCTTCAACATTTATAAAATTCTCATTCGTAAACTAAAAAAACTTAACCCATATTTTTTTTTGGTCAACTTTATGGGTGACCTACCCATATTAAATTAAACTACAAAATGCTTGCAACTGTTTTGGTAAAAAAACTTGCAACTGTTTTGGCTTTGATTTCGGTTCAGTTGCTCGTAAAATTTAATGTCATTTTGTTATAAGTGCTCTTTTTCGTAAAAATAACGTATGATTAATTTAATTTGGCTTGTTAAGTCCTCGCATGCTTCACAAAAATATAAAGCTCAATATATTTTTTGCAGGGTATATGATACTATAGATTCAATCACTTTATCCACGCTTTCATAATAGCATGTTAAGATTGATTGGTAACCATAATATTTTATAGTATAACTAAGTCAATTCAAGTGTTGATAATAATAAGAAATGCAATCAGAGTTTTTCCCACCGGCAGTAAAAAAAAGGACTACAGTCATTCTAATCGTGAACGATTTAAATAAACGCATCATCAAGACATTTTATGTCCGAACAGGAGATAAAGTGGCAGATATTCTCACTAAGTCTTGTTCCCTCGTCAATTTGAACATCTCAAATCCAAAATGAGCTTAACAAACATTTTCAGAAGCTCATCTTGAGGAGGACTATTGAAGAATATCGGTTTATTCATTGGTGTTGTCCCTTGCGAAAACATTTTCATGTTGATGTTGTGTAAGATCAGATCAGAGTTAATAAGTTATATTTATGGCCAATACTAGTGTCATACTTCCCTGGCTAACCAAATCTTATAATGCAGAGAATTCACGGTTGGTGAGGTGAGGTGGAAGAGCATATACGATCGAAAAAACTTTTGTATACGGTATAGAGACTTGAGCATGTAGAGTGTTATCCTCGAAAATGTTGTTTGCTAATAGTTAGGACTGTGACACTTAACCACTAGTTATCAATGTCCATTTATGATAAATAATTGGTATCCAAAATACACTTCAGAAAAACAGTCGAGCTATTGAAATCAATTAGAATTTGGTAAATCGATCAATTAGAATTTTTATATTTCTTTTACCATTAATGTGCATTATCGTGACACATCACCAATTTTCTATCCAAATGTAAAATTTTGGTTTAGATACGGACAAAAAAGTCGGATAACCCATTTCCCAAAATGCAAATCCACGGTTTAATTTTGGTTTAGATAACCAGAAAAGCTGAGAAAATCGCTGAGAGGATTTTGCTTCAGATATTCATATTTTTATCACCCGACGAGAGAGACGAGGAGGAGGAAGAAGAAGAAGAAGCGATGGGTTTTGTGCTAACTTGTACTTGTCCTTCATCCTCGCTCGTACCCGTCTCTCAGCTTCATCAGTTCTCCGCCGGAATCAGAACCAGTGAAATTCAGTTTCGTCCTCAGTTTTCTCCGACCCGTAGAACCCTAATATCGACGAAATCACGCTGTTTCAATCTCCCCCAAGAACCCATTCTCTCCGAGGCTCTCAAGGTACTCGTGCTTTCTTGTCGGAAACAGATAAGAATTAGTGAATTTTATACATCTAATGACAAAATTTGGTTTTTCGCTTTTAAAAGGGTGTCAGTATTAGTAGCTTATATACAAATTTCTTGATTGTGTCTTGTTGATGAATCTTTAAGGCTTTTATTTTTTTTTTTCACATATATACATTTACATCTCTTTCAAATTTGATTTGCTTATCAGAGGAGATATTGTGTGTTTTCCTCTGTACCAAATTCTGATGAGCATAGTCTTGTTGCAATGTGGTTCGTTTGATAGGAGCCAATAGCATTTGTGGGAGGGATGTTTGCTGGACTCTTAAGACTCGATCTCAACGAAGAACCGCTCAAAGAATGGGTGACTCGAACAGTCGAAGCCTCGGGTATTACAGAAGAGCAAGTTGATGGTGATGGAGGGATTGGCTCTAATGAAGAAGAATCTCCTCAACAGATAGTGATTGAATGAGGTCCGTCCTTTTAGAACAATATCTCTCTCTCTCTTTCCTGAAACCAACTGTGTATTGGTTCTTGTAGTAACTGTATGTAACCTTGTGTTCTTTATGTTAAAAAAGAAAAGAAAAACCGAATAAGCTTGTTTCACTTGGAGACTCCAATGCTTCATCTTGATATCTTGTGTTATGCGTCTTGGTTACTTGACTCTGAGTCCATGTTTAGAGGCAAACCAAAAAACCAAAATGGTTGTTTGATTAGGTCTCTCTGTCTTATTCACATACAGAGATGATTTATATTCATTTCGAGTACTAGTGAGTTGATAGTAGAGATCGATTGTGACGATTAACAAAGGAGGACAATGAGATTGCAATCATTTATGTTGTACTGAATCCAAATTAATCTCTACAATACGTACGTAAGTTATGTAGTGGCCGATATCATCAACCCGGATATGATATGCATACAACCAAAATAAAGACACGATGATATCAGTTTTTGTTGACATTGTCTTTAAGAAAACTAGGAACTGAAGATTGTGCAACCGGAGTTATCATCTCTGTTGTTCTGAAAACAGACTTCTCAGGGAATGCAGGAGCATCTGATGAGACATCCGAAGAAAGTCCAACAAGGATCAATCTCTTTGAGAGCCACCTGAGAGACATCCACAGAGTTGAGGAGACTTTCTTCGCCGAGCATAAACAACGAGTATCTCGGGAAGGGAAGAGCAGTCAGCTGGTGATGATGATGAGAAAGACAACGGGAACGTTGTAATGCGCCGGAATTTATCTGATTTAAGTTATTCAGATGGTTCTAAAAGGAAGTTGTATGAGACTTATATGAAGAAAAGGGATGCAAAACTGAGTGAAGAATGGAGTTCGAAAGAAACCAATTTAATTTGATCGTAACTTTTGTGCTTTGTGTGTTTGAAGCTTCAAACAATTCGATTCATCAAGGGAGCTTTAAAGTGAAATATGGTGAATTTAAGCCATCATTCTTCTCACTTTCCTTATTTCGTAACAAAGGAAACGACTCCAAGCCAAGATAACAGACAAAAGAACAAAAGCCAAACTCTTGTGTTTTCGTTTACCCAAGCACAGAGTTTCTAGTGGTGAAAGAGACTTACTTGATTGGATTTAAGTACATTATTGTTGATTTCTTTAATATTTAAATGAGATAAAAACATAATTTTGATAAGCATAGTTTTTGCTTTCTAAGCTATCCAAAAGCTCTAAATTTGAGTAAATATCACTGAAAAGGTTGTTTTTGCTGTCATGCTCACTATATAGTTCACTTCGATCAATGAATAATGTGAAAGCATCAATAGTTAAATACAGTTTGAAATTGATATCAACTATTCTAATTAATGGCATAAATAAGAGATAATTGATATCAACTATATAATATAGCTCCATCATTCTCTTTTTCAACTACTTAATGATCAAACTAATGTGTTTTTTTTGTTTGCAACAATCAAACTATGTGTTTTTATTGTGCAACAATCAAACTGTGTGTTATATCATCAAAAATATACCAGCAAACAAGTACGGTGTTATAGAACTTCATGTCATAGAATCACTAATGGAATGATGACAAAAACCATTGTCATCAATAAAATCACTAACGATGTAAACTACCAACGGCTTACATTTGCACATCCAACTAATGACAAATCATAGGATTGTCACTAGGACAAAGTTGGTGTATCGAGAGGCTGTTGTGACGTGTGACGAGTAAACTCACTGCCCATTCCAGAATTGGGATCCTCCATAGTGTCTTGCTCCCTAGACTTGAGATGCTTAGAACACAAGCTATCAAACCCATGGCTAAGATCACCATACTTGCTTCCATAGTGATCATGGTAATAATCTTCCAAATCGACGCCTTTGGAGATTCCAAATCAGTGAACCTCTTTTGCGGAGTACTAGACCTGTTCCTACTTGTTAAAAACCTAGACTTGGCAGCTTGACGCTCTTCAACGGCTTCAATTTCAACAATTTCACTTTCACTTTCAACATCCTGTCAAGAAACAAATGCAAAAATTGGATTCAATATTTTTATGCATATGCTCCAGCCTTAAATCATAATTCAATTTTTTTTAATCTTAAACAGTAATTGTAAACAACAATATAATTAAAAAAATGATACTGATCAATATATGTTGGGCATCGTGTTCATATTCATTTCAATAGATATACGGAACTGATGCAACATAGATCATTTTATCATACTTGCTAAAAAAATCCTTACTATTTGCTTAATGTTTGCTTATTATTTGCATAAAATTGTTTATTTCTTAAAATCTATTGTGGAATGTTTAGACGAGATTGCGTTAATGGTGAGAAATGCATGAAACCACACGGATGATGAGAGAAAAAAGGGAAAGGCGAATTGATAGAAAAAAATATAATCAAAACTATGAGTTTCAAAGATTCTTGTAATTTGAAGAAAGAAAAACTGTATATATGTAGATGAAAAAACATTATTGTTAAAAGTTGAGACTTTTCCTAAATAACGGTTATAATCTAAAAGATGTAACTCAGAAAGACATAACTTTTTATATGAGCGGTTTAAAGACGAAACCATAAAGAATGAAAATGTAAAGATATTTGTTGAGTTTGTTATTATATTTAGATATCAAGAAAAAGATGACTGAGAACGAGAAGATATTTTGGTTCAACTTTTGTCCTGACGATGAAAATGAGTAAAAACCACAGATTAACTTCATCCAATTCAACCGGACCACTCACTAAGGAAACGACAGCGTTTTGTATCCTCTGATGACAATCTCCGCACAAACTGTGACTAGCCATCATGCCTTGCGGTGGCTTAATCAAATTCCTGAGTCGTGTGAGTGACTATGGCCTCGCGTTTCTTATCGACGACGACACTCATCAGACCGCCGACGAATCTCAACAACTCGCCAACGTTTTTAACGGCGAGAGTTGGTGTGAGAAAGGCGAGTCTTAGCGTGAGGGCTGTGAGCGATAGCTCTCAAGGCTCCGTCGATGGAACCGTTTACAAAGGCGTTTACGGTCCCTGGACCGTTGAGTCCTCCGATGTTAAAGAGGTGCTTCTCCTCAAAACCCCTCAACATTTTTCTTCTCAATTCAATTCACACTGATTTCGTTGGAATCCTCAAAAGTTTGGATAATTGGGCTTTTTGCTTACCTTTTTGAAAGCTCGACATGCAAGTTAAATAGCTCAGGAACGATGGTGCTGATTAGATTATGTAATTCTTGCTTCTGGATTAAAACCTTGTTCAATGGAAGTTTTTGATCTGTTTGTATTCAGGTTATTCTGTACAGGTCAGGACTTGTAACTGCTGCTGCATCGTTTGTAGCAGCTTCTTCTGCTGCGTTTCTACCAGAAAACTCATGGCTTAGTGAAACAATCAAGCAAAACCATGATTTGTTCTACCTTGTTGGTGCTGGTGGCTTGGGCCTATCCTTGTTTCTGATACATATTTATGTAACCGAGATTAAGAGGACTCTTCAGGCTTTGTGGGCACTTGGTGTTGTTGGCTCCTTTGCCGCTTACGCAGCCCTAGCTAGACCAGCCAGTGATAACTTGGTTCACTATGTTGTTGATCATCCAAACGCTGTTTGGTTTGTCGGTCCTCTTTTCGCTGCTCTCACTGGCCTCGTTTTCAAAGAAGGTAGAGATATATGTGTTCTCTTTATTTGAGTCTCTATTTGCCATACACATGTTCTTGATTTGGATTTCTGTCTGCAGGACTTTGTTATGGAAAGCTAGAAGCTGGCCTTCTTACATTCATCATACCCTCACTTCTTCTTGGTCATTTGGTAAAGTTTATTGTTTGATTAGCTGCTGCTATAAGAGAAAGCTTCACACTTTGTTAGGATTGGAGATATTAGCATTTGATTGGGCTGACTTAAACTGGAAAAATAATTGAATTTGCAGAGTGGTTTGATGAATGATGAGGCAAAGCTGGTGTTGCTAGGAACATGGATGACGCTCTTTTTAGTATTTGCTGGAAGAAAATTCACTCAGCCTATAAAGGTAAACACTTGTTGGTCTTTGAAGATTATATAATATGCGAGCTTCAAGAGAGGTCTTGCTATATATGTACTAGTATCAAAATGCTATAATAGTAGTAACAGTCTTGAATGTGGTTTTGTTGTTCAAGGATGATATTGGGGATAAATCTGTTTTCATGTTCATGGCTCTTCCGGAAGATGAGAAGAAGGCTGTAGTTGCAAAACTCGAACAAGAAAATTCTGGGTAAGACTGTGTGTGAACGATGATGACAAAGTGTTTTAAGCATCTTCAAGAACTGGTAAATATCTTGTATCCGTAGATTATATATATACACTGCTGAGAATAAATGCTACCATACCACAAACAGTTTGTAGATTGTGATTAGTAGCATTTCTAAATAACAATACAAATCTTTCATGTCTACGAAACCTTGATTTACCATTCCATGACTCATCCCTTTGGTTCTTGTATCTGGCCAAGTCGGACCATGATTTGGTCTTGATTCAAAAGTAAGGTCTGAATCTGATCACTTTGTTGATTGTTTTTGTGGTTGAGATTTTGTCATTTTGCCTCTGTGATGGGCCAACCTGGCCCGGTTCTTTTTGACCCAACACTGATCGATTAGTTTGGTCCTAAATCTAAACTCCTCTTTTTATTTTCTTTTTTTTTTGGGTGGGTGACTCCTCTTATTTATTCAATGAAAGTGTTATTGGTCTAATTATCTCTTATTTAGATTTTAAAAACCATTTTATATTTTAATGAATTTGGAAGTTAAAAACATAGAATCTTGATATTTCAATATTCATCTTAATTTTAAAGATTTTAAAATCTTATATGTATTTATAAATCATACAACCAATATGGTGCCTTATTTTGGTCTCTCGGATAGGTCTGGGCACAAATACCCGTTACTTGCTCAAAACCCGCGACTTGCCCCTTATCCGCCTTGTTCAACCAAGTACTTGTTCGAAGCAAGGTAGGTAACAAGTCGGAAATTTTGAATACTTGCAAGTAAGGGGCAAGTATCAAGTCACAGTTTTAATCCGATACTTGCCCCGTTATTAAAATACTAAACATGTTTTCCTTTAATGGATCATAGCCATTCTTATATCGTTCTTGCTCTTTGTCTCTTTTATTTCACCCATTTCTTGAAGTTTTTAGCAAGTTTTTTAGCTTAACTGCTAGTAATCAAAGCTTATTTCGTGTTTTGTGAAGTTGAATTGAAAAGGGAATACTTGAAAACTTGGATAATATGCTTGAATTTTAAGACACTTTTGCTTCAATTGAATTTGTTGCTTCGCCTTGTTGGATTTGGAGGGAGCAAATACTTGTTATTGGCAAGTTACAAGGGGCAAGGCGGGACAAGTAGCTTGCAAGTCGGCCAAATTCGAGCAAGTACCCGTGACCTCAAGTACTTGTCAAGTACAAGGCAAGTCACAAGTCGCAATTTGTAAATTTTGAGCGGGGCAAGCGGGTCACAAGACATCCCAAAACTGCAAGTACTTGCCCCGTGCCCAACCCTACTCTCGGATACTGATCGGTCCGCACCTTACCTGGAAAGTGCAAAGAATTAGGACCAAACGGGTCCGCACCAACCTCGATTTTTACAAAATAAAATACAGTCCGCGACTTCCCTAGTTGTCACTCTGCCGATGAACTCAACCGGCTGATGAAGTCATTTCCCGTGTAGAAACTACTGATTTTCGTTCGAATGCCGATGTTATTTGGTCAAGCTTTGGAGGGAAAGGGCCATGGTTGCGAGTTAAGACGCAGGAAAACGAGAATAGGTCTCTTTCCTTGGCAAGTGCCTTTGACTTGTATGAAATCAGTCAAATTTGGGGTTTTTAGGCGATATGATGATGCCTAGGATGATTGTGATTTTTTTTTTCCGAGGGTTTCCAATGCAAAGAAAGAGTCGCTAAGTTTTTGCAAACAAAGAGCGTGAAATTAGGAACAAGTTTTTGTCGTTGAAGTTGAATAGAGACAAGTTATTGAAAGACAGGACACACGAGTGGGGTGTTAAATGCGGTGTACAGAGTAAGACTTATATTGTCCGTTTTTAATATGGTATCTCTCTCCCTTCGGTCTTGTTGCTTTCTGTCACAATCTTCTAGGCGTTTTCCATTTATTCAAGAACATGAATACAAAATTATCCCAAAATAACTCATGCCCCAAGTTGGACCAAAGTATACATATGCCCAAGTTGGACCAAAATGTGACAATTTATACATCTATCCTTGACAAAAAGATACGGTTATGAGTGACAAAATCAATTGCGAAAGGGTTTTGTGTTTTGAGTTTCTACTTCACAAACCAATCGATCAAAGTGTAATTATGAATGACCATGAATTATTGTATAGAAGAGTGTAATCTTTCATGTAACCTATATACAACATCTAGTTGTCTTTTTAGAAATGGAAATATAGACAAGAAAAGTTGGATAAGAGAGAGAGATTGGTGAAGCGAATCCGACCAAAACTGAGGGAGAGAGCAAGCGTTTAAAGAAGAGAGTCCCTACCACCAAAATGAGGACGAGCCTGAAGTTGCGTGCGGACGAAAAATGAGGAGTCGTGTCTAATGCTGCATCTCTCTACAGATTCGTGTGTCTTTCTTTTGTGGGTCTCTCTTCACTCTCTCTCTCTTTTGTCTCTTCTTTTCTAAATAGTTTCAGTCCTCTCCTAACCTTTTAATTCCTTTGTTCCCTCTCTTGCACTCGTGGCCTTCTTCTAGCCTCTACCTTTACAATGACACACACACACACGGCTCACACACGCTCTCATTTTTCTTTCTTTTTTTACTTCTTCAAACGATATCATCTTCTTTTATTTTTTGATTATTTTGATAGTTGTAGACTAAATCCCAAACTAATCTAGCAAGTGTTTTTTTTTTGCCAATATAGGAGCATCTAAATGACTAGAGTTAAGTTGTAGTGAGTGAGATTCGATCGATCAACAAAGCAAATTACCACTGTCCACTAGACTACTAAACTTGGTTTAAATCAAAATATTGACATGCATGGATATTAGCACTTTTTCTATTTTACATGTCTTCTCCCCATTTCATAAATTTTAAATTGTGGTTTTGAGTAAAGTGAATTTTCTTAATTAGTTCTTTGGTGATAATCTTAACGATTCGTTAATTATTATTAAAACTTTTAGCGTTACCATTTTTACTTTATTTTGCATTTCTATAAGACTATAATAACAACGTCATATTCAACATCTTCTCCGACAAAAAAAATTAGCATTCTAACTGAGTGATATCCATTATCTAGTGAAACCTTGGTTTGTGGTGTGACTTAGACTTATACCTAACTGTCTGTGTAAAACATAGTTCTCCATATATACCGTAACTTTTTGTTTTGAAGATGGGTTACGACTTACGACTTACTAATGCCTTAATGAACTGTTTTCGGAATAGACCACATGTAGTTGCACAATGTCTAAGTATGGCTATATATGGACTTCAAAGATTTAATTTTACAAATTAGTTTTCTTAGGGTCTAATCAAAACTATTGTGGATAGATTGTTATCTATGAATGCATTATTTGGATGTGTCATTAAGTTGACAATACATGCATAATATATCCAGACTTGCATGAAAACGAACAGTTTATTTTATTTATATTCCAGAAAACAAACATGATTAGATGCATGGGTTGGAATGGTTCTGTGTTGGTAGCGAGATGAGAACGACAGCGTTTTCTTCTGGAGAGCGATACGGAAAGTAACGTGACAGGACAGTTGAGAGGAAGCTCATCGTTTTCTCTTATGTGAACAGTAAAGTGTGTTCCCTTTTTTCTTTTGCTTTAATACTTTTGGTTGGGTCCATAGATCTCTCTCTTTTACCCATTTACTCAAGTAGCAACACATCCATCAAATCCATCTCTTGTCGGTTACTCAAGCCATGCACCTTAATTGTAATAGATTAATTAGTAGTCCTACCAAATAGTCATATAGTTTGTATAATGATTTCATTAAAATCTTATCATTTCAAAATAATAAATTGAGGACTATTCATAGTTCAAATAAAGAATTTATGTTTCCTATTATATGTAATCATGATTTCATGAGACCATACATCTTTTAATGTTGTTAGACTATTCTTAAATTTTATATTCCGTTGTTTACATTACAATGCTATGAAGGCACATGGTTTAGTAACAATGCTTAACCTACTTAGTGCTAAAAACATATGCAAGACTTGTTAAAAATAACAACACTTGGAAGTAATTTGCTCCTAAAGAGCCTTAAAAGTTTCCACAGTAAACAATTTATTCTGCATAAATCAACTTATATTAAATCAATCGTTTTGTAACAAATTTTTTTTTGTGAATTCATTCAACTTCAAAACTTGTTATTTGTACAACTAACTATGATTTCTATCATTTATTTTCGAGATTTAGCAACAAAAAAAAGAAGTGAAACCGTTGACGAGAGATGGTTGAGATTATGAAACAAAATATGATGTGAGATAGAAATGTGGATCTCAATGATGTGGCTGTGTGTTGGCTGGCAAATTAAACCATCACCATCTTCATGTGCATCCCTACGTCACTCGTCACCTCTCTATCCAATTATAATAATCTCCTCATTTTAATTTCATCTATACCAAAGTAGAAATATTGCAAAAGAGAACTACGAAAGTTTAATTATCTTTGAAAATACTATATTTCACGTTCATGTATGCTAAATTTCTGTATTAATCACAAATAATTTACGATTTTCTATGACGAAGGAAAAAGGAAAAAAAAAAAAATGAGACGTTTTTTAGTTGGGTTAAAAAAAAATTGAGACTTTATGTAAAGGGTTTCGTACGAACTAAGTACTCTAAAGTATATCCTTACAAATCATTATCGAGTTTTTTGGTTATTTTTTCAAAGAACTCCATCAACAAGAATAAAATAAAAAGAGAGGGAAACAGTGTAACAGAGAATAACAATAAAGTATTCACAAAATGAGAGGACTTTGCTGAAAGTTTGTTACAAAAGAGACAAAGAGCAAAAGAACTGTTTGACCAAGAAAAGAGAAGGAAAAAAGAAAGAGCAAGAACACTTCATAATTAAAAGAAATTAAAGACAACAATTAGCCAACTTAACAAATGAGGATCTTACTTAAAATCAAGACTTTAAATTACATATGAAGAATAAAAGCTAAGAATCTAGACCAAGTGGTTCCCATTGAGGAACTCTCTGGCTGAAGAACCTCCCAATAACTCTGGAATCAAGAATCTCAAGAGCTCCTCCAGATTTAACACATCTTGGAGTCTTATACTGATTCACAGAAGATCCTTGAGACACACAGAAATCCATCAACAAATCAAAAGTCCCCAAACTCACCACTCTTATCTCCAATGGTCCAATCGACTTATCTCTGTTCCTGCATCTCCTGTACACGTAATCCAAACGATCCTCAACCTCAGAGCAACATTTCTCCATCGTCGTCTCGTCTAGCCTTGGTGGGTCGTTGCTATGACGTGGCTTTAGCTCCCAGAAGAGCACGTAATGCCCCGGGATCGATGACGTGTCTGCGTAGCTAGTGTACTCCGTGAGCAAGAGGCTTGAAGGCTGTTGCAGATGGTTCAGTTTCGCTTGTGTCACCGCGTTTAGCAGATCTTTCTCGCTCGTTTTATCGGTGTCGATGCTTAGCACAACGTTTCTTCGCTGCACGAATCGGAATTGAGGCGCTTTGTTGTGGAAACCAGTCACTTTTAGAATATCACCTACTCTGTATCTGTATAAACCTAATAATAAAAACAAACCATTAGGTTACTTGAGCAACAAGTTACCATTTTATTTGATCTGACCTAGAACAAGACTGACCTGTGAATGTAGTGATGACAATTTCGTAGTATTTACCAATCTCGACATTAACAAGGTCGACAATAAGATCATCCTCGGGAGCATCATCATCGTCGGTGTTGGAATGCGATGCAAAGTGAATCTCTTCGTGGGATTTGTCGTCTACGGGCAAGAACTCG